AGTCACCAGAGGCGAAGTGAGCTTGAAGAACTTAGCTCACCTGGGCTGTCAAGAAGGCACGGTGGTGGTACACGCCTTTAATCCCAGCACTCGGGAGGCAGAGGCAGGCGGATCTCTGTGGGTTCGAGGCCGGGCTAGACCAATAGCCTCCAAAACAATACAGAGAAACCCTGTCTCGTAAAAACCAAAAAAAAAAAAAAAAAAAAAAAAAAAAAAGAAGGCACGCAGAGCCTGCATGGGGATGCAGTTTGTTGCTATCCTCTTAGGGCTGTTATGTCAATGTTGCCTCAGAGAAAAGCACCAAGTTAGTGTTTTGAGCGGTAGGCGAGGAAGGCAGAGGAAATAGCTTCTTTAGTGTAACCTAGGTGACTGCTAATACTTGAGTTTACATGGTCATTCTCTGCCTGGAAAAAAAAAATACAGATTTTATAGTTTTTCAGGGCTATTAGTCATCAAGAACTAAGGGCTTTATACATAGTTCTCGAATGGATGGCAGAAAGCCACGTGCAGCAGATATAAACAATTGACTTTCTGAGCCTGGGATTAGAGATCACCTAAAAGGACCCTCTAGTGGGATTAATCCTTTTCCTTGGGTGCCATCCCTAGAAAACAGGCAGGGTAAGAAACCTAGACTTACAATGTCTATGACATTAAAACAATTGTGAAACAGAAATATCTCTAATATTATCTTCTTGGTGGTTTGTATAAAGGAATTTGTGATGGCCACACAAACAACACACATAACCATTAACTGGACAACAAAATGCTCAAAAATAATGCGATAACAGCGATTTAGCCTGGTGATAGTGGCGCACGCCTTTAATCCCAGCCCAGCACTCGGGAGGCAGAGGCGGGTGGATCTCTGTGAGTTTGGGGTCAGCCTGATCTACAGAGTGAGTTACAGAGGGCAGCCAGGGTTGTTACACAGAGAAACCCTGTCTCAAAAAACAAAACAAAACAACAAAAAACCCTAAACAAACAAAAACGAGCAAATTATTGAAGTTTCATTTTTTCTACTTCCTCTACCTTTGGAATGAATTGGCTGAAGGTCACCGGCCCCCGGACATTCTACTGGTGCTCTGCGGTTGTCGCCTGCAGTCCTCTTAGCTAGCTTGCTTGAATTTGTTCGTTGGTTATTGATGACTCGGCTCTACAGATGGCGTAGCTTTCAGGTGTTGGTGGAGAGGAGCGAGGCTCTACCCTATGCTGATAGGAAACACCAGTAGCTCATTCTCTAAAATACTGTACCGTGCGTGCTACTTTGAAGTCAAGAGATCGACGATCCGTATATAATGGTGGAATACGCACTATGAATAGAAGACGTATATTTTCCTTCTCTCTCGCTAAGAAAACTAATTAGGGTGCTGAAAAAGCAGACTAGAAAGTGGTTAAGCGGACTAGAAAGTGGATAAGAGCATAGAATCCTCTTACAGAGAACCTGAGCTCAGTTCCCACCAACCACGGTGAGCAGTTCACAAAACCCTTTCGTTATTCTAAAAGAAGGCGATTTGACACCCCCTGTTGGCCTCTGAGAGCACTGCACCCTGTACACAGCCCTCCTCTTACATATACCTATACACATAATTTTAAAAATAAAAACAAAATTTTAAAAGTTCTTTGTCTGTTCTTTAACTTTGTAATATCATCGGGCTTTCTACATGAGTATAAAACTTAGAATAACACATACTATTGTTTCTGAGCCTACCACCCACAGAACATTACCAAAAAAGGCAGAAATAACAATCATACGTAGGGCTTTTGTTCCTGCCATTGATTTTTCTCCATATGGACTCAGGTTTTCATGGATTTTTTTTGAGACACAGGCTTGCTAAATAGCCCAGACTGGCCTAAAACTCAGTGATCCTACTGCAGGGGCCCCCAGAGGATTCCAATTATAGGGCTGCTCTACCACACCGGTTAGATTAACTCTTATTTAACTCTTACTTGTAGATAATAACACTTACCTTAGTTCTAGAAGGTTTGTTTTGTTCTACAGTGCTGGCGATGGAACCCAGGTCTGTGCATGTGTAAGTGCCATACACTCAGACACACACTCAGTCCCAGCCTTTAGTTCTCACCATTGCTAAAAAGACAAGGGCCAGCATGGGACTGATCCAGACCCCCTGAATGTGGGTGTCAGTGAGGAGGCCTAGGCAATCTATGGGGCCTTGGGTAGTAGATCAGTATTTACCCCTGGCATACAAATGGACTTTGGGTGTCCATCCAACAATAAGGGATGCTCTCCCTGAAAGGGGTAAACTAAACTCAAGGGCTTCACTTCTAATAATTTAGAAATAAAGGAACCAGACCCTCACTCAGCCCCCAGCTTTAGCAGCCATGACAGGCTACAGAAAAAAAAAAAGTAGGCCTCTGACACAAGGAAACTCCAGATCCCCTGGCCTCCGGGAGTCTAGGGCCAAAACTGAACACAAAGAAACTCCAGACCACCCCCCCTGCCAGCCTCCTAGATGCTTGGTTCCTGGGAATTGTTTGGCCACAAAAGAAACTCCAGGGTGAATCAAAACCTCCCTCTAGTCTCCAGGACATAGTTCTGAAAACTATTGGTATCTGCGTACAACAGGCCACCTGCAAGTAACAAGATAATGCCATAGAAACCACAGAATGTTCCCTCTCAGCACTTGAACAATGAAAATAATGGTACACAGGTATTTCATGTCAAAATATGATTTTGAGAAATTCTAATTGTTCCCAATTGTCAGCCAATCAGAAATCAACCCGTACCTACTGATGTAATCCTGTAACTTTTGTCTTTAAAACCTAGCAGTAGACAGGGAACTTCACTCCCTCTGGGGGCTGCTGTGACAGCTAGCCAGATGGGGTCCCAGTCATGGGTGGATGAACAATCATTAAACCTTGCTTTTGCAGTTTAGTGGGCTGTCTTCCTGGTGATCTCTGGGGACTTTGCAACTTGGGCACAACATTTAGTCTACAGAGTGAGTTCCAGGACAACCTCCAAAGCCACAGAGAAACCCTGTCTCAAAGAAAAAAAAAAGATTTATTTATTATACAGTGTTCTGCCTGCATGTATCCTTGCATGCCAGAGGAAGGCACCAGGTGTCATTACAGATGGCTATGAGCCACCATGGGATTGCTGAACTCAGGACCACGGGAAGAGGAGCAAGTGTAACTCCTGAACCACTTCTCCAGCCCTTACATCTTAAGTTTCTTCTGGGGGTCTCAGGGTCTCAGTCACCTCCGGCTGACCTCAAACCTGCTTTGTGGCCGAGGCTAGCCCTGCGATCCTGCTGCCGATTGCCTCCGTCTCCCAAGTGTGGCGAAGACAAGTGTGGGCCACCACGTGGCTTGTGCTGCCCTCACAGAGGACTCATGCCAGATGTCTCCTGAACTGTATATGCAACCAGAAAGGCCACTATGTTATAAGGTTATTATTAACTTGTTTGTTTGGATTGAATGCTCTCTTGGGATTAATACAGGAAAGGTTCATGGATGATATAAACTGTGGCTTCAGCTGTCGGCTTGTTTCAGAAAGGTGACAGTTGTGGTTAATGTACTCAGGAATAAACTTGATGGGCATTTGAGAAAATTGCAGATTTTCTTTTGTTAAAATGAGTCATTTGATAAATTAGTGGAATTCTTTTTGTAACTAGCTCTTACAAATTAACGCATACTTCTTATCTATGCTCTGCCATGATTTGGGGACATGAATACATTTTAGATGCAGACAGATTTCTAAATACAGCAATCTACAAAAAGTCAGGGCTGACTGTACCCATTAGCCCTCTCCCCATAACTAGGCAGCTAGCTGCAGAGTGGCAGCCCTGGGACACCAGGAGAGGGACCAGCCTGCAACCACCCCACCACCGGAGGTCTCAGCGTTCTTAGAATCAGGCCTCTTATTTTCACAAAAGAAAAACTGCAATTTTCTCAAATGCCCATCAGATTTATTCCTGAGTACATCAACCACAACTGTCGCCTTTCTGAAACAAGCCGACAGCTGAAGCCACAGTTTATATCATCCATGAACCTTTCCTGTATTAATCCCAAGAGAGCATTCAATCCTTCCAAACAAACAAGTTAATAATAACCTTATAACATAGTGGCCTTTCTGGTTGCATATGAAGTTCAGGAGACATCTGGCGTGAGTCTCTGTGAGAGCAGCACGTGCTCTTAACAACCGAGCCACCTCTCCAGTACCCCAGTAGATTACTTAAATTTGCCAAAGGACACTGAGTCCCATGACTTTCATGACAAATCCATACAGACTTATCAAATACACAAACAGACCTACAATCAGCCTCCAATGCAGTGTTAGCAATTACCTCACTTGGGCTGGAGCTAACTGGCTCAGAGGTGAAGAGTATCTCACTGCAGAGCTGGAGAGATGGCTCAGGAGTGAGCATACACTGCTTCAGATGTCGAGTTTGGTTCCTAGCAACCATATTGTCTTCCTGAAGTCTAGAAGGATCCGGTGCTGTTGGCCTCTGTGGGCACTTGCACACAGGTGCACATATCCCTGCCCCCACAGACACATACATAATTAATATAAAGTCTTTTTTTAAAGGAATTATCTCTCCGGAGCCTTTGATTTACAAAACTTTATTGTGTGGACAGTAGGACACAGATCACACAGGATCTAATCCTGTTCTCAGCAAAGCTATGATTGCATGAACAAGGCTAGGCATCCTGGCTTATCTTAACCTTTCACAATTGAACATTTATTTCTAATACTCCTGGCTTATCTTTACACTTTACAATTGAACATTTATTTCTAACATGCAAAATATCAAATACATCTGAATTGATCTTTACCCTTTACAATTGAACATTGCTTTCTAACATGTAAAATATCAAATACAACTGAATTGTATCAGGGCTCCATGATAGTTAAATAAAGGCAATTTAAACACTACCCTCAGTCTTCTACACTCAATACATGAAACTGAAAACGGCATTTCCGTAATTGCAAAGTTACTGGAAGTGTACTGTCGTCATTTTCTTGAAAGGAACTTGGCACAAAAGGCAGCAGAGAGGTCTCTGTATGGGGTCTCTGAATCCGACTTGGTTGGTGGTATCCGGCAAAGCTGGCGGAATGCAGGGGAGCGGAGCAGCAGATTCTGGGAGAGGCCCATGAGACTGGAGCACAGCCAGTAGAGAACAAGAGACTAGAGAGAGTACATGAAGGTTAGCGGTCTGCTCCATGGGGGGTCACTCTCAGCAGCATCAGTAAAAACACCCCAGCATTCTGAGCAAGCTTCGAGACAGCGAATGGGGCTGGATAGGCGAGAAAGGCTGACACCCCAGAAAGCAGATCACGGTGTTTACAGCAGATATGACAGACAGCAAGTACCAGGCAGAGCCAGGAATCACCCTCCCTTCTTTACCTATGAAGACTTTCTTCCCAGCACAGGTGCTGACAAGCTGATTATACAGATGGATAGCGGGAGCCTGGGGATGTGGTCACTTCCCATGCAATCTTACTAGGCCTCATTTCCCCCTTTTACCAGGCGGTCTTTTCCAGTTCTCCAGTAACCACTATCTTCCTATCGTCTAGGATTTCTTGGTTGACAACTTACCATCAACTTTCTTTTGTGACAGAACCCAGGCTGCCACTTTAAACTCAGCCCTGCAGCCTTTCTGTATATACACAGCTTTGCGTGGCCATCAGAAAGCAGTCAGGTCTCAGAAACAAAACCATGTGGTGGGTGAGTCCTGCCTGGAATGAAGCTCTCCAGGTCCGCATCCTGTTCACTATTATTTGGCTTTGTACTGGTTATTTCTTTTGCTTCAGTTTCCTATCTGTAAAATGGGGCCATAGTTGTCCCCACCTTTGAGGGCTTAGGAGAGAGAGCGTTTGGACAGAATGGCTACCCACAGTGTGTGATCCATAGTAAGTACCTGCATTTCTTTAAGGTGAGGGCTTAGGAGAGAGAGCGTTTGGACAGAATGGCTACCCACAGTATGTGATCCATAGTAAGTACCTGCATTTCTTTAAGCTGAGACCTCCAGGGCAGCAGTAATACATCAAAGGCAGATTAGCACAGCAGTTACAGGCAACAGCTGACCTACCTGGAAACATGAGTAGTTCACAGAACCAATCAGCTGTCGAATTCCCCTTGCTTCTGGCTCCTCATCACCAAAGTGAGAGATGGTTTTGTTGTTTTATTTGTTTGTTTTTGAGACAGGGTTTCTCTGTGTAGCCCTGGCTGTCCTGGAACTCACTGTGTAGACCAGGCGGCTGCCTCCTAAGTGCTGGTTGGGATTAAAGGTGTGCACCACCACTACCTGGCCCATTAAAGTGGGAGACTCTAACAGTACCTCCTTACTGTATCACCAGGAGAATTATAAGGCACTATACAAAAACACATTGAGAGTGCCTAGGGCTGGCAAAATGGGCCAGTCGGTAAAGGTGCTTGCCACCAAACCAGATGGTATGAGTTCAATCCCTGTAAGTCATAAGGTAGAAGGAGAGAACTGACTCTAGGTTGTCCTGTGACATCCACACATGTGCCCTGACATGTGCAGTGTCTGCTATAAAACCAGGGTGCCTAAGCATCAGGCTGTTGCATCCAGAGAGAACTATAAGCTGCCATCTACATAACAATTTCTTGCTGGGCTTTGGTGGCACATGCCTTTAATCCCAGCACTTGGGAGGCACAGGCAGGTGGATCTTTGTGAGTTCCAGGACAGCCTGGTCTACAGAAGGAGTTCCAGGACAACCTCCAAAGCAATACAGAGAAACCCTGTCTCAAAAAACTAAAACAATTCCTTTTCTTGCTAAACAAAATCCCAGTTTTCAGCTGGGTATACGTGCTGTGGAATATTAATTTATACTGTGCTTGGTTTAATAGAAAAGCTAAACAGAGCTGGGCACTCATCTCAAACAAACTAACAAACAAATGCTAAATGGCCAGTAGGTAGGCAGAATTTTTGGGGCAGAGAGTACCCTGGGAAGGAGGAGGAAGATTCTCAAGCCAGAGGCAGACAAAGCAGCATGAGCATCATGAAGAAAAGGTAACCAAGTCTCATAAAAGAACATAGATTAAAAGAAATGGGTTAATTTAAGTTATAAGAGCTAATTAGAAACAAGCCTAAGCTATCAGCCAAACTTCTATAAACAATAAATTTCCATGTTGTATTTTGGGAGCTGGTTGGCGGGACAGAAAAATCCACTGTACATACTCCTAGACTCTTAAAACTAATAGATGTGACCAAATAAGTAAGATACAGCACATTTATTTGGTGGGACATCTAGCAATGGTCTTTAGGACCACGCATCCTTGAAGCACCCTCTCCCACTTCTGTGATGTGCCTTGCTCAACGCCATCAATCATGACCACCATGGCCATGAGGGTAAATATAGGAGGCTGCGCGTGATGGAGCAGAAAAAGCAGTGCGGCTGTCCTCGGGGAGCTGGCATGCCATTCCTAAACTGGACCTGTCTGGACTCCCTGCAGGAGGTAAGGCTGGGTATGCAATACACCTTTTCAGATTTGTTACTAACTGAGCCCAATCCTTGACACCACACTGCATTTGTTCATGGAGGTTCCTTGGGCTGTACTGCTGTGGTTATATGGAATTTTACAGCAGTGCTCCCCATGGAAAAGGGCTACAATATATACCCTTTCATGCTCACAGACATGAAGCCTGCTTCAGAGATGCAGAAACCTATTTTGCACAGGTAAAAGACACCCAGGTACCAGTTTAAACATATACTTTTATATCAATAGACGCTCAAGGACTGTGAGACTTTTGTAACTGCCTACCTAATCTGAACTACTGGCAACTGAGTAAAGAAGAAAATGTACATGACACAGCTTTTGACAACTTCTAAAGTTATCTGGGGGAAATATACAAAGGACTGAAGTAATTTTAATAACTACTGTTTTTTCTTTTCTTACAAAGCTTACTTAAGTACCAACAGGGACAAGTGACCCAAACCCACTGTACAAGGATAAGGAGTACCAAATTCATATGGACTTGGCAATGTTTTCTTTTTTAAGCTGTATAGTCCTTGACCTAGTCGATATGGAAGTTATTCAATGTATTAGCTAGTAAAATAAATGTTAGACTATGCAAGGTGCTCTGTCAGATTAAAACAGAGGAAGGAGAGTAAGGATTTGACGGCAGAGCTGGACACATCCATGAGAAAGATGAACCAGCAGACAACAGTTACACAACCATCCTCAACAGCAGCAGGACGGCAGGCTGTGTGCGAACTACTCACAGAAGGGACTGTTGCAGCAACCGGGATCATCAGCACAGATATCGCTCGGACAAAGTGTGTAACATACATTTGAAAACGAGACATTCCAAGCTTTTGGAGAGCCAAAATCTGAAGTAGAACACACAAACCATTAATTAATAAAGTGCACATTAAATCAGATAAACTTTAAAACACACACTGAAGCCCAGGCTTTGTGGCACATTCTTAAAATCCTAGTATCTGTGTTGGAACAGCAACTCAAGGTCATTTTTGGCTTACAGATTTGAGAGACAGGCTACACTAGATAGTTTTAAGATAGGGCTTCATTATGTATCCCTGACTGACCTGGAACATACCTAGTAGATTAGGGTAGCCTTAAACACTGTCTCGGCTGAGATTACAGGTGTGTAAACTTGCTAAAAGCTGATTTGTAACTAGACTCCACCAATACCTTGAAGGGTTGACACCGTGGTTCAATGGCAGAGCACTTGACCCTACGTGTACAAGGCTGTGGCCTCCACATTCAGCACTTAAACACAATTTCAACAGCAATGGATACATAACTAACCATCTATCTCCAAGGCTAGGGACAGTGTTTGAAGCATGGCGGCTATGACTGCAAAGGGCAACCCTGATGCTGCTGCTGGCTTTGGGAGACAGGCCCTCACGGTGTAAGCATCACTCTCCAGGTGACGGGAATACACACAGGTGTCCTCACGCCTGGCTTTGGGAGACAGGCCCTCCTGGTGTAAGCATCACTCTCCAGGTGACGAGAATACACACAGGTGTCCTCACACCTGGCAGCCCCGCAGCCCTGGAGACTTAGAACCTTACACGAGTTTTAACTCTCGTGTGCCACTTGCCCTTCCTAAAATAAAGTAACAATAATATAATCCTCAGAGTTAATCTGTGAATTAGATAATTAATGCAAACTGTCCAGAGAAACCCAGAATACAATACTGTTAAATCACACTTTTTTATCAGGCATTAGATGACTTTAGAACAGGAATTCATTCAGGCCTTCTATTTATCACTCCTTTCTGTCTACCAAGTAGTCACCGAACACAAACGGAGGAGCTGTACTATGTTCTTAAGGAAGAACATTTACACGGCCCATGACATGTTTCCTCAACAAAATTTCACTGATGTCTTTAGATTCTTTTTTTTTTTCTTTAAAAAAAAAAATGTAGCCAGGCGGTGGTGGTGCACGCCTTTAATCCCAGCACTCGGGAGGCAGAGGCAGGCGGATCTCTGTGAGTTTGAGGCCAGCCTGGTCTACAGAGTGAGTTTCAGGACAGCCTCCAAAACAATACAGAGAAACCCTGTCTCGAAACCCCCCCTAAAAAAACACAACACAACAAAACAAAACAAAAAAATGTATGGGTGTATTGCCTACACTTATGACTGTGCGCCAGCCACATGGGTGCCTGGTGCCCATGGGGTTCAGAGGAGGGCATTAGGGCTGGAGCTGGCTAAAGCTTGTATGAACTGTCATGTGGATGCTGTGAATGGAGCCCAGGACTGTGCAAGAGCAGTCAGTGCTCTTAACCCCCAAGCTATCTCTCCAATCCCATCTTTTGTTTTAAACGGGGACACATATCCTAGGGTAACAGGGAACTCCCTGGGTTGTTGAAAAGGACCTTGAACTTCTGCCCCACGGTGCCCACTGCGTCTAGGGCTGGGACAGAGGTCCCTGGGCTCATGAACACTAAGCAAGCATTCCACCAACTGAACTTTATTCCTAGCGCCAAGGCCTTAAAACATAGGTGTCTGCTACAAACAAGATGTAGATTAGAATTCCCAGACAATGCTCATTTGACATGAGGTTTATAAGATTTTTACCTCTATGTCCGAGCTCTTTATAAAATTACAAGCATACTTTCTGTGTATTATTGAGTGAAGCACTATAGGTAACAGACAAGACAACTGAAAAATCGCATTTTTGTATGTTCCTTTATGTTATCTCATCAAAAAATTCAAATTATTATACTAAGTCATTATTAAGAGAATGGCAGTGGGCTACTTAAGGTTCCCTACCAATAAACTCACATAATAGGTACACAAAAGAGCCATTCCACTATGGATTAAAAGCAGGCTGGCCAAGCAACTTCAATCTTTTTTTTTCTTGTGGAGACCAGTTCTCTCCATGTTGCCCTGGATGTCACTGTGTAGACCAGGCTGGACTTGAGCTTGTAGAGATCTGCCAGCCTCTGCCTCCCGAGCACTGGGATTAAAGGAGTGCCAGCACACCCAACTTTGATTACTGTTTCACCCCCGCTGGCCTGGTCTTTTGAGATGGTCTTGTTATGTAGCCTAGGAAGGCTTTGAGTTTGCCATTCTCCTGCCTCTGCTTTCTGGGTGCTAGGACTAGATATGAGCAGTTGTGCCTGGCTTTAGTACTCTTCCTTCAAAAGGAGCTGGTCTGACGTCAGAATTCCGAGCTATGTCTGACAAAGCATATGTGTATGTGATATCAGAGCAGTAATCCCAATGACTTAAACGGTCAATACACCCCAATGTTAACCACTGACCTCCACTATTAGTAAATTGACAACACCAACAGAGACAGGCAGAATCCAAGTAGAATCCACTGCAGTGAGGTCAGGAAACCACAGGACCCCACCAGCAGCTAACTGCTCCTGAACAGAAACACCTGCAAGACAGTTTAAACACAAAACAACAGGGTTCCTGAGGACAGCTGAGAGACATCAGAAACACACAGCCTGAAGATCTATCTGCACTGGTTAGTCAAGCTACTCCTGTCTGCAATTTGTTTGTTCTGTTTTCTCAACACAAGACTTTTTATGATTAAGATTCTAAATTCTGTAATGTAAGAAAGGCAATAAACGGTAGTTATGGAACTATAATTTTTTTTTCTATTGGAATGCAACAATAAGGAATTTGAGAGATGAGGATTTCTGTAATGGTTTTACCTTCTGAGTGTGCAGCCCCTGTGCTAAAGTTTCGGAGGGCAACGGATATGAAGATCCACATTGGAAGCTGGACCCAGACTAACACAGTGGCTTTGAAAGGATGGCAGTTGTCACGAACATACAGGTCTGAAACAAGCCTCCGCATGTTCTTTAGATAAGTGAGCCTAAGGTGAGGGAACAAAGAGAAAAAAATCACCTGACCACCAGCAAGAGCTTCACCCTACGGCACACACACACCCATTCTGTAGGGATGCTGAGGGTTCAACAGGGATTTCAACCGTCATAAGCAGTTAGGGACGGTCACTAAACAGAAGGCACACAGCCTTTATTAAAGACACTGTCAGCCTACAACTGTAGTCTCTAATGATCTCTGGCCAGTAAGATTATTAAAAAACAATTTATTTATATTCTCTGGTGTCTGTGTATGTGTGTGTGTGAACGAACAACACATGGACCATACAGCAAACTAACACCTACTTACCCGCACAGTAAGCTTTCACATGACTTACATCAAACCTTAACACAGTATTTAATTCACTGTCATCTTTATCTGATCATGGCTCTTTTCAGTGGGTCCTCCAGAACAGAAGTCAGATGTGGTAGCACACATCTGTAATCCAAGCACTTTGCTGGGGAAGGGGAGATGAGGAGTTCAAGTACTGGGAGGCTCTCATGGGAGGACCATTCAGCTCCTCAGGGTTAGGGTAAAGCCTGTTTCTTCGTTTATCTGCTTTCACTCCAATATATAAAACATGCTACACAGTGATTTATTAGTATGAATGATGAGTGAACAAATCGAGAGAACACCTAAACCTGTATTTATTCATTTCATGGCACAGAACTGCATACCTGGCAACTCTCTTGGACCAACCAAACTGACGTGCACGAACTGCAACTTCTTGGTTAAGGTGCTTGGCGATGTTTTTTACTTCTGGTTGCAAGTTTTCCACCTAACTAAAGGAAAAGTTGTTTTTATGAGCACATCCGGGAGAGAAGAGCTCAGTAAGAAATTTCGCTCCTCAGATTAGCCTACTGGGTTGTTCTTCTTTATCACTAACTGACACAGATGAACCCAGCCCACTGTGGGTCACCAGCCCCTAGGCATGCGATCCTGGGCTACATAGAAAAGCCAGTAAGCAGTTTTCCACCATGGTTTCTGCTTTACTTTCGGTCCTGTTGTGCATCCATGACGGACCATAACATGAAAGCCAAGTAATCCCTCTCCTCCCCAGTTCCGCTTTAAGTCAGTGTCGTTTGACAGCAGCACCATCAACGAAGCTCATATATTCTCTGTTCCCTCAACTAGTTACAAGTGATGTCTACTGACCACATTTGTAATCAGAAAATATTTAGCTTGCTTAAAATATCTTCAGTCACAAACTTAAGTTCCAGTTTGTACACCTATCTGGGCAACCAAACTGATTTGCATAAAATGCAACTTCTTGGTTAAGGGGTGCTTGGTGATGTTTTCTACTTCTGGCTGTGCATAACCGGAAATAACGCTGAAACTCTGATAACTCTGAAATGGTACCTACTTCATAGGATTTTGAGACTTGAATGAAAACTGCATCCCGGATCTTACTTTTCCTTCCTTAGATAGGCCATTAGTAGAGAAAACAGCACTCCGATTGTTAAGTTAAAATCCCGCGGATTCCCACTGTGACTACTGCCTTAGCGCTCTTGCTGCTTCCCTTCCTGGCAATCTTCTGTGAAATTTCAATTTCCCAAAGTAACTCGTGCTGACTTCATCTCACCTCACTAGGTAGCCTATACCGATTCGACAGATATGATGTGAAGCCCTAAAAGGCCAAGGTCACAAGTTAACAGACACAGGGTCGTAGATCGTAGGTCCAGCGTGACAATCCAATTCCGCAAACACTTTTAAAACGTTTACGTCACTACTAATGCTACCGGTTCCTCCGTGCCATTTCTTCTGCAGACTGGTATCAGTCAAAAGTTTAAGAAACTTGTGTTTCATATAAAGACCTGGTCGGTCGGATGAATTGGAAGGTACTCGAGTCACCAAGCATCATTTAACACATGCAACACTAACTATTTTAGCAAAGCAGCAGCCTCGATGGTTAACACTTGCAGGAAGGCTGCACGGGGACCGAGCCCCTCACCTTAGCCAGGATGTAGTGCTGATAGGCGGCCAGAGGCAACGTGACAGCGCCGCGCAGGGCCACGGTGCTAAGCATGATGCTGCCCCACCAGGGGAGTCCCGAGGCGGCGTGCGCGCCTAGCAGCACTTCCTCCGCCGCGCGCACGGGCACCGACGCTGCCAGGGCCTCGTACCATCCGCCGGGGACGGCCGCCGACACCGACGCTGCCGCCCATACCGGGAGGGCAGGGAGTCGCGCGTTACTCCCGCCGGGCTGCAGTCCCCGTGCCCGGAGCCGCCAGGTGGGCAGTGACCGAAGCCATCCGGGACCCGAGCGCCACAGCATGCCAACAACACTGCTAAAGCCGGTAGCTCGGCAGCCTGGGGGGGGACCACGCGCGCCAGGCGGATGCGCGCATGCGCCGGCCTGCGGCCACGCCTGACCTTCCCCGAGAAGGCGGTGACGACTAGCGTCGCGCGTGAGATGACGTGTAAGCCCCGCCTTTCCCACGCGGCAGTGGGGAGGTAGCGGCTCTCACGGGACTTCTTCCCTTGCTAGGGTGGAGCTCCGAGCAGTCGGAACCGGAACTGCGCGGATAGGCGGGGCAAGCAAACCACCTTGCTGTTCTGAGTTTCGGTTTCCACCCAGGATGGTCATTTGTGTACTTTTTGTTACCCGGCTGCTTCCGCTCGAGACACGCGTAGCAGGCCGTCCGTCCCCACGCACTGCTGAAACACCTACCTTTAGAGTAACAAGTGTTTCTGGTTTGCGCAGGGTTAGGCTGCGTCCTTTATTCCCTAGACATAATTCTACAGGACATAGATTTAATTGTTTTTTATCTGTTCGACTAGCATTCTATTTCTTTAAAAACCAGGAGAATGCAGAATGCTTGAGGGGGGGACCGCATGGTGGCGCACGTCTTTAATTCACTCAGGCAGAAGTAGGATGTCTGCTCCAAGCCAGCCAAACCTACTCAGTGGTGATACTGTCTCAAAAAACCAGTTACCATCATCATAATAAAAACCAGGGGGGGAAAAAAAAAGGAATGCTCAGGGCATACAAGAATTGCGTGAGTTTTCCTTGAGTTCCTGGCTACAGCAAATAATTGGGATGACATGAAGTTTTATTTCAGAAGCGCCAGCCCAAAGCGATTTTGAGTTTTTAGAAACCTCTCCCATGTTTGGTAATGTCAAATGGTAGATCTGGTCCCCTGCTTCACTGCACAACTACTAAAAGTATGGGATAACCGATTTTCTGGAATTTGGGTCACCAGCCTTCAAAACTAACCATGAATCCATATAAACTCATAATCCTCTTTTCTAAAACAGTTTACCTATCTCTTAAGAAACCAGTTGTTATTGTCTACTGGTTGTTGTTTTTCGAGAGAGGGTGTGTAGCTTTGGGACTTGCTCTGTAGATCAGGCTGGCCTCATACTCACAGACATCTGCCTGCCTCTTCCTCCCAAGCGCTGGATTAAGTGTGCTGCCACTGCCCAGCCATAGTTACTGACTTAAAGTGAGAATCAAAGTCAAGTTACATGTAAAAAGTGTAAAGAAGTGAACTGTTTCCCCATCCTCCCATCTAGTTGGCACTTCCAGAGTAACCTTAAGGTATAGAGGGAAGTTACTTAAAACGACGCAACTCTTCCAAACCCCAATTTACCACGTGAAGACCTAGAACCAAAGCTACACTGGGAACTTTTCCGTAAGTAGATAAATCCTATTTATGGTAGACATAAATAGCCCTTTTCTCTATGTATAAATAAGCCTGTTATTTAAGGATTTATTGTCCACAAACCCCAAAACAAAAATGTCAATGTTATTAAAATCTAACACCTTTATTAAAACTGTAACTCCAGCTCCAGGGATCTGACACCCTCTTCTGACCTCTGCATACACATAAGTAAAACTAATAGAAAAAATAAATTAAAAATATATTGTAATGTGAACTAATTAAAACTTATTGATAATTAAGGATCATTCCGAATATGGCTCGTAGAACCCCCAGAACTTTGTAATCATTCCTCTCCATCCACTTTTACCCAGGTCACATTTGTGCAGCAAGACCTTTTACCCTGAACCATCTGTCAGACCTTATTTACTTATTTATTTACGTTTTTCAAGACAGGGTTTCTCTATTGTTTTGAAGGCTGTCCTGGAACTTGCTCTGTAGACCAGGCTGGCCTCGAACTGACAGAGATCCGCCTGCCTCTGCCTCCCGAGTGCTGGGATTAAAGGCATGCGCCACCAACACCCGGCTTTCTTCTCAACTTTTGAGTTCCTTGAAGAGACATCTTTGGGGCAGGAAAGATGGCTTAGAGGTTAAGAGCACTTGTTGCTCTTCTAGAGAACTGAAGTTAAGTTCCTAGCACATCAAACAGCTTACAACTAGTTGTAACTCCAGCTCCAGAAGGTTCAATGCCCCTTTCTGGTCTCAGACACCTACATATTAAGATACACACACAGAGTAAAAAAAAAAATTCTTTTTATTCTGAGACAGCTAGGAATGATTTGAGACCACCTATTGAGTTTCAGTCTAGTCTATGAAAAGCAAGGATTTTGTCCTAAAAGCAAGGAGGGTATGGTGGCAGACTCCCATACCAGCACATGAGAAACATGGACTGGAGGATTGCTACATTGCAAGCTCAAAGAATATGAAACAAGACATTGTCTTAGGCTTCCCCCTCCATGCAAAGATTAGATTGTCCTTGATAGCTTTGGTCATTTTTCTACTTTATATGATGGTATGATGGCTATTTTTATTTTTGCTTTGCTGAGACAGGGTGGACTTGCCTGCCTCCCCTCTTCTTGACAGCACATACATTACCTCATTGGCATTGGAGCCTACTTAGGTATTCCAGTATATACCGAAGACTGGTTGAGACAACCCAGCCTTGTGGGACTGAACAACTACTAGATTCTTGAACTTTCTGTTCACAGCTAGCCATTGTTGGACTGTAGCCTGTAAGTTGTTCCTATAAAGTCCATATGTATATACACATCATATATACATGTAAATGAAATGAATATATATTCAGTCCATACGATTCTTTTTTTTTTTTTTGAGACAGAGTTTCTCTGTGTAACAGCTCTGGCTGTCCTAGAAATAGATCTGTAGACCAAGCTAGCCTCTGGCTCCCTAGTGCTGGGATTATAGGTGTGTGCCACCATGGTCCAGTTCATTTCTTAGATTCTGAGTCTAGAGAACTCCAATACAGATGGTGTGAAAGCAGTTCCCATTCCATAGACATCTTTTGAAATTAGCACTGATAATGGGCTGATACACCATAACACATTTGCTGTGACTTCCAATTAGCACAACTATGGAAAACAACTCACCTTAGAATCAGGCCTCGTTCAATTTTGCTATACTTACACCCCAATGTATGATGGACGTATAAGATGCATTTTTGAAGCCAGGTGTGGTGGGGGGTATGAATGGGATGCCAGCCCTTAGTAGGCAGAGCAGGAAGACCCAGTGTTCAGTGCCAACCTCAGCTACAAATTCTATGTGCTGGATTACAAACATTACAGGCATGTGCCACCACCTCCAGTTTACTCAGTACTAGGGTTATCACTTGACAATCCCTAGGCAAGCACTTTACCAATCACTCAGATCCTCAACCTCAGCATTTTTATTACAGAAAATCAAGATATCACACAAAATTTCATGTAGACTATGTAGTCATTTCCAAACGTGATTTCTAAAATGTTTGGAGGAAGTTAAAAAAAAAACTATTATTCTTATGAGAAATTGTTAAAAAGTAACCCCTTGGAGTCAAATTTAGGCATATTTTTTTTCTTTGGGGGGAAGGAGAATTCAAGACTGGGTCTTACTGTGTAAGCCCTGGCTGGCCTCAAACTCAGAGATCCATCTGCCTCTGACTTCCATGCCACTACATCTGGCTTATTAATCTTCAACAGGAAAGTTCCCTAATATAAATTAGTACCTAATACTCTGAATCAAACATTGTGTCATATGTTCCAGTCCAGGGTAGCCTGGAACCCATCTCCTTTTTCTCATCATAGGTTGGCTTTTACTTTAAAAAAATGTGAACTCATTTAAGATAGCAGTATTAACATGAAGCTCTGACAACACAGCAATTAAAACTTTGCATGAGACTTTGTCCCACTATAAAGCAATTCTGTCCATGCCAGCAAAGTACTGCTCTCTATATTTTTGCCAAACCAAGTAATGGTATTTTTGCATTCTGGTTGTATAATAAGAGAAGTTATAAGTTAAGATGCTCTCACCCGAAGGCAGCTGAGTGAGCCAACTGTTGCAACTCTTAAGCAGTGATCAGTGAGATGTGTATTTTCCAAATGATCCAGGAGCTCTCAACCCCAAATATAGAAAGCATCAGCATAAAAAGTATAAGACACCTGGACAGATGAACTTACACCAAGTAAAAATAAACTTATTAGAACCAGTGAGCAATTTTTTCTTTGAAAAAAAAAATCATCCTGACTCTTTTGTGACTTAAAAATTTTTGAAACACTTTAAATGTTCTGTAATATCAGATCTGTGGGAATCCGTGTTCTTTAAGAATTATCAGTGAGGGCCAGAGAGATAGCTCAGAGGTTAAGAGTACTGGCGGCTTTTCCAGAGGTCCTGAGTTCAATTATGAGATCTGATGCCCTCGTCTTATGTGCAGGCAAACATGCAGTCGGAAAATGTATACATAATAATACATCTTAAAAAAGAATTATCAGTAAAAGACTGAATCAGAACCTGAAGAGATTTTGTAATTCTGAGAATCCAAGTAAACAATACAGTGCACAAAATCTTTTTCCCCCCCTCCAAGACAGGGGTTTCTCTGGGTAGCCTCGGCTGCACTGGAACTCATTCTGAAGACCAGACTGGCCTCGAACTCACAGAGATCAACCTGCCTCTGCCTCCCTCCCGAGTGCTGTGATTAAAGGCGTTCGCCAACCGACAGAAAATCATTTCTATGAAGTATATATTTAGATAATTTGAGCAAAAGACAGAATACTATTTTTTTATGAACAGATGAGATGGGTTATTTAAGATACTACTTTTGTTGTTTCCCCAGAGATTTTATTTATATATAAAGAATATAAAAATATTTTATAGTAATAGGCCCCAGGAGAATTTTTTTTTGGAGAAATGCTATTAATGTATCTTGAAAGACAAGAATGGAGGACTCAGTTAGAAACAGTTAACAAGATCTTTTTGGGGGGGAGGGGGTGGGTAGTCCTGGCAGTCCTAGAACTATGTAGAACAGGCTGGCCTCCAACTCAGAGGTATCTACCTCCCCAGTTTTGGGACTGAAGACATGAGCCACTACACGCAGGCAACAAGGTCATTTCCAAAGTGGAATAGCTGGTATATACACATCACACAATAATTGGGGATATTAGCTATTTGGAAATGGGAAAATGATAGTAAGGTAACTCACTTGTGAGAGAAAAGCACACTATGTAGTCTGCATAGATAATCACATACTTCAAAAAGAAAAAAGACCTGCATGGTCTCAAAAATTGTTTTTTTATTGTTTAAATAAAAATGTTCTATATTACATCTGAAGTATAAAAATGTATTTGAAAAATGTTCCTAGTACAAACTTCTAGTACCATGGCACTGTCCTTTACAAGCCTGATCTCTAAGTGTAGAGATAGAGGGCTCCAATCTATTTTCATGCTCCACATTTTAGATTCAAGAAAATGTTCAGTTTTTTACCCTTCTTCCTTATTCAATACCACCACTCACATGCACAGTACATGCAGAGTAGTGTCTGTTCTCCAATGGGATTATTTCAGGTAGAAAATAACCCTCATTATCACATAACACAATTGTGGGAGTGAAGAAGACAGACCCGTGCAAAATTCAATAATACAAAATGTTAAATAACATCACACAGGGTTTTTGTTTTTAGTAAAGTGCTGTCTTTTAAATCTCATGGCTATATTTGTAGGTTGTTCTCCACCTAATTTGGGTGTACTTGTCATAAGTGGAAAAGCAAATGTATTACTTAAGTGACATCTCCTAGCTGAAAAGACAAGTGTACCACTTACAAACTGCTGGGTAGGTTTGAGAAACGAATCTTACACACTCTACTCAGGTCACTAGAGGCAACCTGCACTCTGACAACCAAGGAATATTATTATCAGCTTTAGGTGGTGGTTTATCTAAGCTTTAGTTAGTGTTTAACAGTGTAAAGTTCGTATCTAATTAAAAACCAAATTGATAAATACAGTATTTATCATGTATGCATTGTTTTATATTTTAACCACAGAAGTTATTTTTCCATAGGAGACAGGGTAGGACACATATTCTTCTTGTATACATTATTGTTTATTGTTTCAAGTGGATGGAATATATAATTCCCACTGAGTAGTTTAGTGTGGCCCTGAATCACATATAAACAGGTTAAATGTAGTCTTTATAATCCTTGTATTCGTGTATCAACCATAAAAATCGTCTTAATAACAAACCCAAACACTCTTTGACTTGGCCCAAGTTAGCTGTTCATCCTTTTCATTGCTACAACAAGTGCAGAGAGCAAGGAGCCTTTCAACCTAAGACATAAGATGCTTGAAAAAGGAAAATTTTGTTTTGACTCTTTATGATCAGGAAGCCAATGTTAAGACTCAATATTATCCAATATAAAATATGCCGAATTGTTTAAAAATAAACAGTATATGCTGACTGAGAACTGTGGTGGCTTTTATGTTTCTCCAAAGTCTCAAGCTTTCTGGTTAGAAGAAACCACTGATGCCACTGAAGATGCTCCACCTTTGTGTAGTAGCCGCGACGATAAAAAGCTTTACAGAGTGTTTTCACTATTGAGCAAGAGAATCTTACTAGTAACAGTGGCAAAGACAGAGTCCAAACTGAAGAGTGTGTGTGTATTAGTTCGAAGGTGTGACAAATGTAATAAAGACATGGAAAAATCAGAAATTTCTTTTATATGCCTTGCTACAAACAAACCTAAAAGGGAGCAAGATGGATGTTTTAAGAGCTAACAGAGGGAAACATCCACTGATAATGCCCATCATTTTACTTTATGCTTAAATTACACAAGTAGAAAAGTTATGCTTATTAATAGTTTAATGTATGAAGGAAACATCCAGATTGCTGAATATGAAGGTACATATCTCACATTAATTTAAGTCTACATAAAGTAGAGCCTCTATACTGACATATTGAAATTTACTTTCTGCTTAGCCTTTTCTGTTATGTAAACAATTGTACATTTATTTGCCATTCTAAAACTTCAGGATCAAGTTTACATAATTTTGCTAAATTTCCGTGTTTGCTCAGAAGCAGTTTACAGTACTAAAACCAACCAGCCAAAGAACAGCTTCAACAGAAAGTTATGTCTGAAGGAGAAGAGGGGAAGAAAGAAGAAAATGATACGAAAAATGCTAACTAAGGTAAAAACAGATGACAATGGAGAATGGGCAGTCACAAATGTTCACAGAAAATAGGTCAGTTAGTAAGTTCTTCTGCAAAAAGCCTACACACTTCAGTCAAGCACATCAGTAGAATGATTTGGGAGCATAAAAAATGTTTCTCGGCCACTTGTGATTTCCTCTGAATGAAAGGAATCTGCAGGCTAACAGGCTTATCCTCATCAGCCAAGCTGGTTCATGTGTACACTGTTCATGTGAGGTGCCCAGGGTCCGGTCCACACCTACGAATACAGAGCATGCATTTCACCAAATACAAATTAAGCAGATATTTAGGTTAAAATAATACTCCTAAAAAACAATCAGGTATCTATGAACTAAGTTCATTCAGTCTTCAACATATAGTCAGATATGTGGAACAGGAAATACCTGGGAGTTCAAGGTCATCCTCTTACTGCATAGTAAATCTCAAGGACAGCCTGGGCTACTTGAGACTTTGTGTCAAAACTAAGAAGGGGGAAAAAAGGGTGGGGGAGGAGCACAGGGGCTGGTGCCATGGCTCAATAGTTCAGCATACAGATGCTCTTCCAGAGGACCTGGGTTTGATTAACAGGGCCTACACAGCAGTTTTCTCTTGTCTATTTCTAGTTCAGGATCCTCTTCTGGGTTTCAAGGGCATAAGGCATGCATGGAATGTTGACATACATGCAGGCAAAACACCCATACATATAAATTAAAAGAAAAAAAAAACACTTAAAAAATGTGCAACATATTAGGAAACAACAAGAAAAAAGAGTAACGCCCCACACCTGACTGGGGCCTTGAGAATGCTCAGCATACGCGGTCAGCAAACCACACCTCAAACTTTTCTCCTTTTGAAACACTAACAAGAGGTGACACTCAAGCAATGTAAAATGAGCTACTTGACAAAATAAAGACTGCTGTGAAAGGACAATTATTCAGACATATTGAACACACCCAGGTAACTTAAGCACAAGTCAAGCATAGTTGCTGATACCTATGATCCCAGCACAGGGGCAGCTGAATCAGGATCAGTCTGGGACAGCTAGTGAGTGCCAGATCAAACAGAAAGACCTGTTGTGGGGGATGGGGACCCATTCAAGTACATAGTCATTCTCTTAAGTTTGCAGTTATATACAGTTTTGGATGACACTGTTAAAACGTTAAGACTCTATAGCTCTTTACATACTAACGAATTTTACTTGAGTATAAAGTTATGTTACATGAAGATCACTTTGCAACTTGCTATTTTTGTTTTTGAAACAGGGTCTTACTATGTAGCCCAACATGGTCTGGAACTTTCTTTTTTTGTTTTTTGGTTTTTTCGAGACAGGGTTTCTCTGTGACTTTGGAGGCTGTCCTGGAACTAGCTCTTGTAGACCAGGTTGGCCTTGAACTCACAGAGATCCGCCTGCCTCTGCCTCCCGAGTGCTGGGATTAAAGGCGCCACCAACACCCAGTGGTCTGGAAATTCCTATGTAGACCAGGCTGACCCCTAACTCCCAGAGATCTACCTGCTGAGTGCTGGGATTAAAGGTATGCACTACCATGTCCAGCTCTATAATTTAAATTCTCCTACATACTATCTGCTACACAATATAATCTTTAATAACACGCCTTTCTATAATTAGTTAAGTAACTGAGCATCGTTTTATACAAAGGTTTCCAATTCATTTCATCTGTACTCAATTTCTTCTCTTGGCTGTATTCATGTGCTCTATTGCTTTTACCTAAATTCTGTTTGTCTTGTATTTTGTAACATGTGAGTGACTGCTTACTGAATAACCAGCCTTACCGTTTGAGGACCATTATTTTCTGTGGAACTTGAAACCATCTTTATCAGTGAATTCCAAGAAGGGTCTGCAGCATGAGGGCCATTAAATATGGGTCCTCCAGTACCATCAGGGAGAGGTGCTACTGGAGGAATCATTGCATTCCCATACACAGAAAAAGGCATACCCTTAAAACAAAGGAGGTGAAGAAAGAGAGATTAACATCCGGTCAGTTTTTCTTTTTCTTTGCTCCTCCCCCACTTCTAATAAACAATCTTGCAAGGACTGTGTGGAGAGAACTTGTCACAGAAAACAAAAATGAGGTACTAGGGAGGCAAACAAAGGCAGCCTGGCTTACAAGGTGAATTTCAGTCCAGACAGGGATACAATACATACCATCACAGTACAGAAATGAAACAAAAACAACAAAACAAATCAAAGTCAAAAGCCCTAAAACTAATTTTAATACCTCAACTGACTTTATAAATGTGTAAGTTACTCACAGAGCCTAAATATTATTGACATGAGCTCATTTAGCAGAGAAAAGCTGGGCATGGTGGCCCAGGCCCTTTGTCTCAGCACCCAGGAGGCAGAAGCAGGTAGGGCTCTGAGTTTGAAGCCAGCTTGAGTCTAAAAAGTGAGTTCAAGACCATGGTGAGAGCCTGATTCATGAACAGAATAAAAAACAAGCACCCATTATAAAGGTTTCAAAAATCATTCCACTAAAGGCTCCCGCCTACATTCCCAGCATATGGGAGGTGGTACAGAAGACCAAACATTAAGGTCATCCCAGGCTATAGAAAGAGTTTTAAATGGGCTGGAGAAACAGCTCTACAGTTAAAACAGCATGCTGCTCTTACAGAATACCTTAATTTAGTTCTTAGCTCTTAATTTAGATGGCTCATGATTTCCTGTACTTCTAGCCCTAAGGGATCCAATGTCCTCTTTGACCCCAGTGGGCACATACATACCCACATATACACACAATTAAAAACAAACAAACAACATATTCCAATCAAAATAAGCAAACAAGACTCCTAAAACAGAAGTCCCCTAAAGTCCCCTAAATGACTAGGAAACTAAGTACTTCTATCTTAGCCAGTTTGGCTTGAAAAGCCCCAACAGAATCCTGCAGATGTTATGTTTGGAAAAGAGAGATAACTAGGAATGAGAAAAACATTTTATAATAACAAAAATGCTTATTTAAATTACCCCAACTTTAGGAAAGTCCATGTATCCTGCAGGAACATGCTGATGGAATGTACCAGAAGGAGTTACAATTCCTGTACTATCTCGCTCCATTGCTTGATGCTGTGAAAACACTCCTGGGTCAGACATTGGCCTGTGAATCATGGGATTTCCCATCCCAGGGTTACACCAGTCTACTTTGTCTGAGAGGAAAAAAAACAACAAGCAAACAAAAGTTGATAACATTCAATAAAAAGCTTAAAAGAAGTACTTTTAAGTTCTATTTTTAACTTGTTACAAACTGAATTCTTTTAAAAACATAACAAAAGGCTACACACAGTAGTAGCAAATGCCTGATATAGTAAATGTGTGGATTCGCTTTTCTTAATGTAATTCTGTGGGACGGAACTACAAGACATTCTTTGACTTTAGGCAGATCCATAGTATTCCTGAACATGTTACTTTGGAAATGAACATGATATAAATTCATTCTTGTTGTGGGGTGGGGCAACAAATGGGAAGTAGGTCTATCCTTAAACAGTTCCTAAAGTAAAATGTTTGAAGACATCAGATACCAAAGATTTCAGATAGAGAACTTTAAAGTTGTCATGAATTTCACTACTTCGTATAAAGATAAAATAATACACAAAAGAACTGTGGTTAAGTAGGCTGACAGTACAACTGGATATATCAGTTATGTGAGAAAGAGCTATCTTGAGAAAATGTAGATCATGAGTAACCTTGATGGATAGGGAAGGATTCACATGAGAAATCCCTTCAGTAAAAATTTATTCACTTAAACAGCAACAACAATGACAACAAAACACCACAAAAGAAGATAAAACCTAAGAGAGAGTCAAAAGACCTCAAAACAAATACCAACTTTTTAATATGGAAAAATGAAATACAAGTAGGCCAGCATAGGGCAAGACGGCAAACACCAGTAAATGAAGTATTTATGAGGTGAAGGCAAAAGAATCAGGAGTTCAAAGCTAGTCTCAGCTATACAGTAAGTTCAAGGCTAGCCTAGTATACAAGAGATTCTCAAAAAGCCAAAATTCTTTACATGCATTAGATTTTCAGAGATGAATAAGTGCAGTGGGAAAGACCATGAACCCAGAACTAAAAGAAGCTGATTGGTCTAACTGAAGAGATAGGTTAATTCCTTTAAAGAAATGAGGGCCAGAGAGATGTTTCAGTGGTTAAGAGCACTGGCTGCTCTTCCAGAGGAACTGGATTTGATTCCCAGCACCCAGGCAGCTAACAACTGGATGTAACTCTAGTTTCAGGGGAAACAATGCTTGCATCTGGCCTCCTATGTAGCACAGACATACACGCAGAATAAACAACCACACTCAATGTAAATAAAAATCTCAAAAATTAAAAGTATTATAGCTAACCAAGTAAACTTAATTTCCAGTAATATGACAGCATATCTTACCTTGATTGCCACCAATCCCTTCAAAGGACCAGATGCCACTATGTCCTACTGATGTAGACAAATTACTCCCTATAACAGATGGAGCAGAAGTTCCAGTTTGCCTGATACGTGCAGAACGTTCAGTCCCAATAGGGACCGGAACTTTCCTGTCCTGAGAGACATTGCTGGGCTTTTCGGACCCTAAAGGTACTGATGATGAGGCAGGAGACGGTGCACGAACGCCAGAGGATACCGACTGTGCAGGAGACTCTGTAAAAAGATATTTTGAAATAAGGTATCTTAAAATATATACTTTTCCAAGGAAAGCTGAGGTATAGGAGTAATTAGTTTTTAATATGCATCCAAATAAATGAAGTGCTGAGCCATTTTCACATATATACACCATTATACTTCATTTTACTCCAATTACTTTCTTGTCTTCCCTCCTTGCTAGACCCTTTCTTCCTTTGAAATAATTTTTTCTTTTGTTTTGAGAATAATGTTTAAGGTCCTGGAGAGATAGCTTAGTGGCTAAGAGCAATGGCTGTTCTTCCAGAGGCCCCGGGTTCAATGTTCAATTCCCAACACCCACATGACAGCTCACAACTCCAGTTCCAGGGGATCTGACACCTGCACACACACAAAAAAAAGTTAAATAAATTATTTTTAAAAAAGTTTAAGCTGAACATGATGGCTTACAAGGTGAATTTCAGTCCAGACAGGGATACATACATACCATCACAGTATAGAAATGAAACACATTTTTGGAAGTCGCTCGCTCGCACTTCCTGTTTACTCAATTACTATTATTTCCTTCTTGGGTCTCTGAGAGAGCTGAAGACTAAATAGTATAGTTTTCCCTGTTTACCAGTATCAGTAAAGAAACTCACTATAAGCCAGGCATTGGTGGCACATGCCTTTAATACTAAAACTCAGGAGGCAGAGACAGGTGGATCTCTGTGAGTTCAAGACCAGCCTGGTCTAAAGAGCAAGTTCCAGGACAGCCTCCAAAGCAATACAGAGAAACCATGTCTGGAAAAACAGAAACAAAACCACTCACTATATGTATTAAATGTAATAGGTTTAAAAGACATTAAAAGATAATTTGATATGCAAATTAGAGTAGAAAGTAAATTAGGTACAAGACTCATCAAGAGAGACTAGATAATGGAATATTTTCTTGGAATTTGTCATATGCATATGGACTAGACATTGTTTTTTTTTGTTTGTTTGTTTGGTTTTTTTTGGTTTTTCGAGAGAGGGTTTCTCTATATTGTTTTGGAGGCTGTCCTGGAAGTCGCTCTGTACCAGGCTGGCCTCGAAGTCACAGAGGTCCACCTGCCTCTGCCTCCAAAGTGCTGGGATTAAAGGCGTGTGCCACCAACGTCCAGCTGGACTAGACATTGTTAATGTACTTATTGCCATGTATAAATTATATAGTTATTGTACTTATTGTACAGTTTTTCTCATATTAGTTATAACATTTTTAAAATTTTATACAAAAAAAGGGGATATGTAATGATATCTTTCTTGCACAAATAAAGTCTGTCTGGGGGTCAGAGAATGGAGCTTGCCACTATCTAACCATAGAGATCTGGAGGTCTGTACAGACAGGCAGGAAGTGATGTAGCTGGGCAGAAACAGGATATAAGCAGGGAGAAACAGGAAATCACTTTCTTCTCTGCAATGACACATAGGAGGTAAGGTGTGCTGTGGCTTGCTCCTTCTCTCTGATCTCTCAACATTTCCCTCTATATCTGACTCTGCTTTTTTATTACCTAGACCAATTAAGAAGTCTCTTTTCTTTGCAAAACAACTGCTTTGGTGTTGAGGTAGTCTGAATGAGAATGACTCCCCATAGACTCATGTCTGAATACTTGGGCCCCAGTTGGTACAACTGTTTGAAAAAGATCAGGAGGTAGGTCATGTTGGAGATGTGTCACTGGAGATGGGCTTTGAGGATTCAAAGGTCCAAGCACCCGCATTTAATCCCAGCACTCTGGAGGTAGCAGCAGGGGTCTCTGTGACTTCCAGGACAACCTGGTCTGTACAATATGTTTCAGGGCAGCCAGAACTTTGAAGAGTAACTATGTCTCAAATAAACAAAAACCAAAACCCCAAGTAGTTCCCAGTTAGCTCCTGTGTCTTTGTGCCACCCCTATGGGAGGGAGCTGCACTCTTATGCCCCCGGCCTGCTGCCATGCTGCTTAAGGACCCACACTCTGTTATCATAAGTCCTCTATAAACTCTTCTATAAGCTGTCCTGCCATGATGTCTCTTCACAAAAACGAAAAGGTAACTAAGATAGAAAAAAGGTATCAGGGGATGGGCTATTGTTGCAACAGGCCTGACCATGCTCCCTTTAGGAAGACTTTGGGACTTTAGTGGCTGAAAACTATGTGGCACTTATACCATTCACGTGACATTCTGACAAAAAAATGCACTTGTCTCAAGAATCTGCCTGACACTGAAACATTTTGGGGTAATTTCATTAGTAGAAGAGATTTCAAGACAGGCTAATACTTGACTTTGTCACTTGGTTGTTAGCAATCATTCTTACACAGCTCTATAATGACAAGGAAAAGGCTGGGTAAAAAGAAATGCAAACTGTACAGTTGGAGAAGAAAAAGGGCACCAGGAAATTTAACATTGGACCCAAAGCTTGTGCTGAAAGATCAGAAGCGGCTTATGCAGAATGAAATGAAAGGAGTGGTGCCCTTGGGGCAAGACCCTACCCAGCTAAGCCTCCAATTTAACAAGAAAATAGTAAGAAATTACAGGAAATCACTAGTCACATGGGAAGGTAAAAAATTCAACTCTCATGCAAATGTAATCCAAGGAGGAACAGCTTCTACCCCAAGCAAACACTGGAATTAGGCAGCATAAGCATGTGGTTCTGGCATTAAAGTTATAAAGGAGCTGGACAGTTGGAGCACACCTTTAATCCCAGCACTCAGGAGGCAGTGGCAGGCAGATCTCTGTGAGTTCAAGACCACCCTGGTCTACCGAGCAAGATCCAGGACAGGCTCCAAAGCCACAGAGAAACCCTGCCTTGAAAAACCAGGAAAAAAAAAAAAAAGACACAGGAGTGAAGGGTTTGGAATCTTTCCCCATGGTTAAGGGAAGCCACTGAAGGTAAGTGATGCAGCAAGGGAATGTAATCAAAGAGAGAAGTGTATAGCAGTCAACAAAGCTTGGAGGGCAGAGCCATGTAAGCTCTTTGACAAGAGACAAGAGTTACAGGATTTGGAATCTGTTCTGCTGGATTTTGGCCTAAGTTTGTTGTATTTCCTCACTGTGGTCATCCTTCCCTTTGGAATTCTCTGCCATTTAATGTTGTAGGTATGTGATTTGGTTTTGGTTTTATAGGGGGGTGTAATTAAGAGATTACTTTGTGTCTCTGAAGAAATATTGGACTTAAAATAGTTTTGAAATTGTGCTCAGTGCATTTCGTATTATGATATGGCCACAAACCTATGGAGGCCAGAGAGAGGAATGTGGTTGTTTGAATGAGAACGGCCCTCAAGCTAACTTCTGAATATATTTCTCCATTTTTGTTTTTTTTTCAAGGCAGGGTTTCTCTGTATTGTTTTGGAGGCTGTCCTGGAACTCTCTGTAAACGAGGCTGGTCTCAGAGCTCACAGAGATCCGCCTACCTCTGCCTCCGGAGTGCTGGGATTAAAGGCGTGTGCCACCAACGCCCAGCTCCATGTTTTTGTTTTTGTTTTTTTTTCGAGACAGGGTTTCTCTGTGGTTTTGGAGGCTGTCCTGGAACTAGCTCTGTAGACCAGGCTGGTCTTGAGCTCACAGAGATCCATCTGCCTCTGCCTCCCGAGTGCTGAGATTAAAGGCGTGCACCACCAACGCCTGGCTATGTCTCCATTTGATAGAGCTGTTTGAGAAAGTGTAGGAAGTATGGTCTTATTGGAATAGATGTGACACTGGTGGTGGGCAGAGGGTTAGAAAGCCCAAGCCATTCCTAGTTAGTGCTCACTCTCGTCTATCTCTCTCACGCTCCAGCCTCCAGTGTTATGCATACCTGCCTGCTGCCATGCTCCTCGCCATGCTGCTCATAAACTATAACCCTCTGCAGCTCTAGTTCCCCTAAACTCTTCCTTCTGTAAGTTGCCATAATCATGTTGCCTTCACAGCAACAGAAAAATAATTAAGACAGCTGCTAGATACAAAAACAAAGGAATTCAAGTATGCAATAAATCTGTGAAGTCTAGCTTAGGAGAAAAAAAACTGGTTGGCAGAAGACAATTAGAAGCAATTCCTCATCATTGTTTTCCTGTATCCTGTTGATATTCCACGCACATAGTTTTGGAGAGATGCCAAGCAACCAAAAAGACAAGACACACAAGTTTTTGATTTTTTGAAACAGGTCTTCAACTCACCCTCCCTCTGCCTCAGCATTGCAAGCCTAGAATCAGATACATTCTACCACAAGCTGTAATCCTTAACATTAAATATTTGCATTAGAAATTCAAATGGTAGCCGGGCGTTGGTGGCACACGCCTTTAATTCCAGCACTTGGGAGGCAGAGCCAGGCGGATCTCTGTGAGTTCTAGGCCAGCCTGGTCTACAGAGCTAGTTCCAGGACAGCCTTCAAAACAATAATACAGAGAAACCCTGTCTCGAAACCCCCCCCCCAAAAAAACCAAAGTGTTTTACGAATTACTAATAAATTAAGAGGAAGAAAAATCTTGTTTGATAAAAAAAAAAGCAGAAATACTAAGCACATAATTGAAACAAGGTAAAAGGGTATGGAAGTGCCTGTAAGTCCAGTGACTCAGGAGATTACAGCAGGAGAATTTTACATTTGTGGTATGGTAAGGCCATCTGAGCAACTTAGAGAGAACTCATATCAAAATGAAAAGTAAAAAGGCCAGTGATGGCACATGCCTTTCATCCCTGCACTTGAGAGGCAGAGGCAGGTGGATGTTAGCCGGTTCGAGGCCAACTTGCTCTACAAAAAAAGGGGAAGGAGAGGAGTTGCTGAACACAGGGCTTAGTGGTTAGAGCACTGGCTGCTCTTCCAGAGGACATGGGTCCAATTCCCAGCATATATATGGCAGTTCATTACTGCCTGTGACTAGTCCCAGGATCTGACACCCTGTTCTGGCCCAACAGGTACTAAACACACATGGTGTGCAGACATACATGAAGTAAAAAACATACACATAAAATAGGACAGAAACTTTTAATAAGTAAACAGGGAGCTGAGATTACAGATCAATCACAAATAGCTTGACTACCTTTTTCAAGATTTAGGTTCATATTTCCAGTACTACTTAAAAGAAAGCAAAAAGGAGGGCACAACTCTTTAAATGTTCAGTTTCTAAGTCAGGTTGCTGATACAATAAGGATATAGTTCTATACTGGGTGAGTTTGTTTTGTTATGCTGCTTAGGTAGTTAAAATTTATAGGTGGAGCCAGGTGGCGGTGGCGCAGGCCTTTAATTTAGTCCCAGCATTCAGGAGGCAGAAGCAGGCAGATCTCTGAGTTTGAGGCCAATCTGGTCTACAGAGTTCCAGGACAGGATCCAAAGATATAAAGAGAAACTCTATCTTGACAAACCAACAACAACAAAAAGGTGGTATTTACACAGCAAGTGTTTTTGTATTTGAGACAGTTTTCACATTACTGACCAGACTATATAGTTGAGGCTGGTCTGAAACACAAACTATAAATTCTCCTACCTCAGTCTTCAAAATAGAATTATGACTAAGTCCCATCATGTAACAGTCACACTTTTTGTAAAGCTAGAAATCTTTCTGCTCCCTAGTTGTATTTAAATATGAGGTAGGGATGTGGTCAAATAAAAGAATACATACCTCACATGCCAAGATACTGCTTTTAATTGTACAGTGTTAGAAGACTCTATGTCTATGAATGGGGTGAGAGGCCTTAGGATGGAGTTATAGATCTTTATCACATGGGTACTGGGAATCAATACTGGACCCTCCAAGAGTATCAAGTGCTACTGAGCTATATCTCTCCAGGTCCGATAATAGTTTTACACATACAGGTTTTATTGATATTACAGATTGTCAAGAGTTAGGAATTGTATCTTTTTACAGCATTAAAATGATGGTGAAGTTGAAAATCCCAAACTTGGAGTGAGCAGCAGTAGCAAATGTCTCTAGTTCCAACATGTAGGAATTGGAAGCAGAAAGTTCAGATTCAAGGTCATCCTTGACTACATGGTGAATTTGAGTCTACACTTGAAGAGCTCCAACCCCTCTGTTTATAAGAAATAATCTTTTCTTTTGGGACAGAGATAACTCACCATTTGATGCTGATGAACATGGAGTCAACAAACTAAGTGGGGAAAAATGCTGTCTGTTAAAGTTAGCAGCTGCAGGTGCTCCTCCAAGAGGTGCTCCAGGCCCATACATTTGACCTCCCGAAAGACTTGAGGCAAAGTTTCCCAAATGTGTAGAAGAAGGTGTTACAGAACCATATGGTGGGTCCATGTTGACAATACCTGTAATGTAGAAGATCACCTTTATTCACTAATTACCCCAGAAGACATCACTGGAAAGAGCACACAAGTGCAACTCTAAAAAGTATTTTTGTTACTTTAAAAAAGAAATTCAGCTGGGTGGTACTGGTGCATGCCTTTAATCCCAGCACTCAGGAGGCAGAGGCAGGCAGATCTCTGTAATTTCAAGGCCAGCCTGGTCTACAGGGCAAGTTCCAGGACACCCAGGGATGTTACACAGAGCAACCCTATCTTGAACAACAAAACAAAAAGTTCTTTAGCTCTTTAGCGGGGAGTGCTGGCAAATGCCACTAATGTCAGCATCTGGGAGAACCAAGAGTGTCAAATTAAGGTCATCTTCAGCTACATAATCAATTCAAGGCCAGCCTGGACTATAAGAGACTATGTCAAACACACGCACACAATCTCAAATGGTCCTATAAGGTTGAGAACAGCCACATGACAAGTTTAAGGGGAAGTCTAGGCTAAAGGAAGACCCTTTCTCAAAACCACTCCATCATCAATAGATATGAACAAATGAATAAGATGACTGAAAGGAATAGTATTTATTACTAGGCATTTAACAGCTCTGGCTGCCCTGGAACTAGCTCTGAAGACCAGGATGGCCTCAAACTCATGGAGATCCTCCTGCCTTGCATTAAAAGCATTCACCACCACTGACCGGCTGTTATGTAGACCAAGCTTGGATTCAAAGATCTGCCTACCTCACTGTTTCCCACTGAAATTCAAGATGTGCACCACCAACACCTGACTAAAAATTTCTTTTAAACAATTGTATAGGGTGGCAGACTGTAGTGGCTCAGCACTTAAAATTCTTGCAATTCTAGCAGAAGACCCGGGATTGGATCCCAGCAGTCATAGGATAACTTAACTATCTGTAACTCAAACTCCATGGGACCAGTACCTCTTCTGACTTCCCTGAGTGCCAGGTACACATTGGTACACATATATTCATGCAGGAAAAACACATATGTAGGAAAAGGTATTGTTCTGAGTACCAGGCCAACCAATGCTATACAGTAAGACTGTCCTTAAGAAACAAAAAACCAACCGGGCGTTGGTGGCGCATGCCTTTAATCCCAGCAATTGGGAGCAGATCTCTGTTCAAGGCTAGCCTAGTCTACAGAGCGAGTTCCAGGACAGCCTACAAAACAATACAGAAACCCTGTCTTACAAAACAAACAAAGCCAGCCTCCGGTGGTTCATGTCTGTAACTGTAGCCCTAAGTCCAAGGAGGACAATCGCATTATTAGCCTGCTGACTAATTTCAAAGGCCGCTGTGAATCTGAGACAAGCATGACCAATATGGTAAGCTCCAGGCCATAGAGGCCTTGTTTCAGATAACAAAATCGAACCCTGAATAAAACAAAACATTCTTTAAAAATAGGATGAGGTCATGTGGACCAACGACCATAGCATGTCCATCTTTCACATAGATTTTCTCAGTTGCTTGAAATGTTCTGGCAAACTCACAATAGTTTCTTCCCTTCCTTGTTTTAAAATACAGGATCTCTCCTTAGCAATGGTGGGACTTGCCTTTAATCCCAGCACTTGAGAGGCACAGGCAGGCAGCCTAGATTACAGAGTTAGTAATCAGACAGCTAGGGCTACACAAGAGAAACCATATTGGAAAACCAAAAATCAGGATAGAAATGAGCTCAGTACTTACCCCTTGACTAAGAAGATTAAGTGTTCTTATTTTGAGATAGGGTCACACTATGTAGCCCTGGCTGGCCTGGAACTCACAGAGATCTGCTTGCCTCTGACTCCCAAGGCTGGGTGGGATTAAAGATGTTCATCACCACACTTGGTGAATTTTCACTGAGTTAAACAGAAATAGAAGAGATAGCTAATGGCTACCACATTAGATGTTGTATTTTTTTTGAGATAGGGTTTCTCTGTTAAAAGCTCTGTCTGGAACTCGCTTTGTAGACCAGGCTGGACTCAAACTCAGAAATTCACCTGCCTCTGCCTCCCAAGTAAAGGCATGCACCACCAATGCCTGGCTATTGTATTGTTTCAGAATGAGAAAGATGTCTGAAAAACAGAAATTTGAATTTAATAAAACTGGTAGTTATTCAGTGTTTGCTGGCATTACTTGGCTGTTCTCCTTCAACCTTCCAAGTTGATTCCTTTCTCAGAAATATCTCACAAACCTCTTTTTTTTTCCAAGGAGGGGGAGATGAGACCTATTTATTTATGGGACATTCAAGATAAAATTTACTGTAGCCTTTAAAAGGTCTTAAAATAAAAACACTACACTAAATGCTAATGATACAACTGGTAAAGAAAGTGCTTGTCTAGGTAACAAAGGGGACCCTAAGAGAGACATTCACCTAGGAAGGGGAAATAGACAAGAGCTCCTGAGTAAACTGGGAGCCTGGAAGAGAGGGGAGAGAATGGGAGTAGGGAAGAGAGCATGAGGGGACAATATGCTCAGATTGGGGGAAGGACAGAGAGAGAGAGAGCAAGGAAAGAAATATCTTGATGGAGGGAGCCATTATGGGATCATTGAGAAACCTGACACTAGGGAAATTTCCAGGAATACAGGAGGATGACCCCAAATAAAACTCTAAGCAATAGTGGAGAGGGTGCCTGAACTGTCCTTCCCCTATAAACAGATTGAAGACTACCATAGAACCTTCATCCAGTAACTGATGGAAGCAGATGCAGAGATCCACAGCTAAGCACTGGACTGAGCTTCTGGAGTACAGACTAAGAAAGGGGAGGAGCGACAACATGAGCAAAGGGATCAAGACCACGATGGGGAAACCCATAGTAACAGCTGACCAGAGCTAATAGGAGTTTATCAGCTCCAGATTGACAGCTGGGGAACTTGCCTAAGACCAAGCTAGGTCCCCTGAATGCAGGTGAAAGTGGATGGCTTGGGAAGTTTGTGGGGCCACTGGCAGTGGGACTCCCTAGTTCATGAACTGTTTTTTTCCAGACCATACCTTGCTCAGTCTAGACACAGGGTGGTCCTTGGTCTTTCCTCAAAGTGGTAATGGGACAGACTTCATTGACTTGTATGTGTGTGTTTATGTGTGTGTGTGGGGGGGGGGTAAGTGGAAGATTAGGGGAGAAGGGAGGGAAGGAAGGGGGCCAGAGATTGATAGGTCTTTTTAAAAACATACTTGTCTAGCGCACAAATAATGCAGTAGCATCTTGCCTTGTTGTAGTGGCCACGCCCTTTGGGCGTGGTTTCAGGTGCAGCCTCGACCCCTTAAGGTACAGGAGGAGCTGGCACGTGCTCTCTTGGGTTTCAGAGAACATCTGAAGAGTAGAAACTACATCTTCTAGAACAGGAAGACCTCAACAGTTATTTACTCTTATCTGTGTAATGAACAAATAGGTATTTGTCATTTATCTTGGGTCTGGCGAGATCATTTAAACCCTGGCCTTCACAAAACCCAATGGGTTCAACTAGTATCACCAGAAAAACAAAACCCTATAGGCACTGGGCACCACAGCCCACACCTTTAACCCCAGTGCTTGGGAAGCAAAGGCTTGAATTCAAGGCCAGCCTGTCTACATAGTGAATTCCAGGAGAGCTTGTTTCAAAAGCAATAGCGCAACAAAAATCCCCTCTCCATCCAAGTACCCTACTTTAAGAGCAAATACATCAAAACATAGCTAAGAATTTCCCTATTAACCATGTGAAATATTAACTACAGAAGGTGAAAAAACAAAATAATCTCACCTGAGGGACTTGGAGCAGGTCTCTGTAATGGCGGCCTAAAACCTGGTGCTTTGGAAGTATCAGATTGATGTAAAGGATCTGAATTTGGCAAATACGAAGACTTTCCAGACAGCATGGATTCTGGTGTTGACTGAGATGAAACAACAGATCCTCCCCAGAAGGCATGAGCATTTGTAGGGTTGTTTTCAAACAATGTGCTAAAGGGCCCAAATGGTAAAGGAGCACTGAAGTTGGGAGCAACAGGCTTATTTGCTGGATGTACTGAATTCTGACAAGCACTTTGTGTACTTAAGGTCGAAGGTAGCTGGACAGAAGAGGGAACACTATGAGGTCTTTTAATGTGATTAACATTGAGGACTGCAACAGATGAATTCTGCACTGGAGCTGGATTCTTGTGAGGGGCAGCTGTGCCATGAGAAGGTGGTCTAAGAGCAGGGGTTTCCATTTTAGGAGGCTGGGAACATCCCATCTGTGTTTGAGGCATAGGGTACGTCACAGGCGCAGTAGAAGGCACCGCCACTGGAGCAGAACTTGTTGCTGTAGGAGGAACAGTCATTCTCACATCCGGGGAAGGAACCTGAGACTGCTGAAGAGGGGGTCTTGGCTCCTGAGAAACAGATCCCGGAGGTTGCTGCTGCGTGGAATGACCTGATGAGCTCCCAGAAGAACTGCTGCTGTGTGGGGGCCTATTGGAGGTTTCTACTACTGGCGGACTACTTGCTTCCTGTTCGGAAGTAGATGCCCCTTTATTTGGGGATGCTGCTCCACAATTCAAAGGGCTATTCCTAGAAACCCCTCCTGGCTGGGCTGGTGGTGATGGGGAAGATGGGGAGGATACTGGGTAGTGTTCTTTGGCAGTAGGCATAGGATATGTGGCGTTTGTGGGTGCAGTGCTGTTGTTGCTTGCTGTAGTTGTGACTGTTGTAGTTGTGGCATTAGATGTCTTCACAACTGTGACAAAAAGCTGCCTTCTGACTGAAGGAGAACTTGGACTGCCATTTGAAGATGTACCAGGCACCGCTGAAGCTGATGAACTGGTTGTAGTTGTTGGACTTGAAGTTAAAGAACCTGCGGGATTCACCTGAGAACCACTGCTATTCTGATTGCTATGGCGAGGCACCATGTGAGGCTTAGGCGAGTTAGTAGCTCTGGCAGGGCTCAAAGGCCTGACAGGAAAAGGACCCCAAGTGGATTGAGCTGGTGGAAAAGTACCTCCAAAGTGGGTCATGGGCAACCTTGGTGGACGGATCTGCTGGAAAGTCTGAGCAGCAAGCAAAGCATGTGCAAACTGTGGAGGAGGGTACGCTAATGGAAGGGAGACTGGAAAACCAGGCCTCACATTATTCACGGGGTTCTTTATGGTTTTGTGAGTAGATGCAGAAGAGATCGCAGGCACAGTGAGCGCTGTGGCAGTTTGAGATGTTGATGACAGAGCTACAGTCGTCATTTTTATTCCCATTAAGGAACTATTAGCAGCAGTGGTGGTAGGTGCTGAGGACCCTATTTTGGAATTTGCTGAGGAGCTTTTCAAACGATTCTTTGGAATAAGTTCATCAATCTCTTTGTCTGGATCCTTGATCAAAGCATTGATCAACTGAGTTGCTTGTCTTGTTGATTCAGTGCCACCCCTGTATGTTGATCAACAGACAAAAACAAATGTCCCCGGAGTTAGCCCTAATTTCAGTACGTCATAGTTATATAAAGTCATTTGTGTGCAGACATTTTCTCTGTCTGTCTCTCTCACACGCACATACCACAGATAGACCAAAGAGTGCAAGGGCAATATTCTCACCAATTTTTAGGTATTCTGGAAACAGTAAATTATCCTGAATTAATGCTAAGCTTCAGAAGATCAATAAATTTTAGCTTCTTTTTTTGTATGCACATGGAAGGTGTTGGCAGGCAGACTTTCACAAGCTAGTTCCCTACCACTAACCCATACTACCTATCTTAAGTGACTTTCTTAAGAAGGACTTATTGATATAATTGTTTAGATGTCTGGAAGCTACCATGTGGGTGCAGAGAACTGAATCCTGGTCTTCTGCAATGATTGCTCCAGGTCCTAATTGTTTTATTTATTTTTTTTTAATGAAAACTTCATTTTCCCGCTGAGCGGTGGTGGAACATGCCTGTAATCCCAGCACTCGGGAAGCAGAGACAGCCTGTGAGTTCGAGGACAGCCTGGTCTACAGAATGAGTTCCAATGCATTCAGGGCTGTTACACAGAAAACCCTGTCTCAAAAACAAACTGTTAGAGATTTACTACTCAAGGCTTAGGACAAATGTCCTTAACAGTACTTAAAACATGTTACAAGAATATATTAATTAGAAAAGGGCTAGGGATACTAATATTCTCAAACACTTATTTCTTTTTGCTTTTGGAGACATGGTCTCCATACATAGCCTTGGCTGTCCAGGAACTCACTATAAGGAACGGCTGGCTTTGAAGTCACATAGAACTGCTGCTTCTGCATCGGATGAGATTCAAGGTGTGTGTTACAATTCTCAAATAATTATCAGCCTTTAAAAACTAAGCGTGGGGTGAACATGAGTTCAAATCCCCATTACACACAAGCCTGTAACCTCAGCATTATTAATGGAAGAGGATCCTGGCAGCTCTCTGTACGGTCAGACTGGCTGAAATACCAAGCTTCCAAGCCTCAGGCTCACTGAGGAATTCTAGCTCAAGGGCCAACACAAAGTGATAGACCATAGGAGGGGAATTATTCCCTGGCTCCCACAGTGTAAGCACATGCACTCTCGTGCACACGCCCGCCCGCCCTCCCTCCACCCGACACACACACACACACACACACACACACACACACACACACACACACACACACACACACACACACACACACACTCCCTCCCCCCTGGGAGATAATTCCATTGGTAAAGTACTTGGCAGCACACACAGGAACCCGAGTGTGACCTCAGAACACATTAGAATAAAAAGCTGGGGCATGGTGTCTGCATGCTTGTGGGAAGGTGGAGATAGACAGGTCATTTGGACTCAATTGCTAGCTATGTATACCTACATGCCAATTCTAGGCATTTCAGAGGCTCTGTCTCCCAAAAAGGGAGAAGGGGGAAGGTGCTAGATGATTTAATGGTTAAGAGCATGTACTGCTCTTACAGAGGGTCCAAATTCGGGTCCAAAACCCATGTCAGGTAGGCTATTACTCCAGTTCCAGGGATCTGAGGTCTCTGACCTCTGAGGGCACACACAAACACAACTTAGAAATTAAAAAATAAAACATGGTAGAATGTATCAGAAGATCAGCACCTAAGGTTGTCCTTTAGCATTCACATGTGTACAGATATATACTTGCATTGGCACTCCCAGCAAGAGCGCACACACACATATATACTGTGGTAGTTTCAATGTAATTGGCTTCCCATAATCTCATAGGGAGTGGCACTATTAGGAGGTAAGGCTTTATTGCAGTGCATATGACCTCCTTAGAGGAAGTATGTTACTGTGAGGTAGGGCTTTGAGGTTTCCCATGCTTAGGATGCTGCCCAATCTCAGTTGACTTCCTATTGTCTGCAAGATGTCAGACTCCCAGCTACTTCTCCAGTATCATGTCTGCCTGCATGCTGCTACATCTCACCATGATAATAGACTGAACCTTTAAACTTAAGTGAGTCACCCATTTAAATGTTTTCCTTCAGAAGTGTTGTCTCGCTGGGCGATGGTGGCGCACGCCTTTAAACCCAGCACTTGGGAGGCAGAGGCAGGTGGATCTCTGTAAGTTCGAGGCCAGCCTGGTCTACAAGAGCTAGTTCCAGGACAGCCTCCAAAGCCACAGAAAAACCCTGTCTCAAGGAAAACAAAAAAAAAAAAAAAACAAAAACAAACAAACAAAAAAAAGAGTTGTCTCTTCACAGCAAGAAAAACCCTAAGACACACACACACAAAAATACAAAATGCTACTCAAATGATTCAATTCCATTGAGTTATAATAAAACAGAAAGAAGAAAATGTAGAAATAAAGCTTTGCCTTATAGTTATTATCCGGTCTCCAGTCTTGTCCTTCTGCTTATCAATATCTATGTGTGCACCAGTAAATTCCCGAATGGCATTGATATTACAGCCACCTCTTCCAATCACTCTAGATATCACAGTTGATGGAACAGATACTTTCTTTGACCTGTTTAAAAGTTGCAAAGATAAATTAATAAATTAAGACAAATCATTATTAGGGGTCATAATGAAAATAAGAAATTATAATCAACATATTTTACTATAAATGAACAGACTATTAAGAAATAAGCATCTGGGTTATTCTTTTGTTATTTATTTATTTATTTATCTGTCCATTCATTCATCTATTTATTTAGGTTTGGTATTCGCGACAGGGTTTCTCTGTGGCTTTGGAGGCTCTCCTGGAACTAGCTCTTGTTGACCAGGCTGGTCTCAAACTCACAGAGATCCCCCCGCCTCTGCCTCCCGAGTGCTGGGATTAAAGACATGTGCCACCACCACCCGGCTTTTGTTTTTTAAATGCACAATAAATACAGGATCTTACTATGTAGCCTTGGCTAGCTTAAAAAGGGGATTCTGGCCTATCTCCAAAGTGCTGGGACTAAAGGAATACACTACCACACCCAACTTTCTATTTATTCTTAATTCAGAGAAACAAAAAAATGGCCCCTTTAGTAACAGCACTCAGGAGGCAGAAGCAGAAGGATCTACAGGCTAGCCTGATCTATACAGTGAGCTGCTGTCTTAGCCTACTTTTCATCTTGTTCTGGACTATCATATACCAGGTTAATGTGCACTCTGCCACTGCAAATCCTGCTGGTGCAAATTAACAGGAAGGGTTAAAGGATCTAATATAGGCTAAAGGCTCAAGAAAGGTTTCTTTTAGGCACCCTTCATTTTTGCCTTTTAATGTATTATCTCAAAAAATGATATAAAAATTCTTTGTTTCTCTGAATATTTAATTATCTAGACATATAAAAATTCATGAAGTCACATGAGAAAAAATAAAAGCCTACCAGAAGTTAAAAGAAAAAGAAAAAAAAAAATCACCTAGGTTAGCCTGCCAAGTGGTGGGAGTTGGTGGAAGAAGGGTCATTACTAAGGGCTATAGTGAATTAACTCAAGACTTGCTTGGACTATGTAGGACAGAAGCCTCATTCTGTAGCCTAGGCTTCCAAATCAAACAATCTTCTTGCCTCCTACTCTCAAGTAGTTGGATTACAGGCAAGAACTATCATGCCTCACTTTCCAAATTACAAGAATTCTTACATTTTATTGGGGGGGGGGTATGGACACATGGGCCAGGGAGTACACAGAACAACTTGGAGACGTGTGTCAATTTGTCCGTATCTATGTGATTGTATGTTGTATATGCGCAGGTGCCTGTGGAGGCCAAAAAGTGTCCAATCCCCTCAAGCTGGAGTTACAGGAAGTCGTAAGATGTCCTGTATGGGTGCTGGCAACTGAATTAAAGTTCCTTGGAAAAATAGCAAGCAGTTTTAATTTTGCTTATTTAGCCGGGCATTAGTGGCACACACCTTTAATCTCAGCACTCAGGAGGCAGAGGCAGGTGGATCTCTGAGAGTTCAAAACCAGCCTGGTTTACCGAGCGAGTTCCAGGACAGGCTCCAAAATAATATAGAGAAACCATGCCTTGAAAAAAAACCAAAACAACAACAACAACAACCCAAAAAAAATTGCTTATTTGTTTGTTGTAAACAAATGAGAACCTCAAACAGTTCAGAATGGCCGCAAACTCACTGTGTAGCTGAGGGTAACCTTTTTCACCTCCAAAGTGCTAGTATTACAGGAATGTGCCACCAGGTTTGGCACATTTTAATTTTAAATCTTCACATTGGTCAAAGAATCCCAGTACTTGGGAGGCAGAGGCAGCTGGAACTCTTGAGTTCCAGGCCAGCCTGGTCTACCCAGTGGAATTCTAGGGCAGCCAGAGCTACAGAGAATTACACTAGGATTAGAGTACATCACCACCAACTCACTTCTTTTAAAACACTGACTTTTTTGGCATGTGAAATACAGCAAGATTGTCTCTTGCCCAGATTTAGTTTTGGGACATGAGTTTCTCTACAACCTTGGGAAGAGTGGGAAGACTTTAGTTGTAAACCAAGAATCACTCACCTCCTTACAACCTCCTTCCATCCTTCTTCCCTCTTTTGCCCACGCTTAGGACTTGCTACTGTTAACTTCCCATTTGGAGAAGAAAGAGGAGATGGACCAGACTTTGTACAAGTTGACAGAGAGTTACTGGTCCCTTCATTGACAGTCTCTGACAATCTTTAACAAAGGAGGGAAAGTACATTAATAATGAACAGATGTAGAAAAATTTAAATGACAAAGGTAATAAGATACACAGCTTATTAAGACCAATGAAAGAGAACAAGAGGAACTTGTTCCTAACTTCTCTACTAGTCAACATATAATAACAAAGACCCGGTTTTAAGAATATAATATACAAAGGCAAATTTAGCAAAGTAGAATCCTAACACAATACCATTTTCTTTTTTGAAGCAATCTTGATACATAGGTCAGCCTATACTCAAGTCAACAAGTAGCCCAACCTGACTTTGAACCTGTGATTCTCCTGCTTCAGCCTCCCAATTGATGAAATTACAGGCATGTGCCACCATGCCCAGGTTCACTTACCAATATTTTTAATGAACTGTTTAACAATCACAAAAACTTAAATAGTAAAAATAATTTATTTTCTTCACATAAAATCTGAACAACAGTTTAATCTTTTTTAGCATACAAAAATATTTAGTAGTTAATTTACTTGTTTCAAAAAAAGAGAAAGAAGAAGAAAGGAAAGGAAAAAGAAAATTAGCAACAAGGTGTTTAATCGACACCAGTAAAAGTAGAACTTAGAACTAACTTTATGGAAGTCTTGCCAGAAACGGATTTTCGCTCCTCTTTTGGAAATGTAACCAGAACAGAAGGCTGCTTCTTGCTGGTCACAGTGGTAGTGACCACAGCTGGGGAATGATTGTCACTCTTCCTGCTGCTGTTGCTGTTACTACTTTCATCACTGCAGCTGGAAATCCTCATATTGTCACTGTCCCCACTCTCGCTGGTACTGCTGCTCTTGGATTCTCCATTCACCTTCTCTGGCTGACTGTATGAAATTGGTAGTGGCTCATCAAATATAATTTGAACATTTTCTGGAGTAATTTTATTTTTCCTGTTTTTCCTCTTTGAACTGGTTGTAGTTATGGTATTATTTCTTTTACCATGGGAACCTGCCAAAGTAGTCCAGGTAGCAGATATTCCTATGGTGGTGGTGGTAGTGGCACTTGGAGGCTCTGTCAAGACTTCAGGTTCTTCTGTAAAAGCAGCAATACTAAGTTAGTCATTCACTGATGAGATTGATACAACAGACAACAGTAAAGAGTATCTGGGGCCAGGTGGTGGTAGTGCACAAATCCCAGCACTCGGGAGGCAGAGGTAGGTGGATGTCTGTGAGTTTAAGGCCTGCCTGGTCTACAGAGCTAAACAGAGAAACCCTGTCTTGAAAAACAATCTAACAAACAAACAAAAAAGATTATTTGGGGGTAGCTTGGGAAATATGCACATGAATCATGATAAAATTGTTAAATGAAGTATAATAGTTACTAGGATATATAAAATAATGTCACTCTATGAGAAGAGTAATAGTCAAGTATGTCATTACACATAATGTATACAGTTACATGTAAACAGTTCAAAAAAGAAGAGAAAGACTAAGCACATGTAGTCAAAAGTTTTAAAAATCAAGAATGGAAGATGTCTATATTCTATGTGATCTGAAAGGATGGGGTAGAGTGCAAGGCTACCATGAGCTAAATACAGCAAAGAAAGAAGTACAAAACACAGACCAAAACCAGAATCTAAATAGTTAAATTATGGAATCAGACAGTAAACCAAACAACAGCTTCTCATCTTTAGTCTTCAAATAGTTAAAACTATGTCTAAGCTGACTGATTAGTATTTTAATAAAAATAAATGGGGGAGACAGGAGACAGGGTTTTACTATATATTCAGGGCTAGTCTTGGCTTTTCAGTAATTGACTACCTCAGTCTCTGAATGCTAGGATTATAAGTATGTACCACCACATCCAACTTAAAAGTAAATATAATCATGATTACAATTAGCAGTAGTAGTCTAAGGTAGTCTTTGACTTTATAGCCAAGGGCGACCCTGACCTGCTGACCCTCCTGCTTTCCACTTCCCAAATGCTGCGGTTACCATGGCACACCACCCTGCCTAGCTTAAGCTAACAATGATCTTTTAGTGCAAAGAATTATATTTAAGGCCCAGCACATGGTAGGCAACTGCTTGCAGACCTACCTGCTTGGAACTCATAAACTCTTGAGACAATCTCACCAAGCTGTATATTCTGGCCTTGAACTCACTGTGTCACCCACACATCCTGATCTTGTGATCCTTTTACCTCACCCTGCCATGTAACTGGAAATACAGCTACTAGATGAAGCTAAGTGTAAGATTTGACTGCAGCCTCAAAATGGATGCTTATCTGGAAAAAAATACCTTCAACTTTAAGTTTTTCTTTTTCTTGGGCAGCTTGGAGTTCAAAGTTCTCCTTATTTTTGGCTTCAATTTCTTCTAATTTTCTTCTTTGTTCTTCCTTTTTCTTCCTTCTCTTCTCTTTTCGTTTTTCTCTTTTGGCAGCCAAAGCCAGCCTTCGACTTTCTTCCCTTAACTGTTTAAAAAAGACAAAAACACGGAAACACAACACTAGAGTTTATTTTGAATAAAAGTAGGCACATGTTACTTATGACAAAGCAAATAGGATACCTTAAAAGTCAACGTCATTGGATTCAACTCATTGCTAGTGCTAGATGACACTGCCACTATACTGAAGACAATAATCTGTTATTGGCAAACACAGGCATAGCAGTGTGAGCTGAAGGCCAATTTTAAAATATCAAGCTACAATCAAGGTTTTTTCTTTTTCCTTGGTATTTCAAGACAGTATTTCTCAGTAGCTTTAGAGCCTTTCCTGGAACTCACTCTGTAGACCAGGATGGCCTCAAACTCAGACAGGTGTGAGCTGCTACATGGGGGAATTGATCCTGGGTCCTCCAGAAGAACAGCCAGTGCTCTTAATCACTGAGCCAATGTCTCCAGTCCCCAATCACTTAAAATTTTTATGTTAGGGTTGGAGACAATTCAGTGGGTGTGAGTTTTTACTGCTCTGGCAAAATACATGAATTGGTTCTAAGGATCATTGTTTTTTTGTTGTTGTTGTTTTGTTTTGTTTTTCTAGACAGGGTTTCTCTATATTGTTTTGGAGCCTGTCCTAGAACTCACTCAGTAGACCAGGCTGGCCTCGAACTCACAGTGATCCGCCTGCCTCTGCCTCCTGAGTGCTAGGACCAAGGACCATTGTTTAAGGGTTTAATAACCTCAAACTTTAGCTGGGGGGGGGAATCCAACATCTACAGTCTCTCTAGGTACCACACCACACCACACAGAGTAATTAAAAAGTAGTGAAGATAAATCTTTAGAAAACATTTAAGTTAACCAAGCAGGATGTCACACCAATTCCCAGCTACTCAGTAACTTGAGGGAAAATAACTGAAATACAAAGCCAGCATGTAAAATTTATCAAAAATTACTGAAGATGTAAATCAGGGATGGACTGTTTACCTAACAATTCCTAGAATGATGATGAGACGGGTCAGGGAGTGAGTGAGAGCATACAGATGGGCAGAGACAGGGTGTACCATAATGTTAACTCACTCTGTTTCATTGCAAATTGTTTTTCTCCTGCTCCTTTAAAGTTTGTTTTGTTTTTGGTTTTTCGAGACAGGGTTTCTCTGTGTTGTTTTGGAGGCTATCCTGGAACTAGCTCTGTAGACCAGGCTGGCCTCAAACTCACAGAGATCCGCCTGCCTCTGCCTCCCAAGTGCTGGGATTAAAGGTGTGTGCCACCAACGCCCGGCCTCCTTTAAAATCCTGAGACAGAATCTAACTAGCTATACAAAGCAAAATGGGCTATACAAGAAACTCACAGCAATTCTCTTTCCTCAAGTTCCAAGTATGAGCCAATTTGCCTGGCAGGAAACTCATTTCCAAGCTTTTCTTTTTTCCCACTAAGAGGAAAACTTTAAAAAATGTACTCATGCATGCACATGTACATACTCATACTCCTTGTTTCCGGCCCATATAGCCCATAAGCATTCTTCAGTCTTTTTTTTTTTCTTTTTTTTTTTTTTGGTTTTTCGAGACAGGGTTTCTCTGTGGCTTTGGAGGCTATCTTGGAACTAGCTCTTGTAGACCAGGCTGGCCTCGAACTCACAGAGATCCGCCTGCCTCTGCCTCCCAAGTGCTGGGATTAAAGGCGTGAGCCACCAACGCCCGGCGGCCCATAAGCATTCTTGCTCTGTGTATTTTACATGCACTTCAAATATATGCTTATAAAAACAATGGTATTTAATATATGTAAAAAAAAAAAAAACCTCAGTATCCTGCTAGTGACACCGAGGCAAATAGAAAGACAAGAGGAATTATGAAACCACGGGCAGGAAGGTGAGTCCCTTACTGACACAGGTCTCCTCTCAGCTGAGAATTGAGATTTCCATCATTGACTAACATTTTCTATAAGTATTACTAATATAGAGATAATATTGATGGTGAAAACTATCTTTCAAAGTTTAAGAGTACTGTGTTTAAGAGAATTATAAAACAAAATGCCCCTACGCTCTGAGCCCACTTGGCCAAGGACAGATGACTTCCTGGAATGCTGGGGACTGTTCTTGTAATTGCCCGGTCTTACACAAATCTCATGTTTTCACTTTTTTTTTTTTTTGAGACAGGTTTCTCTGTGGCCTTGGAGCCTGTCCTAGAGCTAGCTCTTGTAGGCCAGGCTGGCCTTGAACTCACAGAGATCCACGTGCCTCTGCCTCCCCAGCTCTGGGATTAAAGGCGTGGGCCACTGGCTGATGTTTTAACTTCTGTAAACAAGCTTGCCTGCCCCAGACTATATGTAGGCAGGATATGGGCCTGATTCCACATAGGCAGACATGAAGTTTGTCACTATGTGTTACTGTCCTTGATTCCAAATAGGCAGGCAGTACATTGTCTTGCGAGTTTTGCCTTTATAAACCCCTACTGTAACTCAGAACTGCACCCAGAGAGCAAGAGCCAGTGAGATCGAGAAAGCTAAAGTAAGAGAAGGGAGAGGGGGCTAGAGGGGAGAGGAGAGAGGAGGGGGTGAAGGGGGGAGGAAAGAGGGGAGGGGGAAGGGAGGGGAAGGAGAGCAGGGGGGGGGGGAGAGAGATTAAATTAAGTTTGTTTTTTGAAACAGGGTTTCTCTGCGTAACAGCCCTGACCTGGAACGCATGGAGGTCTAACTCCAAAGTGCTGGGATTAAAGACGTGCACCACCACTGCCTGGCGTGAATCTTGTTTTTCAAAAGAGAAGCAGGTATGTAACATGTGTTATACAAATTACCTATGCAGTACTCTTTCCAAGTTTTTGTTAGTTTCCTAGAAGTACACTGCTGTAGGCTAAAGGGTAGGAAACGGAGTTTTGCTATGCTCTATTGGTGCAGAGAGCAAAGGACCCAGGGCAGGAGGTTCCAGAGTTCAAGGTCATTTGAGCCCAAACAGTAGACCCAATCTCAAGATAAACAAACAAAGGTGACTGCTAGATGACTTCCCTCCTTAATTTACTGAAGGGTGGAGGAACTGCAACTAATGAGTGAGTCTGGAAGCCGGAGGAACTGAGCACATGACTGCCCCATTCCAGCCTAAGCAGCCACTAGTCAGTCCTAAAGAGCACTCACTGTTCATCTCAAGTCCTAGAAGGAGGTCTGTAGTTTCCTGTCTGGTTCAAGAACCATCGGACAAGTGTTACAAGAGGAGAAGGACTAGACTTAAGGGTGAAGGGTGCTTAAGAACATGAAAATAGCCGGGCGGTGGTGGCACACACCTTTAATCCCAGCACTCAGGAGGCAGAGGCAGGCGGGTCTCTGTGAGTTCGAGGCTGGGCTGGACCAACAGCCTCCAAAACAACACAGAGAAACCTTGTCTCGTTAAAAAAAAAAAAAAAAAAAAACAAACATGAAAATAATTTTTTTTTCCAAAAAAGGTTTCTCTGTGTAGTCCCTAGGATGGCCTAAAATTCAGAGATCTGCCTGCCTCTGCCTCCTTAGTGCTGGGTATAAAGGCATGCGCCACCACCACCACCCACCTGAAAAAACTCATAGAAAGCATAAATATTCCTGTATATTACCCTGATTCCTAAATTACAGCGATTCCTATCTGGCACACTCAGCACTCCAGAGGTAGAGGAAGCAGGAGGTTTTGACCCCCCCCCTTCTATAAACCATTCTACAAAGAGAATCTAGAGAAATGAAAGAAAAATTTACAAGCCTGAATATTAAAAATTTCTTTTCTGTTTGTTTCCATGAGGTAGGGTCTCACAGCAGAGGATGGCTTCAAACTCCATGTTGCCAAAAGACCCCAAATGCCTAATTCTTTTATTCTATCACCAACTGCTGGAATTCAAGGGGTGCATCACATCACAACACCTAGCTGCAACAAAAACTTACTGCTAAATTGATATGTGCCAGGTATGGAACACAATCCTTCCTCACACAGTTTACACTTATTGAAAAAATGAGGACTATATATAGGTGATAAATGAAGTAAGCATAGCTTTCTCTTAGTATCCTAAGGGACTGATTCCACCAACAAAAATAGAATCCATGGGTGCTCAATGTCTTATGTGGAATGCCACATGTTTTAAAACATCACTATGTGCCTTACTGAACAGTTCTACATATGGTATTACTTAGGATATAAAGAAAGTCTACATGCTGGGAACAAAAGTTTCTTCTGGATGTGTATGGTTTGTTTTCTTTGTTCCTTGTGTATCTTCACTTGCTGAACCTTCTCACTAGTCCCTCATGGATTTTAAATAAGATTCTGAGTAAGATTTAAATAAGATGAAGGTATAGGACATGCAATATTTCAATCAAAGCATAACACCAATGTGCAAACTATAAGGCTTGTGCCTTGTATATTCAAGTAACTAGTAGAGCTGGTAAGAATAGAATAGAAAATGAATTTTAGGAATAGTAACAGATCTTTACATTCTAGACCTAGGGTCTTAAAAAAAAATTACCTTAGCTAGGCATTATTTCAGTTATCAACAGCAAGAGGATTACCATGAGTTAATGACCAACTATGGCTAAAGAATGAGTATTATATTAGCTATGGCCATAAAACCAAAAAAAAAAAAAAAAAAAACCAAAGAGTGAGGAATCAGCATGGAAGACACCACGGGACGGTGTGAATACCCTATAAGAAGATGAAAAGCCAATTAGAGAATATATCAAATGGAGTTAGGAACTTCAAAGATGGCTCTGTACAGTTGTGTCCTTGCTGTTCTTCCAAAAATCCTGAGTTTGGTTCTCAGCAGCCATGTCAGGCAGCTTACAGACTAATTCCCAACTCCAGGGGATCCAAAAGTCTCTTTTCACTTCCATGGGCACCTATGCACATGTGGTATAGTCACAAACATTCACATATTTGAATGGTGTTTATTTAATTCCCCAGCACCTAGAAGGCAGATGTCGGTGAGTTCAAGGCTATCCTGTTCTACAAAGTGAGTTCCAGGACAACCAGGACTATCACACAGAGAGACCATGTCTTGAAAACCAAAACAAAACAAAGGGGGGGGGGGGCTTGTAGTTGTTGGTTTTTTTTTGAGGCGGGGTTTCTCTGCAGAACTGCCTTGGCTGTCTTTGAATTCTACTGGCCTCAAACTTACAGTGATTTGCCTGCCTGTGCTAGGATTAAAGGCACCACCACGCCCACTGTAGTTTGCTTGTTTTTATCTTAAAGAAAAATGAGTAAGTTGATTTTAGCTACAAGAAAGTTACAAGCCAGGCGGTTGTAGCGCAAGCTTTTAGTCCCAGCACTCAGGAGGCAGAGGCAGATGATCTCTGAGTTCGAGACCAGCCTGGTCTACAAGAGCTAGTTCCAGGGCAGCCTCCAAAAACACAGAGAAACCTTGTGTCGAAAAACAACAAACAAAAACAAAAAAGAAAGTTACAAGAGAGCAAGGTACCTGTGGTCCTAGAAACTAGAAGGTAGAATCAGGTGGATCAGGACTATACACGACCCCATCTCAAAAACAAAACAAAAACCCTGCATGGTGATCCAGGAATGGAGGAAAATAATATAGGAAAAAGGCTGATTGTTCCAACAGCACCGCCGAATAAGATACATCAGATGATTCTGGGGGGAGGGGCCTAGCTACTCAAAGTTTATCTTTTTCCTGGCAGGATGAATAAATATTAGTGGGTGGATAGAGGGATTGGGGAAGGATCTTTGGAACTGTTCTTTGGATGCTAAACTAAAACTAAAGCAGGAATACAGTGTAACTACTGGGCTGTATTAAAGGGCTAAAAAGTCACTCTTATCTGAAAGGCATCAGCTCTCCAAGTACCTCCTCACCATCAAATGTTAAGATGCATACATCCCTTCTATAAAATGGTATGATACCCGCACACAACCTCATTCATACAAAGCAAATGACATGTAAACACTTACTTTATTGTATTGCTTGGGGAAAAATGAAAAACTCTGTAGAAGTCCAGTATCATTGTAGTTGGAGGAGGGGTGCTTTTCAATATAGCATGACAATGGCTGAATGTAAAATGTAAAGGTGTGGAACTCACAGAAACAGAAGGAAAGTTGTGTGACTATCAGGCAGGAAAAGTTTCAGTAATAATGCACTCAAAGTGAGATCCAGCAAGGTAGAATTTTCTCTTTCTAGACACTTATTGATTGGGATGCAAGACATGAGTTTCAATGGAGTAAGAAATAGGAAAACGGTATTGTGATGTAAATGATTCTACCATTTCTTGATAGGCAGGTTGCTGGGAATAGAATTGAAGGTGCAATTCAAGAAGGAGTAAAGCAAAAAAGAGAGAAGGAATCACATGGCACATGTGCTGAGATTATGAGATTGGTTTATTTACAAATGTATCTCATGCAGTACTTTAAAAGTTTATGGAAGGGACTGTACACACACAAATCCATACACAGTTTATTTAAAAAGTTGGGGGAATCTATAGAGAAAAGAGTATGGGGAGGGGGTGAGACACAATTTAATAAACTGTATATATATATACATAGTATCGAGAACAGAACCAAATTGCCAATATCCTACAAAAACAGTCAAATTGGCCCCACCTTTAATCCTCTTGCCTCAGACTCCCACGTGCCAGGATTATAAGTATAAGGACTAGTAAGCTACTTAACCACAATGACTTAGAAGCAGTACTACCTAACCTCATCTACCAGTCACTGAGAGGAAATGAAAGTATAAGACATTTACCTATGATTCGAAGGCTAACATCTCCAAACCCAACCCCTACACTAACGACTCTTGAGTGACTGTGTTTCACTTACACCTTGTAATAGATGTGGTTATCTCTGATAAATTTATTGGCAATAAAGTCTAGGGTTGTGGTTGAGGATCAAGAGAACTGAAATAAGACTAAAATCTAGATAGAATGTATGTTTCCTTTATTAAGATAAAAAAAATATACTTTCCCCTTGTGGTAATAGAACTCCCCTTTGTGGTACTAGAACTCAAATTTGGTTAAGTGCTTGATTGGTATGATAAAAACAATGCACATTAATAAAGAACAAAAGTAAACACCATGGACAGACTATAAATTTAGTGGAGAAAACAAAATGATAAGAATGGTTTCCGTGTGCAAAGCTTCCATTACCTTCTCCAGGTCTAGCTCCTCCAGTAGTATGCTGGCATTCTTATTTGCTTCAGCAGCCTGTCTGTCTTTGGCTTGTACTATTGACTCCATACAAAGATGACACTTCTTTAGCATCTCCTGCAATAAAAAATTGGAGACATCTCTAGTCTTAAAGGACAATTCACATTTAGTCAGATTCCTAAAAACATTAACTTAGTTAAAAATGAACATTAGGCCAGGAATGGGATGTGAGGGTTGTTGGTGAAGGAGTAAATAGATAACAAACTACTTTTCCAAAATAGCCACAAGAAACAGCTTATGTATTTTCAAAATACACACTTAGAAGCTAACTTAGGCCTATATTTTGAGAAAAAAAATCAAGCACTGCAAATAAGCATGGTGTACGTAAATACATATAAACAAACCAACTATACTATGTGTGTGTGTGTATAACTATAGATTTTTTCCTACATATGAGAACAGTATCAACAAGAAACAGATGTAAAGCATATACAATGGCATTTTAATTTGGTGATTTCACACTCAAAACCAACATGAACAACAAAGGAATATTCTTTTTATTACTAGGAGTAAAAATATTAGGCAGGCGTGGTGGTATATACATTAATTCCATCACTCAGGAGGCAGAGGCAGGCAGAACTCTAAATTTGAGAACAGCCAGGGATACACAGAGAAACCCTCACTTGAAAAACAAAAACAAAAAACTAACAAAAATTTCAAAGTATCTACTTACTCCAGGTATGGCAGCCCATGCCTTTAATCCCAGCACTCAGGGAGCAGAGGCAGGTGCATTTCTGAGTTACAAGACCAGCCCAACCTACAAAGTAAGTTATAGTATATCAAGTCCTATAAAGTGAAACTCGGTCTCGAAAGTCCAAATAAAAAGAAAAAACAAAAACAAAAAAAACCTTAGTATTCAATAATGTTAATTGCTGCAGAAACCCAAGTAAGGCAAGACAATGAGCTGTGGGGCAGATCACTATCATACAATAAAGCATTTCTTACATTTTTTGGCTTTTCAAAGACATATGTCAAGATAGTATTACTTGTGTGTGTGTGTAGACACAAACATCTACACCCCAAGCATAAAATGATAGTGGAAGATTCCAACTAAATCTCTAACAAGACACATTTTTACCTTCCCTACATCTGCCAAAATTCAAGCAAAAAAAAAAAAAAAAAATGTTGGGCAGGACAGGGTTATACTAGGAACAGAACACAGGACCAAAGACAAGCTAAGCAACTGTTCCAGCACTGAACTTCATTTCCAGTCATCAATACTCTTTTTTATTGTTTTGTTTTGTTTTTCGAGACAGGGTTTCTCTGTATTGCTTTGGAGGCTGTCCTGGAACTCACTCTGTAGACCAGGCTGGCCTCAAACTCGCAGAGATCTACCTGCCTCTGCCTCCTGAGTGCTGGGATTAAAGGCGTGAGGCACCACTGCCCGGCTCACCAATACTTTTTAAATGTACAGCTACCCCAACTTCTTGGTGTTCAAGCCATCAAGGTTTTCTTCTTCTCAGAATATATTCTAAATCTAGGTGAAGCTTTTAAATGCTCATACATATTATACAAATGAACTGCTATATATTATACTTTGTTGCTCATAGTTTATTGGCATGAAGGCTGCATTAACCAACAGTAACTCAGCCCACGAGGTGAATCGGAATACCACATTACCTTATCCCTGATGGTTGCTCTATACAATACATTACCTTATCCGTGATGGTTGCTATATACCGCATGCATTCAGAGTCTGATGGAAACTGATTGACTTCTTTGACCAAGTAGCGTACCACCTTCACATGACCCTAAAAACAGGTATCACTGTCAGATTAAAACCACATGCTAACAGAGTTCAATAAATCTATACACTGTCTGAGAGAACTTTAACACTAGTTAATATTAATAGCATAAAGTAAAGACCTAACTGTGTATTTATGCTATAGATGAAAAGCACAGCTTTCCTTCTAATGAGTTACAACTACATTTTTCAATCTCATTTCACTTTCCCACATAAAGAATGATGTGGCCTAAAATTCTGAATATCAGCATGAAAATTAGAGACACCTAATGAGAAAATATTCCACAAACTTTACCAACCTTTTCCTTGTTCTCATTCTTTTCTAAGTACTAAAAGTAAAAATAATTGCCAGGCTTGTTATCTCATGCCTTTAATCCTCACCACAGAAGCACAGGGACCTCTGTGAGTTCAAGGCCAGTCAGGACTACAGAGTATGACCCTGCCACAAAAAAAGTCCAACAGAGCCTAGATCACACAGAAACCACACATTCACAACACATGCACACGCGCGCGCGCGCGCACACACACACACACACACACACACACACACTATTGCTATTTATACTTCTGGTTAGGAGCTGCTATCCTTTTACTTCAGTATTTACTACTCTGAAATAATATCCATTCTTATAATATCCATTCTTTAGATAATAGAAACAGAGTACTGTATGCATACATGTGTGAACTTCTATATAGACATGCATGAATTTATGTCATGTGGATCTGGTTGTCTTTTTCCAACACTGTGTGGGTTTGGGGGACCAAACACAAGCTGCCAGTTGTGAATAGGAAGCACCTTTACCTCCTAAGCCATTTTGCTCAACCTGTCTTTGAGGCATCAGTCCCAATACCTCCCTTCTTTTTGTGAGACAGCATCTCACTTTGTAGTCCTGACTGTCCTGGAAGTCACTACAGACAATCCAGGCTGCCTTCTAGTCCCTCTCAGCATGCTCCTTTCTCCTCAGTGCTGGAATAAAAGTACTCACTATGCGGAGGACAAGCTTGAACCTGCTTCTGTGAGGCACTGCCCCAGCACTACTCCAGAATGCAGGGGTGAGAAAATGTGGCTCTCTTTTCCTCTAATTTGTATTTATTTATCGTTTAAAGGCTTTAACTGAATATTTGGTCTTTAAAATATTTCTATGACACAACTCATACAGCACCCTGTCCACTAGCATTCATTTAAAGAAGAGGGAGAGAGAGAAGGAAAGTAGGCAGGCAAGCTGTTGGAACTTGGTAGCCTATTCCTGTAATAAAAAATAACAAAGGACTGCAGGATTACAGAACTTCTACAACCTCTATGTGAAACTCCAACAAAATCGGAACAGTTTGCGAAGGAAACTTTATACTATTCAAAATGAAGTAACTAGAAAAAAAAATGAGGGACATGAGCATTCTAGTTGATAACCGAGGTCAGCAGAGAGGTAAGACAAAGATGAAGCAGCAACAGGACTCTTCCATCAGGGATTGAAAGTAGAAGGTGAGAACTAAAGCCATTATATTGTGGCTTTGAACAGCAAACCCATCAAGAGAATGCTAATAGAGAGGAGATGCAAGGAAGGTTAACTTGATGCAGCTAGTATGCTTATAGAAGAAGCTACTAAGGCAAAAGTAGATTTGAATGCTTAAGGGAAAAAGTGAGCAAGTGGCTGTGTAGTCCACAATAAACAGAAGCAAAGTGGACTAAAGAACTAGAATCAATAACTGTGAGTTACACACCTTTAGTGCCAGCATGGGAGAAAGAGGCAGGCAGATCTTTATGAGTTTGAGGTTAGACTGGTGTACATAGCTAGCTAGCTGTAAGCCAGCCAACACTGCACAGTGAGACTCTCCAGGAAAAGGAAGAAAAAAACAAGGCTAAGTCAGGCGGTGGTAGCGCACGCTTTTAGTCCCAGCACTCAGGAGGCAGAGGCAGGTGGATCTCTATGAGTTCAAGACCAACCTGGTCTACAAGAGTTAGTTCCAGGACAGCCTCCAAAGCCACAGAGAAACCCTGTCTTGAAGCCCCCCCCCCCCCAAAAAAGAAAAAAGCTAAAACCCAAAAATCAACAACAAAATAAGATCAAAAATCAAAAAAGATGAGACATGTCTTGTAACATGTATACTAAAAATAGTCCATGCTTTAGTATCTAAAAGGTATATTTTATGAGTGCTTAGGTTATTGTGGTTTTGGGAATTAAGTCCACTGCTTCATACACACTAGACAAGTACTCTCTCACTAAGCTATATACCTAATAAGGTGGTTTTTTTTTTTTTTTCCGTTTTTCGAGACAGGGTTTCTCTGTATTGTTTTGGACCTGTCCTGGAATTCACTTTGTAGACCAGGTTGGCCTCGAACAAACAGAGATCCACCTGCCTCTGCCTCCTGAGTGCTGGGATTAAAGGCATGTGCCACCAACACCCGACTAATAAGGTATTTTTAAAGTAACACAATCTAAAATGCTTTAATACAATTTTTAAAAGGCTAAGGCAAGAGTGAAGCAAGGTTCAAGGCCGAGGCCAAAAAATTCTGCCTCAAAGTAAACGAATATAGTTCCGGAAATAGTGATCTTATTTTCTAAGTACCAAATTAGGCTAACTAAAACTGTATTAACTTATCAGTGGTACTTTAAAGCAAATAATTTAATAATAACAAAAAAAGAGCTCTGTACAATGGGACTACAGAAAAAGATGCTTTTCCTTCATTTAAAACTTTTATTTTTAGTTCTTAGTATGGTAATTTTTCAGCAAACTACTCACAGTGAGGTTTTCTTTTCTTTTCTTTTCTTTTTTTGGTTTTTCGAGACATGGTTTCTCTGTATTGTTTTGGAGGCTGTCCTGGAACTCAATCTGTAGACCAGGCTAGCCTCGAACTCAGAGATCCACCTGCCTCTGCCTCCCGAGTGCTGGGATTAAAGGCGTGAGCCACCAACGCCTGGTGACAGTGAGATTTTCATTGTCCTTTTTCCCCTGATATTTAAAACCAACAACAAGGCAATTCTTATTGTACACACCTTTAGTCTCATACTCTAGAGAGGCAGGTGGTCAAGGCCAGCAACTTACAAGCCAATCAAAGCTATAAAATGAGATTGTGTCTCAAGGCCAAACTAAAATACAAGACAAAACACCCAAATCAAGCAACAACAACCCAAAAACCCCATAAAAAATAAATGAAACCAGTGATAAAATAAAACTTAGTTTATGTTAGAAGGTAATGTAAGAAAACATCTAAATACTAAGATTGTAACCAGATTTTGAATGTGCCTCTTAGAGTATCTGTGGCAGTTTGAATGTAATCTCCCCTCCCCATAAACCCACAGGGAATGGCACTATTAGGAGTAGTGGCCTTGTTGGAGGAAGTGTCAGTGTGGTGGAGGGTTTTGAGGTCACATATATGCTCAAGCCATACACAGTGTCACAGTTTCCTTCCTGTTGCCTGCAGATATAGACATAGAATTTTCAGCTCCTTCTCCAGTACCATGTCTGCCTGCATGCCACCATGATGATAATGTACTAAACCGATGATAATGCACTAAACCTCTGAATTGTAAACTACCAAATTAAATGTCTTCCTTTATAAGAGTTGCCATGGTTGCTGTCTATTCACAGCCAATGGCAACCCTAACATACTATCTTTGTTTTATTTTCCTTACCATTGAGTATGCATACATCATGTGGGTGTGTACGCCAGGGCACACATATAGAGGTTAGAGCACAACTTTGTGGAGTTGTTTGTCTTTTTACCATTGTGTAATAAGTTCCAGGGTTCATTTTCAAGTTGCCAGGCTTGCATGCCAGGCATCTTTAGCCACTGAGTCATCTGGCTAGCCAGCATAGAATATCTTCTTACAAGTACCCTTCGTTTTTTTTTCTTTTGTTTGTTTTGTTTTGTTTTTTCGAGACAGGGTTTCTCTGTATTGTTTTGGAGGCTGTCCTCGAACTTACAGAGATCCAACTGCCTCTGCCTCCCGAGTGCTAGGATTAAAGGCATGCACCACCAATGCCAGGCTTAAGTACCCTTAGTTTTGCTGTCCAATATGAATCACATTCACAGCATTTCTGAAATACTAGATTTACTTGGTTTGCCAGTAGAACATTTCATTTGTACATAGCATTACTGATTTCAAAGCTATCACATCATAAAAAATGAGTCTGGAATAATCACTAAGCCAAGTTCTCCCTAGCACAGCTCACCATGTGCAATGCAAGTGAATGAGGATGAAGTGTGCTACCTTTCTAAATGCAGCCATGAGAGGTGTTATCTTGCGGTTATCTGCTGCGTCTACATCTGCACCTGCTTGCACCAGTAGCTGAACCACATCTAGGTGTCCACCATTTGCTGCGAGCCACAGTGGAGTGTTTCCCTTCTTGTTCCGCACATCAATATGAGCTCCCCTGGAAATGAATGACAGAAAGCACTTTCTTACATGAGATGGAATGATAAGCATAGCAGAAAAAAAAAAATCAACCAACTGCTGTGAAAATGTAAAAAGGAAAACAAAGGATGAATGATTTTTTTTCTAAAAAATGTACTATGTAGAACGCCTATCAAATTAAACATCCATATATTCAATACATGCTTCCCTCATTTATGATTGTGTAACTCTGAATTCTGTAAATAAATAGTATCTTGGAGACAAACCGTACCCTATGAGGCAATATCCATCTCAGATTATTTGTATCCAAGTACTTACAGTACATAGAAGACAAAAAAGCTTTAGTGTACAGTTAACATCAAAGTAGGTAAGACTCATGGTACTGTTAATAACAATTAAGAGTATGTAGGGTGCCATGCAAAGATTGTACTTTATTTTAAAATAGGGTCTCTCTACATAACCCTGGCTGTCCAGGAATTCACTAAGTAGACCAGGTCAGCCTCCAAATCACAGAGATCCATCTGCCTCTCAAGACCGCTTTCTACAAAAAGCTGGGATTAAAGGCACGTACTACACTATGCACAGCTAGCTGGTCTTTGACAAGCATTTTTGAAACCTGGCAGGCAGCTTCTAAATAACTAAAAGTAGCAACTACCCTTGATCTTGTCTGCTACAAAATAGTTACTGTCAACTTAAAGCCTGCAACAGTGCAAGAACGAGGAATATGTATGTTACAAAAGTAATTACATTTGACTTTTTTACACAATGACACTGCTCAGAGAATGGTAACACTTACATCCACACACAAAGGATATGCTCATTAACATACCTGCCAATGAGAAGTTCACAAAATTTATAGTGCCCTTTATCTGCAGCTATGGTTAAAGCTGTATCTCTTGAGGAGGGCACTGGAGGGGCATTAACATCAGCACCTTTATCCAAAAGAACTCGGCCCACTTCTGCATATCCTCCAGAGGCCGCTTCCATCAGTGGTGTGAGGCCAGTCTAGGTTTAATGGAAAATAAATAAATAAAAAAAAAAAACAAGAAAAAAAAAAAACTACGGAAAAGACCAGAAATAGCCAAAATGTTAACAATCTGAGGAAGCAATATGGTATAATTTCTACAGATTCATAAATTTGTACTGACACTTGTTTGAGTTATATTTAATTCAAGCATTAATTTTACCTCAAGTCTGTGACACGGGGAAAAGGATTTGAATAAGATCCAAGTCCACTGATAAGAATGTCACTACATATCTCCTGTCCTTTCCAAACTGCGTTGGTTTTAGCTAATCAACCTATCAATAATACCTATAAAAATGTATGCCCAAGTATTTTCATATACGATAAAGAATTTTAACTATAGATTAATGTGAATAGAAAATAATAAAATCATAACCTCTAAAATAAACCTGTTTTTTGTTTCTCAAATAATTTCTCACAAATATTTTGTCACCATAACAAAGAGCTGAGAAATGGTGAGTTTCAGATTCTTTCTTACCTTAGCTCTGTGTTCAACATTTGCTTTTCTATCAAGCAGGAGACTAACCACTTCAGTTCTTCCTTGGAAGCAGGCTAACGTAAGGGCAGTGTTACGATTGGTTTCTATCTGAGCGTTTATGTCGGAGCCCATATCTAAGAGGAGCTTAACCGCAGCTGTATGCCCATTCATAGCTGCTAACATCAGTGGAGAAATGCCCAACTTGCTACCAGTTCTGGGGGGGAGGGGAGAATATGGGGAAACAAAGGAAACATAACATGTGTTACAGCAGAGATATGGTAAGGACAAAAAAACTTTAAAATATAAAATTCTCTCCCGTTTTTTTGAGAGAGTATCTTGTAGTCCAGACTATCCTCTAATTGGCTATGGTGGCTGAGAATGATCCTGAATTCCTGATTCTCCTGCTTCAAACTCCCAAGCACTTTATATGGCAGTGGTCACCTAGAAAGTCTAGTTAAAGGATTAGTTAAAATTTAACTTCTTTTCCTCAGTCTTGCATCTTTTGAGATACTACTAAAACTTTTGTAGAGACCTTTTAGAAGATACAAGATAGGTAGTGGATTCTCCATCCTATGATGGTGAAGCAGGTATTTTGTCTGTTTAATTAACACAAGAAAGATACTGCCGTTAGTTCCTAAAAAAAGAGTGGTTTGTATTTTTCAGTTATGCCAACATTTTAAATTCCTGAATAAATATCTCAAATTTTAAAAAATGTAATAGAAGTTTTTAATACCACCAAAATAGCATTTCCAAATATCTACAGCACAGTGTTCTTGATAAACTGTCTACCGACAAAAAGTAAAGCTTGCCTGGAATTGATCTCGGCGCCTGCATTTAGCAGTATTTTGATGATGTTCACATAGCCACCAGAAGCAGCCAGGCTCAGAGGTGTGTAATCAGAAACATTCCTGTGTTCTTTATTTGCGCCCCGAGCTAACAACAATTCCACCACCTGGGAGGGAGAGAAAAAATATAAGAAATGTGCTTTCTTCTTCTTTTTTTTCTGAGACAGGGTTTCTCTGTGGCTTTGGAGGCTGTCCTGCAATTCACTCTTGTAGACCAGGATGGTCCCGAACTCACAGAGATCTGCCTGCCTCTGCCTCCCGAGTGCTGGGATTCAAGGTGTGTGCCACCAACGCCCTGCTTGAAATGTGCTTTCTTAAGACATAATAATTTCAGGGGTATTACTGATTTTTTTTTTTGTATATAACAAAATGAGAAAGTTCTTTCATCTTTACAGTGTTAGATGACAAGGTTCTTATAAGTTAACAGAGAGCTCTCAAGTTAAAAAAGAAACACTTAGAAATCTAATGAATTCCATTTAGAAATAATTAGTATTTTTGTTACCTTTACCATACAGTCATAAAGGAAAACATGAGGTAAGATTCATTTTATATGTACATATGAATGCATTAAAATTTGAAACCGTGAGTCACTTTTTTTAATAAGATTTATTATGTATACAGTGTTCTTCGGCCTGCTTGTCAGAAGAGGGCACCAGATGTCATTATAAGTGTTGCTAGGAATTGAACTCAGGACCTCTGGAGGAGCAGTCAGTGCTCTTAACCGCCAAACCATCTCTCCAGCCCCCCACTTTATTGAGACAAGGTCTCACTAAGCAAATCAGGCTGGTGGCAAACTGCCTTCCCATCCCAAGTGCTGGGATTAATGGCGTGTCCCACCATATCTGGCAATCAGTATTTTTCTGTTGTTGTTATTTTAAAAAAAAAGGAGGTGAAAATTTTTTCCATGTTTTAACTACCTTAACAACCTCATATTATTCTGTGCCTGTGGGAACAGCATTAAATTTTACCTGGTAATAGAATCTTGGGTGCATAACTTTATAAGGCATTGTCAGACTGCTGCCAAGAACAGCTGTACTATTTATACCCCAGTAACAAAGCAGGAGTGGCTAATACTACTTATGCGTTTTAAGCGTATTTCCCTGAGAACTAAATTATTGAGCATTAAGTGCTTTCAGGCCATTTCAAGACATATCAATTAAAATCTTATTTGTTTAGATAAAGCTATAATACCTTCATTAAAACTAGGAAGACTAAGTGGCTTTACTTAATTTATTGTAAATTTGTATTTATGCAGGCCCATATGGAATGCAGGTAGGAAGGCAAAGGACAACTTTCAGAAGTTCGATCTCAATGTCCAACTCACCAAGGCAGGGTCTCTTGTGCACTTTGACACAAGGAGCCACCTTGTTTGTTTTCTTTTTCTAACTACATTTATTAATTAGCAGGTGTGGGGAAAACCAGTCAGATTTTCAGGCTTAATGGCCAGTATTTCTACAGGTTGGGCCATGTGTCAGCCTATTTTGTACTGTATTGTTTAATGGCAGTGTTTTACTATATAGTCATGACTGACTTTGATATAGGCCAAGTTTGTGACAATCATTCTGCCTTTGACTACCAAGTCCAGGGGGTACAGGCATGAGCCAGCAGCAGGCATGAGCTAGAATGCCTGCTTTAAACGGCTTGAGAGGTTTATAGCATTTGTCACACAATAAAGTAAAAATAAATGCTTGCAAATTTCATTTTCTAAATTTTATTATACAATTCCATATTGAATTGATTTTCCTAATTATACCAACTATTTTGCAATACCTGTTCTAATGACATCAAATGAAGCTAAAGTGATTATAGGCAAAGTTTCATGTCAGGAAGAAAAACCTTCAGTTATCTTGGCTTGGTTTGTTTCCTGTGGTCCTAAGAATGATACAACCTTGAAAATAGCTAGTCAATCATATTTGCTAACAACTATATCTCCAGCCTATTTGTTTTATTTTATAAATAACTCACAAAAGTATAGCTTACTGCTATTAAATGAAAGAAGTTATCCTTTTGATTTAAAATTCAAGTATGTATCAACATGCAAAATAAATACTATTTCAAGCTAAATCATGATTAGGAGTTTTAAAATAGTATTTAATATCAAAATTTTCTGTCACATTTTAATCTGGAAACGATAGGAATCTAATATGGTAGTTTGAATAGAATGTCCCCACAGGCTCATATGCTTCAATGGTTGGTCATAAAGGAGTGGTGCAATTTCAGAGGAACTAGGAGCTGTGGCCTTTGAGGTTTCAGAAACCCAGAGTCTCTCTCTCTCTTCTTGTTGTCTGTGGGTCCTGATATAAAATATTCAAGCTACTTCTCCTGCATGATGTCTACCTGAATGCTACCATGCTCCCTGCTGTGACCATAATGAACTTAATTTCTGAAACTTCAGGCAAGCCTTCAATTAAATGTTTTCTTTTTTAAGGGCTGCTGTGGTCATGATGTCTCTTCACAGCAACAGAACAGTGACTAAGAAAGAAGGTTTTTGTTTTCTTTGTTAAGGGCATTGTTCCCTGGTTGGACTGGAGTTCTCTATTAATAGTGAGTGAGAGATCTGCCTGCCTCTGCCTACAGAAGGCAAAGACTGAAAGCATGCGCTACCACACCCTGCTAATTTTTTAAGACTTTCTCTACTTCCATTGTGAATTACAGATCAAACAACCTACAACAGAACAAGTGCTGTGTTATCACCACAAACACGGAACTTTGTATATACTCTACATTCAAGGGGGAAAGGCCATAGAATTAGCCTAAATAAAAAGCTACCAAGAAACAGTTCATGTGCATCATGCCTTTTTCTTTTTTCTTTTTTGGTTTTTCCAGGCAGGGTTTCTCTGTATTGTTTTGGAGGCTGTCCTGGAACTCACTCTGTACACCAGGGTGACCTCAAACTCAGAGATCCGCCTGCCTCTGCCTCCAGAGTGCTGGGATTAAAGGTGTGCGCCACCAACGCCAACCATGCCTTTATTTTTAATCTATATTTGTGTCAGTTTTTGATAGGAATTATAAAAATTTCTTTTAATAGTCTGTTCTGAAAACCTAATGCACTTATCTGGTTAGAAAGAAAGGATGGAGAAAAATACGAATTTTTAAAACTGTTTATTATTGTGTGTTGTATGGGACCAAATCCCACAGTGAACATTTGGGGAACCAAAGGACTACTTTAGAAAAGTCCTTTCCCTCCTTCCATATGGAGAGCTGAACTTGTCAGGCTTGTTCAACAAGTCATTTTTTAAAGCTGAACAGAAAACTAGCATGGATGACTGGGTGGCTTCCAGACTGAGGATCGGGAAGTTCTGAATTCATAAAGATAGTATAATTGGCTTATTTAGCCTATGTCCCCTATACAGAAGTTGGAAGAGAAGGGAAAAACCAAGAAAAACTTAGGTTAACCAGCTAATTGTTAAACACTACTAGACATAAAACTGATTGCACAGTATGATTTTCTTGGGCATTTATGATCAACTCCTGGCCCTTGGTCTGTTTGAAGTTATACTAACCCTATTCTTGTTAATATGTAGTAATTTGATTTACTGTAATAATCTAACAGGTTTAAGGCTCCTATATGGAAAACAAATACATGCACACATATTTGCTAAACAGAAAAAGAAATTACACTGAGAGGAAATGTTACCTCCTGTCTGCCCCCTGAACAAGCCAAGGACAGTGGTGTGTCCTTGGTTCTTTCTGATTGGGCTTCAATGTCTGCACCATTATCCAGCAATATTTCTACAACACCAACATGACCAGCTGTAGCAGCCAAGATGAGTGGAGTAAAACCTAGAGGGGGAAAAAAAACAACAACAACAAAAACAAAAGCTTCTTACAACAAGCTAAACAAATAAAGAGTAACACTTTTTCCCCAATATATCTAAGCACCAATATGTGGCTATAAACGAATTGTTTCTAAATTCACATTTCCCACAAACCTTCCATAAAGTAACGCTAACAAAAATAAGGGCTACCTTTCTTGTCTCGGTGTTCAATACTAGCTCCTCTTTCGAGTAGTGTTTGTACCAGTTCCTCATGGCCACCAGCACAGGCAAGCGTCAGTGCAGTATCATGATTACTCTCAGTCTGTGAAGATACGGAAAAAAAGCCATCAGTTTAATTAGTTTATTTAAATAACTTTCCAGTGTTACTGTCAAAAACACAGATACACATGTGCCTCTCTATTAGATCAAGACATAAAGCTATGTGGTCCAAGCTTGGCAGAATTTGCCATCTTCCTGCTTCGAATCTCCTGCTGAGTGCTAGAATTATAAATGCACACCACCAAGCCAGGCTTACACGAAGCATTTGGACAGTGTATGGTTTCCCACCAATAAGAAGCCAATCCGTGGTTTTCTCCTTTCCTTTTCTTTTTTCTTTTTTTTTGGGGGGGGTAGAAGTTCTGAAACTTTCTAGCTTGAGTCTTTCTTAGCTGAGGACAAACTGTTCCACATAGCCATCACCAATAGAGCACTGATATTACAAACTTGTTCCCTATGCCTAGCATCAGTGACCTTTCTAGAACTGCAAATAATACTCAAACTTTATAAGCAATTCTTAATGGCACCAAAGGAAAAAAAGATAGGTTTCTATTACATGGCAATTGCAAGTATAATATTGATAAAATAGTATGAATTCAATTTTGCTGCCACATATCAATGGAGTAATAGTAACAGATTATATATATGTTTCTATTTCAAGTAACTTTTTGTTTAAATTGAGATAGAACCTCACAGTACCCCAGGCTAGCCTTAAACTTGTATTGTTCCTTTAGTCTCTGCCTCTCTATTGCTACAACAAGCATGTGTCACCGTGCCTAACACCCTCCCCCTTTCTCTCTCTCTCTCAGATTCGTGGAGATAGGCAATATAGAACAGTGATCCGTAAGGACAAAAACATAGGAATATAGGAATGCAAATACAGGAATGCAAATATAGGAATGGCAGAGGCTAGCAGAGAAGAGAGTTTGAAGAGGAAAGGACTATAGAGAGTACTCTGGAGATCAGCAGAGAATTCTGGTGTCATCAGCTGATGTTCAGCAGGCCGTGTACATGAGGAAATAGATCAGGTACAACACCAAGAGCAGGAATACAGGTCCTACAAGCTAGAGCAGAAATCTTTTACAACATGCAGAAAATCATGTAGAATCCTCTGTACAGAGACCAAATTCGTTGTTAGATCCATAAAAAAGCTGAAAAGCAAGCCTTACAGTTTAAAAATTGTGCCGAGCACGGTTTCAAACACCTTTATCCCAGCATTCAGGAGGCATAGGCAGGAAGATCTTTTTGAGTTCTAGCCCAGCCTGCTCTACAAAGACAGTTCTAGGACAGTGAGGGTTGTTGTACAATGAAACCCAGCTTCAGAATGAATGAAAGAATGATTGTTTTCATCAAGTAACTTAGCTTTGTTTAAAAATACAGGCCCCAAATTACTTAAGGAATAAAACATGTGGAACACACTCTATTTTACAAAGAAAGGTTGTGATCTGACACTGTAGAATTTAACTTCTAGAGTAACATGCAACTAACGTGGCTAATGGAGCACTAAGAAACTCATAGCCTTTTCTTTCCTCTTTCAAACAGGATCTCACTGTGTAGCTTTTGAGATAGGGCCTCGCTATACAGCTCTGGCTGGCCCAAAGCACTTTATGCAGACCAGGTTGGCCTTGAATTCAGTAATCTGCCTGCCTCAAAAAGTTATTTCTAACTTAATAAATCTGTCTGACTATTGGAAAGTGTTTTAGGTAGTCTGGAAAAATGAACACATGAATGTATTTTATCAATTATGCAGTTAAATTTAAATAAAAGTATTTCCAATATAAATCCATATATAAAATTGAGAAGTATTATAACAGACTGACAAAACTCGTTGGGAGAAGCCTCTGTAACAGGGGACGTTCAATACTAAAATCATTCTCAAGTAAAGCAAAATAATGTGATCACTGCTAATTACAAACTCAATATACAAACTAATTGTCAAGACTTAACCTAGGACATAAAATTTCAGGAAAAACAGCTTTATGACTATTTCCTTTTTTTAGAGACAGGGTTTCTCTGTGTAACAGCCCTCGCTGTCCGGGGAACTCACAGAGATCTGCCTGCCTCTACCTCCCGAGTGCTGAGATTAAAGGTGTGCTCCACCACCACCTAGCTCAACTCATTCCTTTTCATGGTGAGCTTGCTAGCATTCTTTTTTCTTTAATTTTGAGGCTGGGTCTCTGTAGTCCTGAGTGCTTTGGAGTTTTCTTTGTAGATCTGGCTGGCCTTGAATTCATAGAGATCCACTTTCCTTTGTTTTCCAAGGAATTAGGGTGGGTTTCTTCTTTTGACTACCTAGAACTGCCTATGTAGACCATAAAGGTTCACCTGCCTCCTGAGTACTGGGATTAAAGGAGTATGCCATCACACTGTGCTCTTTTTACTCTGTAATGTGATTACTAAAACTGTTCAAACTTACTTATGTGTCTCTATTTTTCCTTTGGGTTAGTTTTGAAATCTACCTCACTATGAAGCTGCAGCTGGCCTGTAAACTCAATTCTGCCTCAACCTACTGAGAATACAAGTCATATGTCACTGTACCTCGCAAACTCCATTTTTCCCTTTGATAATATATAGACCAGGCCGGCCTTGAATTCATAGGTCCTGCCTTTGCCTCTCAAGGAACTGCGATTAAAAATTTGTGCACCATGGCCACTAAATTCTTTTTTTCTTTTTCTTTTTTTGTTAATTTAAATTCGAAACAAGCATGTTTCTCATGTCAATCCCAGTTCCTTTTCCCTCCCCGCCTCCCGTGAAGCCCTAACCCATCCCCTTTCTGCTTCTCAGGGAGGGTGAGGCCTTTCATGTGAGATCTTCAAAGTTGGTCATATCATTTGGAGCCAGGCCTATACCTTCCCCCATGTGTCTAGATCATCACTCCATGTGGAATGGGCTCCCAAAGTCCATTCGTGTACTAGGGATAAATACTGATCCACTGCCAGAGGCCCCATAGATTAACCAGATAGCCGCTAAATTCTTATGAGGCTAATGAACACACGTTATAATTCATTTTCAACCTACATGAATTATTTTGTTCAGAATACATCACCGAACGTTGAATGAATGACAATTGTAAAACTACATATCCAAAGACTATTATTAGTAAAGACTTAAATATTTATAGAGCTCTTGTATAGTACTATTTACATAATACAAGAAGTCATACCCTCCCAATAATTGTAAAAGCCAAACTCCATTACAAAAAGCTAAAATCAAGACAAAAAGTGAAACTGATCAAGAGTCAAGAAATGAGAAAAGCCTACTAGTCAGTGATGGAGAGGGAGCCGCAATAGCTGCTCTGCAGAAGAGCCACTGACTGCAGAGATCAGGGATGGCCACAAGGGAGAGATGCACCAACTACAACAATGGAGAAGGACATAAAACTTCAATGAGTGACAGCTGTGTTTCAGTATGTGATCGTCATTTCAAGTCTTATTATTTAAAAAGGAAAGAAAAGAAACTATGTCTGACTTCATAGAAAAGGCAACGAAAACTCAGAAAAACAACTTTCTGGTGCTCACACTGAATTGGTAGCTACTAGATATGGGCTTTCAAAGACCAAGAAGGACATCCTATTCTAGACAGCAAACTCCTCAAACTGCATCATAAAGCCTATCTACCATATTCTGAGTGAGACTCTAAAACGTCCTATGTACTGTCTGTTCATTATATGTAGTTTACCAATAAATTTAGATTATAAAGTTTTAAAAATTCTTTTGAAGACTAAAGGGTAATTTATAATATTCATGTCTAACTGAAAAAGACGACCATGAAAAATCTTTAGGTGATCGGTAACATATGCTTTCCTTCATTATAAAGCACAAATTAAACTAATATTAATTTTAAGCATCATTTTTCCCAACAGCTCTATTCTATAATCTCAGGCTTACAAAGTGAATATAGGTCATTCTATGGGATCTTGTAAACTATTATACAGACTCAATCTGTATTTAAGTTAAAGCTATTTTTGAAAAGCTTATTAAACTATGAGAAATAAAAAAATTAAATGCAAGAAGAATTGTCAAATTCCTTAAGGAACCAAAGTTAGCTACAAAAATGAGAAGGCCCACTCCATTTTTACATTAGTGAGAAGTGAAAGCAACAAATATTTTTCAGATAACATGAAGAGTTCAGAAAGATTGCTTTTATCCCCCAAACATTAACACAATTCCAAACTGATAGTACCTGCTTACAACCCACCAGCAAAACTAACTGCAATAGTTTAATATTAACAATGGCTGGCAGTGAACAGAAGGAAAGCAATAGTGTCTGAGAGGGAAAGTACAGGAAGGTCTCTTTAAGGACTTAATCTCACACACTGGCCAAGCAGTTATTTAATTCCCTTATCAAGTACCCAAGGCAAAGTCTCTAACATAGGGGAAAAGGGAGAGAGGTGGTGTGAAAAAAAAGAAGTGTGTATGTGTATGTATGCATGTATGTATTTGTAAAACTGGGCATGGTGGCAACACTCAGATTGAGGGTGGGTATGGAGTGAAATCTCTGAGTGGAGTGAGGTCAGCCTGTCTACACAGTAAGTCCCAGGACAGCCAAGGTTACATAGTGAGAAACTGTCTCAAAAACGGTCAATAAAACAAAACCGTGTGGATTATTTACATGACTAATTGAGAGAAGAAAGGTGCAGGTGATGTGGCCACACACATGACTTAATGAAAAGGATCACAAAATATAAGAGAGTGCTGTAGAAAAATGAAAACTTTAATGAGCTAATAAAACAGGTTGAAAAACGATGTAGGAGGTATATCCTAAATTAATTATGTTTAAAACCAGGAAGGAATGAAATAGCTTAACATTTTTATATACCTACAAAAAGAAAATCTTCACAATTTCAATTATGTCATCTTCTTATACAGTCAGATTATGTATCAGTTTAGGGATATCAAACAAATGAGAAAAATCAGTAAAATTAAACTTAAAACTTTTTCTAAACGTAATTCTATAAAACAGCAGTTGAATGCATATAATTTTTCTTTGAGACAGCATCATGATGAATGTAGGATGCCTCAGGACCTCCCTGTCTTGAGTATTGAAGAGGCCAGGAAAAGGTAGGAATTTTCCTGGAACCTAAGCTAGAGGCAGTTTGTGAGCACATGTGGGTGCAAGAACCATCTTAAACTCTGAGTCATCTTGCCAACTGCTGTAAGCTTCAATCTTAATTAAAGGAAACTGCTTTTTATTTTGAGACAGGGTCTTAATATGCATGCCAGGCTAGTTAGTTTCCTACTCCCAATCCTCCAGCTTCAGACTTCCAAACGCTGGGATTCTAGGCATGTGAATATACCCAGCAAACAGAAGGCCCTAATGTATATTACATATAGGTAATATCCTCCTTATTCTTTAATTATTTGTTATATCATTATAATGAAACTTTTCTCTGGATTCCAAAATCGGTAAGAATATAGAAAAACATCTATGTAACATTCAGACATTGAAGGTAAAACACAATGTAACATACTTCACAATTTTGTTTTACTTTTTTAGGAGTTGGGGGAGGCAGTATTCAGACAGTCTCAATTCTATACTCCACTTGAGATAATCCTATTTCAACCTTCCAAGTTTTAGGCTCACAGGAATGAGTAGCTATGTCCAACTATAATTTATATTCAGCTATAATTTAATTCTGAATGCATGCCACGTTAAGTTTAATAGCATGTGTAATCCAGGCTGGTCTCAAATATGCTATCTAACAATGGATGACACTGAACTTTTGATTTTCTTTACTCAACCTGTGTGCTGGAATTAGAGGTAGGAATAAACATACCAGGTTTTATATGGTGCTGGAGAATCCAACCCAGGACAACCCAGGATTCTGTGCATACCAGGCAAGCACTCTACCAAATAAGTCACATTCCCAGCCCACACCTAAACCTCTCAATAGTTAGTAGGGGAAATAGAAATAATGTATACTAATTTTTTATTAATTTTTCTCACATTGCTTCTACTTCAAGAAAAGTTCATAACAGTTTGAGAATAACAACTAAAGCAGGTCACACATATCTGATGTACATGTGATAGCAAAGAGGCTTTTAAGCAAGTGTTAAAAGACCATGAAAAAAACTAGTCCTTTCTTATACTTAGTGTCTATGTGAGTCGATCCAATTTCATATAATCAAGTAAAAACTTAACTGAGGGTTACCCAAGTTTAATCTCCATCTTATTTACTGCCCAGTTTTCGCTAGGGAATCAAACTCTCCCTTTTCACCTCAAATAACTTCAACAGAATGAAAGACCCTCTAATCCCTTTAGTCTGTTTAATCTCTCACAGTAGCGTGGTATTCTGGTATTTGTCAGGGTTTCATTTGTGTGCTCTAGCACAATTTGGTCACACAAACAAAAATATTCATGGCACCAGAGTTCATAGATTTTACTTTATCAAATATTTTTAGAGGGATTGTACTGGGGGGGGGTGAGAGGAGGGAATCTTAATTTTTACTGAAGTACCTGCTTGACACAGAAACAAATTTCTTAAATTAACTTCAATAATTGAGTCAGGAAGAAGAGTGATAATTACCATTTTGTCTGTTTTACCCCTCAGATGTAAAAATTGTTCTGTATTTAGATAAGCACTAAAAATTAACTTGTGTTAAGCAAAAATGCAAAAAAAGGTTTTCAAAAGTCTCAATACAGAAACCAGGAAACAGCACTCGGAAGGCAGAGGCAGAGTCAGATGGATCTCTATGAGTTCGAGACCAGCCTGGTGGATAAGAGTGAGTTCCAGGACAGTCTCCAAAGCCACAGGGAAACCCTGTCTCAAAAAAAAAAAAAAAAAATAAGAAGAAAAAAAGAAAAGAAAGAAAGGTAGACAAAATGAAACAAGCAAAAAAAAAAAAAAAAAAAAAAAAACCAGACAACAACAACCAAAAAAGAACCAGGCAGGAATTTTAAAAACTAAAAAAAAATTTTTTTAAAAGATTCATGTATTTTATGTGTGAGTACTTTGCTTTGTCTACATGCTTGGTGCCCTTAGAGGCCAAAAGACGACACTAGATCACCTGGAACTAGAGTTAAGGATAGTTGTGAAGCACCATGAGAGTGCTAGAAACTGTAAGAGCAAACCAGTGTTCTTTACTGCCAAGCCGTATTTTTTAAGGAGCCATAGTCAAATCTTTATATATAAACAAAAGTTTTTTTCAATTTATATAAATTCTCAGTTAACTTACATGACTGTTGTTAATGAGTGAAACAAGTTCATCATCCATAACTTAATATCCAGTGAATCAAAGTCATACTTGGGTACATAGTTTTGGACCCATTTTATTTGAAATTGTTTTGGAAACAAGGAAGACATAACTCTGTGTAAGGGCCCATTCTTTGTCCCCTAAAAATCAGAACATACTTCTAGTCTCAAGATCATAATCTCAAGGAAAATAATACATATCCAATGCCAAGTTATACTGAATTCCACAATTTGATCAACAATATAAATGAATGAGATTTTTATAGTTTTAAAAGAGGCTATGCAGCATGAATAGTATCTTATTGAATGAAATAGTACACACTTCTGATTCTACCTAACCAGACGACAAAGCCAGAAGATCATGAGTTCAAGCAAGCTAGGGCAAGACTCGTAGCTAACAAACACACATAAAACAGAATAATTACAAGAGTCTGGCTCCTAGCATTCCTCCTCCTTAGCCAAGCAAAGTGACAAATAAACAAAATGATTAATCTGCTTCAGAACATTAATGGTAGTGACCTGGTCTGAGGATTAGGTAATTTCTTTAAAATATTCCCCAGCAAGTTTCTAAGACTAGAGAGAGAATTCAGTGATTAAGTGAACTTGCTGGTAGCTCATGGCCTTCTGTTCCAGGGAATTTGATGGCCTCTTCTGACCTCCACAGAAATCAGGCATGCTGTGGTTCACAGAAAAACACAAAGTTCAAACACCCACACATAAAAAAAAACACATAAACAAAAAATTAAAATAAGCCTAAAATGGTGGTGCACACCTTTAATCCCAGCACTCAGGAGACAGAGGCAGGCTTCTGTTAATTTCAGCACAGCTTGGTCTACAGAGTAAGACCCTATCTAACAAAAAACAAACATGCCCACATATATAACAATGAACCAAGAAACACTTTAGTGAAAAAGGAACTCTCATAGCTTGGTTTCAATGGAATATACACATTTCTTGAAATTATAATTTATAAAAATCTGGTTGTAAGTTTTAACAGCATATACTTCCCTCACCCCAAGTATTAATCAAAATACTACAAAAATACCCTGCAAACATTTTCTTACTCTTACTTTACCTTTCTAAATAGTCTCTCTTAATGTATACTTCTTAGCCTTTCCTTCTTTTCTTTCTAATTTCACTTAATTGATTGGTTGCGAATAAAGGTCTTCTGTAGTTCACCATGGCCTTAGACTTATGTAGCTGAAAAGAACACTTTGGTCCTCCTGCCTCTTTACCTAGCAAGCGCTGGGATTCAAGACTTGTAACATGATGCCTGCCACCTTTTGGCATTTTTCAAGATATAACAAGCTACATTTGCCAGCCCCATCTTGTTCTGGGATTTCATGCTCAACTTATAGTGCATGTGTGTACGCATAGTTTATGTGGGAACACATGATGTAGCATACATATACGTCAGGGGACAACTTGCAGGAGGTAGCTTTCTTCTTCTACTATGTGGAACACAGGAATCAAACTGAGGCTATTAAACTTGAGGGCAAGCACCTTTAACCACTGAGGAATTGTATCATCTTGAATCAACTAAATTCATTCTGTCTGTCTGTCTATCCATCCATCCATCTAATCACATCACTATGCAACCTTTATCTATCGATCTATCTATTGATCTATTTACCTATCTCTATCGACCAATCAATCAATTGATGGATCGTATTACTATGCAGCCCCCAATGACCTCAAACTCACAGGAATCCACCTGCCTCTGCCTTTAATTTTTAATTAGAAATGCTTACTTAGCAGGTCTCAAATTTTCTAAAGCATAACCTTATCTTTTCTTCACCCCTATACATATTCCTTTAGAAAATCCAAATAAAGTGTTTCTATCACACCTCCATGGAATGTTACCAGCCTAAATCCCATAAACTCACTACATATTTCCTCATACCATAAGTCAGAATCTTAAAAAGCGATATAAAGTCAGGTATGGTGGGTGATTTATGCCTATAACTCCAGCATTCAGGAGGCTTAAGCAGGAGGACTGCTGGGATTGAGGTAAGCCTAGGCTCTACTGAGATCCTATCTCAAGGGGAAAAGTTATACAATGCAACTAAGAACATATAATATATAGAAACACACAGTCGATGCATGAAGTTACAGCACCACCTTCTAGTGAGGCTAGGAACTCAACCCAGGACTTTAAGCACTACATCACTGATCTATAGTCCCGGCATTTTCTTTTATAAACAATCCATTATGTATTTAAGGAAATACACACCAATCCTAATGTTTGTTCTACTGAGACAAGGTAGCATGTAACCTAGACTAGCTTCAAATTATTACATAGTGACTTGATCCTCTTGACCCTAATTACCAATGGCTGAGATGAAAGTTGTGGTTTCAGCTTAATATTAAATAAGTTACTTCTGTTACATTCTAGTACTTTCTAAACTAAAATTAAAGTTTAGCTCAGTCAGGCCTGACATTAACTATAAGTGATTAGATGTGAGTCACGGTGTCTGGCTTACTAGTTTTTGAAAAATGGATTTTAATTTTTTGTGTCTGGAATCTTTGACAATGTCATCTAAGATGTTAGGATCACTGCAAGTTAACATTTATAGGTGATGTCATTCCAGTGTGACCATCTCTCCTAATGTGGAGCTTACCTGTGCATCAATATCAATGGCAGGGTAGATAGGTAGCATGGCTGAAGGAGAGATGATGGGACTTGGAGTTGGAGTCTGAGGTTGGGAAATAGAAGCAGCGATACTGTGGGTAGGAGTGTTTGACATTGCAGATGCTCTTCCACTGACTGCTGTTGAACAAAATAACTGCACTTAATAAGGACGAAACATTGTTAGGAAAGAGTAAGAAATGTTTCTAGCAGTTTTTAAACAAAATGTCTATAAGACACTTTTATAACATTAATAACTAATTTCCGTATCATTTTTGATTGGTGAACAGCCCCAAAATAGAATAGATATTGAGTAATCCACTTCCCACAAAATAATTCACCTGAAAGACAAATTCTCTTTTAATGAAAGTAACAAAAAAAAATCTTAATTCAAAATAAACCTGAAAACACACTAAAGTTACACAGAAAAGGAATAAATGATAAAATAATCAAGAATAAAGGGAAAAGGGTGATCTTTTTTAAACTTGCCAGCCTCACCCTTGTATTTCAGAGTGAATAAAAGTTACTTCACTGTTAGAGTGGGACACCCTCAAAATCAAACTACTGAAAACACCACACATTTACTAAACACAACAGGGCAGTTGGAACTGTGAAGGCCCTGGTGTGAGTTTTTGAGAGTAGAAAAAAAATTGATCCTCACACAGGTATTTGCAATCACATTGACTTGGGACAAAATGAAGATTGGGCTAGAAATAAATATATTCATACAATCATCCTCCCAATATGGACCCTTGTTCTTCTATGCAGGATTCTTCTGTAATCTTAGTTCACTTCACTCACATATATGATTTAAATAATGGCTAGTTAGAGCTGTACTTGGAGTGTGAGAATAATGCTGAAGACAAAGGCATAGAATAGACTAAATATTAGCTTAAGGGACTTTGTTCTCTCAATAACTCAATTCTGAAGTTAACATGTAAACATCTTCCTCTTCACCCACAGTAAGAATGCACCTGCATGAATATTAAATTTTGGCCAGTAATCTCTGAATAGAGTGCAGATGTGTGTTTCCCAAGTACTTCCAACTACATTAGACAGAAAACAATTATAGATTCACAACTGAATCTGAAACCAGGCAAAAGAACTTATCTTGCCAAGAATAATAGTAAAATTGACCTTTTAACAGTTATGAACATGGCTATCAATTAAGAAATATACTTTACATAAAATCTTTAGGTAGGGCACAAACATACACTGTACATTATAGTAACACACATTCTATAATTGTACATTTTTAGTCCACTTAAAAGTCAAAAGAAAAACAAAGACCAAAAAGAAAAGAAAAAAAAAAAAAACAAACAAACAAAACATCTGTATCATGAAGGAACCAGGTCAAGAGGGAGGAGCATGTGCCACCAATTACCTAATGACTCTCAGACTATTTGATAGTCTTACTGACTTCTTTATACATAAGGCTTCAATCTTCTAATCCTGATCTCTGGAGTCTACGTCAGATTGCTGGTATTGCAGGCTCATGAACACACGCTGATTTAAAGATCAAATAATTTCACTGAAAGCTCCTATACTATACATAAATTTCAAAATCACACTAAATCTACAGCTCTTAAGATAGACTCCATGTTTAAGATGACTGAATTTCTGTTATTGCTGCTGCTGCCCTATCAAGTGTTGGGATGACAGGAATGCACCACTCCACTGGTTTTATGGAGTGCTAAGGATCAAACCCAGGGTGCTTCGTGCGTGCTACACAAGCTTTACACCAACTGAGCTATCCATTCTCGGCACTCACTGATTTTTACTTTAGTAATTTAACTGGGTTAAAAGACTGGTAAGTGTCTAAACTTTAATCCATATCCCAACTGGAATAATATTATTTTAAAGAATAATTAGTTTTCTTGATGTGGAGTGTTTTTTTCAAATTAGTTGTTTTGATCTTCTCACCTAAAGTTGGTAAGAAAAAAACGTGCTCATTTCCTTTGAAAGTGTTGTATCAAGAGTCAGTAACTGGTCATCATTCAACCATGTACTACATAAATAAAAGGGCAAGCTTTAAATATCTAAGTAACCAAAGGATTCTAGTTCTAGGAATTTCTTTTTCTTTACATTTTAAAATTTAGAGAGGGAAAACCGAATGCTTGAAAATTTTTAACAGCAGAAATGAAACAGTGTAATCAAGACAAAACAAGGGCACTGTTAAAAGAAGTTAAACAAGTGCCTAGTTTTGATTTGGGGAGTATGGTGAATTAGGAAGGTTGAAGACTTGGCCAGCTAAGTACCAGAAGATAGAAGAGCATCATATGAGAAACATAACAAAAGAGAACTAAGGAACAGGAAGGATGGTGCTTGGGGAAAGAAGGCCAAATGAGGTTGAGTTACATAAGAAGCTCAAAAGAAGAAGTAGAAATGATCCTCAATCAACTGAAACAACAAGTATAATCAGAAGTTACTCAAACAATGAGAATACAGAAATAAGTTGTGTGTGCTTGTATGTGCAAATACATGTGCATAACATGTGAATATGAGTGAGATATTAGGTAGGGATCATCTGCAGGTAGACATTAAGATTGTTTTAAATTCTTTTCTTATTCCGATGGGTATGTTTCTTTACCCACATAGAAGAGCATGATATAGCAGCCTTTTTAGAAAATAGCAAATTTGTCATAATCCCTAAAATCTCATGTACATTAAAACTAAAAAAATTTTTTTAAAAAGAAAAATATTTATGAACCTTTAACACACAGACAGAAATCTTGGGAATAAATGAATCAGTAAAAAAAAGCTGCTTTACAAACATCTGATAATTCTCATTAGAACTAAAAAAATGTTACAATCAGCAAATTGTTGACAACTATACTCAAGTACATTGGGTAAATTCTTGATAGCACATCAAAACCAACTTTCCAACAGTCACTGGTATAGCACATACCAAACCTTCATTTCATCAATAAATAACATGTAACTTTATAATCCTCTGGTAATCAGATACAATAGAGAATTATCTAAGTTAATGGACATGGAATCAATATTGAATTTATAACTACTGTGAGCTACTTGTTATACAATGTTAAATCCCTTAAAGTTTAAAAAATATCATAATCAGTTAGTGATGATTAATAGGGACTTAAGTCTTTTGAAAATTTATACTTGTACTGAGATTGTTACAATTCTTATTATTAGTCACTAGTAACAATTATCCTGGTGTAAGTTATTTTACTCTTAAGATTAGCAGATATTTTCAAACCACATATTGCAGACAAGATAAAAGGGGGGGACTGGGAAACTATACCAATTTTTGAAATGCAATATCTACCTTATTACCTGTTTCTCAATTTCTGAATTATCTCAACCTACATATCTAAAAAGCATTTTCTTTCAGAAAATGACTTAATATGTGACTTTCACCATAATAAATGTTTCCAAAATAGTTTTAAATTAGAAACAGCAAATCATCCAGGTAAGAAACAAATGAATAAAAAATGGGAAGAAATCAGAAGAAAAATAATCAAAATTCAACAACTATTTACTCCCTTTATTCTCCACTTGCCCTTCCTTCTCAGGTTTCCTTCCACAAGAAGGAAAATTATATTAGTTAAGAGAGCATTCCCTATGACTCTACGAAATCTCATTCTACTGTTATACAATTCACAAAATCAGTCCCACATAAGCAGCATTAAAATTCTTCTCAAGTTGCAATCCTTATTAGAATAGAAGAAAATCTCTCTGGCTACACATTTAAAACATGTTATTCACCATACTGTTAGGGGAACACACTTCCCATAATACAGTCAGAAACAGACTATACATTAACATTCACAGGGAATAAAAATCACTGACATACAGTAGAATCAGACTCTACTTTGTTGGTACTTTATTAATGTTGTAAAGGTGTTTGTTTTGGTTGTTGTTTGCTTGTTTTTAAATAGCCATCATGAAGTTTGATACAATAGTATGTAAAGTATTTCTTTTGATCACAAATAGACTTCCTAATATACCCTAATACCTTTGCACTTCAACTTTTATCAATTTTCCTTTTATTGGTATGAATACAGAAGCAAAAGTGCCCAAACCCAAACCCAAACCCAGTGTTCTGAACTTAAAGTGAAAAAGAAAACCTAAAGTAAAAACCAAGACTCAACCAACTACTGAAAAACTTGGAATCCCATCCTATTGATCTCACACAGACAGATCCGGCCATTTGTATTGTATGAACTAATCTTGAATTTGACCTGTAGCCATCTGAGAACTTCTTAACACTAATATTTCTAAAGACATAGGGTTAAGAGTCCAAAAATAGTTCTCAAGTTGAGTAATGGATAAAAAAAATTTCTGGCACACTCTTACTCGCCTTAAGCAAATCATATTTGATACCTGCTCATAACAATATAAACCCACCTGCCATGATGTCATCCAGCGTGTCATTGAGGGTCTGAGCAGGGCTGGCTACCATTAACCCTTGTTGTGTTTCAGTGAGAATTCCTTGCCCCAGCCCTGCCAACTGTGCTTGGCCCAGTACTGGCTGTCCAACTATCACTCCTTGAAGTTCTGTAAGATTTGCGATGGACCCTGGAGGCAAGGGACCCGCTGCCAGAGGCAAAGCTTGAGGCATCGCCAGAGGCTGGATTGGTGCAAAACCCATTTGAGCAGCAGTTTGCTGGGGTTCATCTTTAAGCAAAACAGGATCCACTTGCTGTAACCGTGCATAGTCTCCCTCCGAAAGCTGCTCTCCAACCCCAACAGGAGTAAGTAGTCCCAGGTGTTGGCAAGACTGCTGCTGCTGCTGCTGAAGTTGAATTCTTTGAGCTTTAACTTCTAGATACTGTTTTTTTAGCTGCTGCTGAGTTTTCAGTTGTAATTCTCTTTCTACTTTCTGCAGCTCCTCCAGAATCTTTTGTTTCTTCTGAATTTGTTCTTCCCTCGTTTTGTTCAGCTCCTCGATCTTCTCCTTGGTAAGTTGGTCAGCATGAGCCAGCTCCAAGGACTGCAGCTGTGCATTTTTTTCTATGGCTTCTTTTATCCTCTGTTCCAGTTCTGTTAACTTTCCCTGAGCCTCTTCTACAATGCTCTCTGGAGACTGATTGGTGATGTAACCCTGTACATCCTGGCTGTTTGCTGGCAAATGGCTGTTGGACTTTTGTTTAGAAGCAGCTGTGTGAAAAAGAAACCCCCTCAGAAGTGCACATGAATGGCATCCTCATTACAGAGTTACTGTTGGGAGGGTTAGTGCCAACAGTTATGCACCAAGGTTATGCATCAATTCCACGAAGGTGAAATGTAATTTTAAGGAGTTAAACACAAGTCCACCTTCTCTATCATAAATATAAAATGTATGTATTTTATGTACATAGAGTATTCTCTGAAAGTAGAGTTCAGAATTTATAAATACCACAAGGCTAAAACTAGACAACAGAGGGATGAAAGCTTGTGACACCTAAGTGGTGCAGTTAAAGTCAAAGTCAAGTCTAAGGCTATGTGTAGGCATTTCATATGGTCAGAAAGCAAAAACTCATCATAAAAGCAGAAAAATAAAGCTAAATTAAGGTGTAGAGAAAATTTAGATGTCTATATCAAGATTTTCCACACTTAGTAAATGTCTGTCTTTGATAAACATACACACATACACACAGAGTACCCAAACCAGTGAGATGTACCAAGAAATTAAAACCCAACTAAAATATGTCTTTGTTGGGACCTACTATCTTCAAGACTGACAAAGGAAAGAGAGAAATTCACATAGTCACACAACTACCTGGCCAATAGAGACCTGGGCTTTTAGTTTCCCTGAAAGAAAAGATGCTGGGCTACATGATCCTCTGTTTCTTCTGACAGCCAGGTACACAGACTGCTCTGGCTAACAGGTTTAGCAAGCAACCGAAAAGGATGCCAGAACAATAGGCTAGCGGCAGTGACCTAAAAGAGCTGCTGGGAATAATTAGCATACATGTTGGTAAAAGAATATGGTAGCCAAAACCAAAATCAGCTTCTTCAGGTAAAACTTTTCAAAATAAAAACTGATTCAAACTGGTAGATGTCATGTTTGGGGACATACTTTAAGAACAGGCATGGTATGACATACACAAGTCAAAAAATGGACCTTGGAATCCTAGAAACAACAAGTGTATCTTTCGTATCTTTGAATTAGTTGAGGAAAAAGTGTCCTAGATATATATCTGTGTCAAACCAGTTCTTTCAATTGACTTTTAATATTTGATCCAACATTTTAATCTTTAGGTCTCATGTCACTACAAAGATTTAGGTATGGTAAATAAAAATGATCAGAATTGTCATCCAACTTAACATGAATAAAAATGATTATTCATTGGAGAAAATCATGAATAATTAGCACTCCATCAAAAAGAACATCTGAGTTTCCGGAGTCCCTCAGTACCTAGCTTCTCTCCCAGAAAGTTTCTTTTTCATTGATTTAAAACAACAAACAAACAAACAAAAAAAACTTTAATGATACCAACTTAATTAATTCATTGTTGGAGACAAGTGATTTTGAAGGGCTAGTTTTTGTATTCTTATTTTCACCTGGACTTGTAAGAAATAGTCTTTAGAAGTATAACTGACCTTTATTCCTAACGGGAAGAGTGGTAGCAACATTGGCAGGTGGTTTGTCGGGCTCTTGAGGTGGGACAACCATGGGCAGTGCTTGAACTGGTACACGAGGTGCCTAAGAAAAAATATGATAGTCATTTCTTCCTTGGTACACAATCAATTATCAAGTTAATAACTTGCAGAGTTAAGCATACTTAGTGTGACATTTCAGACAATGACACATGTATATCAAATTATTTTCCTTAACATTCTTTGATTTTTTTTAAAAAAGTAGCTTTGAATTCCTGTTATTCTGACCATAATATTAAAAAATGAAACCATAATCCCATCAATATAGAACAAAAATATAATAATGTACATAGGCCTTGGTATAATTATACATAACTTCATTTCAACAAAGATAATCTCATTTAAATGAATATTATAGCTAAAAAGGAATATAAAATGCTTAAACTTTGAAGCTTACCCTATTTAAATCATGGGATGGGGGTGTTAGCTGAGTGACATCTGGTGGAGGGGCTGAAAGTAGATTATTAGGATAGTCTAAAAGATAGCAAACAACACTTGTATGGCCACCTTTGGCTGCTTCTATCAACATGGTTGAGCCATCCTAAAAGAACGAACATAGAAGGGAAAAAAGTTAGCACACGTATCAGTTCTCAGGTAAGTGCATGTCAAATATCTAATTTTTTTTTCTATTAAAGCTAGGTAGCTAATACCCAGAATGTCACTGCAAATAAAAGATAAGGAATTCATAATGCTACATTAACCACTTGAGTTACCTACTTTTAAACGGTGAGTAGGGTCTGCCCCATGAGCCAAAAGCAGTTCCACTACTGCCAGATGACCCCCCGCACAAGCCAGGGACAGTACAGTATGGTCATTATTAGCTGTGGTTCGATTCACATTTGCTCCTAAAACAGACATGAAAAAAATACATTAGTAGAATGGTTAAAAAAAATAAGACTTATTCATTTTTAATTTATATGTACATGTGTGTACCTTTGAGTTTATGTGCCCCAGGTGCTTGCAGATGCCCTGGGAGGCCAGAGGACATTGGATCCCAAGGGACTAGAGTTACAGAAGGTTGTGTGGGCTATTTAATGTGTGTGCTGTCATCTGTAGAATGGCAAGTGTTCTTAACCACAGGTTCATTTTTGCAGCTCCAGTTGTGGCAAAAATTTACACATCATTTAGTGCTGATGCATTTATATATATATGCATGTATGTATGTCTGTGTATGTGTATGTGTGTATGTCTGTGTATGTGTGTATGTCTGTGTATGTCCTTCACAAGAGGAACATTAGTGTAATATGTAATAGCCTTACTATTATATATTATGAGATTTCATTACTAATGTTAGCAGCATCCCTTCCCCATGTAACCACAAAATGTTCCTCAGCCTTCAAAGGTCAAAATACCTTAGCATAGTACCAGGCGGATAGTTCAGGAAAAGAAGAAGAAAACTCCTCTACATAAACTTACCTTTACTAATTAAGAACTGAACTGTGCAAACATGACCAGCTCTTGCAGCTTTCATTAAAGGAGTTCTTCCACCTTCAGATTCATGTTCCTGTATTAAAATAAAAACAAAACAAAAACCCCAGTCATGTAACTCATGTTTAATTGTAAGGGAATATTTAATTACCCTTTTCATAAAAATAAAAAGTGGATTAATACTGAACCCAAGTATATCATTTAATGAGCAAATTAAGAAAAACACACTTTCAATTAAAAAACAGATATACACTTTATTGTAATAATTTAAAACCTCAAGTAGGGGGTTAGTAGCACACATCTGCAATCCTAGTTACCAGAAGCTACACTAAATGTTGCAAGGGCAGCATGCTGACACCCTTGCTTCAGAAAAACACTGAAATGACACTTCATCTTATTAAAGCATGCAAGAATTTTTTCTCTGTAAAAATGATTATAGAACTTGAACATTGGATGAATAGTCAGCCTGCTCCCCCTTTTTAATGGTGAGTTCCTGCTACATACCTTAGGCTTACAAAGAACAGTGATCCTCCCTCCTACTTCAGTCTTCTGAATGCTAGGATTATAATCTATACACCCTCTCCTCAAACCCACGTCGTTTTCTGAAAGGTCTCATGTAGCACAGGCTCACCTCAAAGTTCACACCCTAGTGAGGCTCATTTGAACTCCTGTCTCCTGAGTGCTAGTGTGAGACAAGATCGTCCCTCCACACCCTCCAAGCATTCAGACAACTCCTACACTTTAGTTCCAATTACATAGCTCTTTTATCCAGACCCCCCTTTCTAACCCCATCCAGTTAATGAACTACCAAGTCGAACGACTAGTTACATCTTTTGATCTTCACATCACTCTCTGCACATTCCCTGTGACAACTCTTAATATCCCACACCAAGTGTACTTACCATGTACTTTACCCTTTACTAGTTTATGTACCACTTGCAGGACAAAATTATTAAATATTTTGTTTTAACACTTTAATTAATAATGCTCAAAACACAGTAAGCAATTTTTTCCAAATTATAAAGAAATGCTTCTAAATCACAAATGAGTCTTTGTAAGGGATTAGTGAACTGAATAGTATTACAAAAATAAAAATAAAAACTAAATAATGTAAAAGTAAATTATCATGTAACTTTAAATAAAATCGAGGAGAAGGGGAAAACAAAGACGCAACAAAGTGAGAAGCTATGTCTTTGGATTAATTTCTTGGTTTTGTTGAATAGGCAGGCGCTCACCATGTACTCCAGGAAGGCCTTGGGATTCTGGACTCAAGTAGCCTAGGGTGTCCTTAAACTCGGGGGCATCTTCCTGCTTCAGCCTCCCAGGTGCATAGGCACGTCCTACAATGTCTACCTCATCTTATTTTTATACATAAAGATTTAAGTGATACAGCTTACCAGATCTGCACCTGCCTGAAGTAAGACGTCCGCTACATCAGTATGGCCATTTTCACAGGCGTATGTTAAAGCTGTGTCTCCTGTTGCTGTCGTGGCATGAACATTAGCTCCTGTAACAGTTAAAAATGATTGCTATTAAAACCATCTTAAAAAATGAACATAAACCTGGTACTTCAAGATAGCCTACAGTTCCTAAATCAGATAAAGTAACCATATCCATTTCTAGAATGAATACACTGACCTTTGTGAAAGTCTGCAAGAAATGGCTCAGGAGGTAAAGGCAATTGCCATCAAGCCTGATCACCTGAGTTCGGTCCCCAGGATCCCATGGTAAAAAGAGAGCTGACTCCCACAAGTTGTCCTCTACCTCTCAACACCTGCACTGTGGCATGCATGTCTGCACGCACACATATACAAATAAGTGAAGCAATTTTTGAAAGAAAAATATATGACTAAAAGTACTTTGTTGCTTTGTGTTTGTTTTTCGAGACAGGGTTTCTCTGTATTGTTTTGGAGTTTGTCCTGGAACTCACTCTGCAGACCAGTTGGCCTCGAACTCACAGAGATCTGCCTGCCTCTGCCTCCCGAGTGCTAGGATTAAAGGCGTGCGCCAGAATAAAAGTACTTAAGTAAAAATTGCATATACTTACTTTGACAGGTAAATTATGCAAAACATGCACAAAGCATATCCTATCTTTTCAACACATATTCTGTGTAACATAACAATATAAAAATATCTGTACTGTGATTTTTATTTACATCATACAATATATTCCCAAATGCAAAAATGTATACCTGCAGCTAGTAGGTATTTAACTAACTCCAGGTGGCCCTCTTGAGCAGCTTCCATTAGAGGAGTAGAACAGCCGAGTTCTATATCAGCTCCAGCCTTAATGAGAAAATCTGCCACTTCTAGAAAACCTCCACAGCAAGCCAGGGTCAAGGCAGTTTCTTGAGTTTCTTCTGTCTGTGCATTGATATTTGCTCCTAAAAGAAAGATTCTACTTAAAGGAAGTGCAGGAATTTATTCAGTTACAAACAAACACAACTGGTTTCTAATGACCTATATCTAATGTGAATGTATGTATCTCTTTACTATTCATGGCAGTGAAAGGTAAATGGGGAAAACCCACATTCATTCATAAGTAGATATCTTCTATATGTACCTGGAACATTTGTTTAAAAAGAAGGCACCAGTTATGATTAAGAGGAGTATTCAAATTACCTAATTCCTTCCTGTGAAAATTCAAAATGGAGAGTAAATGTATAATGATATTAGCTAACATTTAATAAGCTGGTACTATTTCCCAAGCAACATTAGAAGAATAGACTGTTAAGGTACATTTATTTATATAATTTGAATTTAGGGAGGGAAAATGCTGGAGAGTAAACCCATAGCCAACCATATTAGGCAATTGTGTGGTATTGGATGGAGATCAAACCCAAGTCCTTGGGAACAGAGTAAACATCCTGTCACTGAGCAGCATATTCCTAAGGCCTTAAGTTGGTATATTTTCATCACCATTTCACATAAAGCTGAACAAGCTGAGGTGAATTCACTTAATTCACTTGCCCTAGCAACACTACCATCACCATGACACCATATGAAAAGCACTGTTGTAGTAGCTTCCCTCTCTCCCTCTCTCCCAATAGAAACAAAACTGCCTAAATTAGGAACAAAATTGTCATGCAGTGTAAATGATTCACATTTAAAAAGTTTGCCAGGCTGTGGTGGCACACACCTTTAATCCCAGGAGGCAGAAGCAGGTGGATCTCCGTGAATTAAAAACAAGCCTGATCTACAAAGCTCATTCCAGAACTGCCAAGGCTATGCAAAGAGAAACCTTATCTCAAAAAAAAAAAAAAAAAGAATCCACCACTAAAAAATCAAAAAGTATACTTCAAAACCCGTATGTTTAAAGTTCTAGCCAATAGAATATCTACATGAAAAATAAATAAATGCCATTTTGTTAAATGGACCAGATTTCACAAGGTAATAAACAAAATACTATTAAAATATATAGGTGATCATTGTCTAAATATAAGATATTTAAATTCCTACGTCATTCCACTTTTTCCAGAAATTCCTTACAGTCTCAGCTCAACAGGTTATGGTGTACATGCATCTGGCTTGGTTGGTCTTCAGTGTTCTTTTGTTTTTCCTCAGTGTCTCTGGATATAGAACTGACTGGATGGCATCAGCTTCCTAATCACTGTGATTACAAATGTGCACTCCCCACTTGGCTGGCGCATCCATTCACCAAGCTAACCCTCACAGCAGTGTTGCCCATGTTGTTCCACAACATGCTTATTCAAGAGTTAGTGTCCTAACTCCAAAGAATTCCCTCACCATATCAGGCTTGGAGAATTGTGGTACCTCATATTCCCTTAAGACAAATGTTGACATGAACTTCGATTGTGTTGTTTGTTGCCTAACAGCACGACTACATGGAGCCATCTTACAGCAGACATTTGGAAGCAACAGCTCAGTGTAAATATACTAAGGAGGCGATACGCTGAAGTTCAGTCTTAACAAAGACTTGTGTTCTACCAATTTATGGTTTAATAACTGCTACAAGTGCTTACCTTGGCCTAGAAGTAATGCCACCATTTCTTCATGTCCTTCACGGGCTGCTTCCATCAAAGGTGTATAACCTTCATCATTGACCTCTTCCAGGCTAGCTCCTCTTTCAATAAGCAAGGCTGCAAGTTCCACATGTCCCCCACATGCAGCCAAAGTCAATGGAGACTCAAATGAATCAGCTGGCATGTTCACTTGAGCACCACTGTCCAAAAGCAACCTAGCTACTTCAACATGGCCATCCTATTCAAAAGCAATTAAAAATTAAATCAGCACGAGAAAACTAAAACAAACAAACCATCAAAACCCTAAGACAAAACTTCTCAGTTACCATACGGTGACATTTGCTGACCTTTACTCAATAGAAAAATAAGTCTACATCTGACAGTTTGGTAAACACACGTTATGTGCTTCCTAAACTCTTTATCCTACAGAAGCTTGAGGATTTGAAGCAAATAGAGGAAAATTCTGTGTCTAGTCAAGAAGCTTATCAGCAACAAAAAGAGACGTGGAAGAAGTAAATGAATGGAGACAAATCCAAGGAAGGCCATAGAGAATCATCAGAGCATAATGGACATTTAAATGACAAGTGACAAAGCTCGGGTACAGGGAAAGCAAATTTTTCATGAGATCAAGAGTTTACAAACTTTTGATTGGCAGGAGATAGTTTTTGAAGCAGTGGAGAAAAGGGGAATCGTGTGTTCAAGGAACAAAATGAGTACATGATGCTTTCTCTGCTGCATACGTAGCCCCAGTGAAAAGACAAAAAACAGGGAGCTTATCCTATTACTGGCAACTACTCAAGAATCTCCATTCTGTTTTTCTTTCAATAAATAGTTTCTTTTAACCCTTCATATACTTCCTCAATATACTGTACCTTGCTCTGAATGTCATGTCCACTCAGGCCTAATAACACAGCATACCAGATAACTCTAATGTCCTATTTTCATATTGCTATTCTTGCAGTTTGAAATGCTTCCCCATTTAGTCCAATCATAATATACAAAGAGCTTCTTTTTAGAAAGACCTTCTAAGTGCCTGACCTCTATTCATATACCTTTTATTTACACCTACCCCCCTCTCTTTCCTCCTGCCTCCCTCCCTCTCCATCCAACCATCTATTATTTATTGAAACCCGAGTATTGTGATTATAAGCATATCTGTCTATCCATCCACCTATCAATCATTTATTTACTGGGACTGAGTACCGGCATTAGGGGCATATATCTCCATTCTCAACTATTTTCATATATTTAAAAATTTCTAGTGCATATGGATTAGATCTATAGAAAAGTCCTCCTTAATTTATCTGTTTAAATGCAGAGTATTTTCATAGGACAAGGTAGCAACAGTGCCCGAATTTCCTTTAACAAACATTGCTGAAATGGTCAATATTATTGCTGTTGAGGGTTTCATTTAATCCTCGTGAGAACATCAGGGGGAAAGAAATCTCTCATAATTGTTTCAGATACCTCCCCCTTAGTAGATTATAAACTAAATACAAAGGCTTATGGGTATTATTATTTGATTTCCAAGAACTAAAATACAATTCTTTATTTATATATATACACACACATATAAGATTTTGTATGTTATGTGTACAGCTGAGTGCTTTGTCTGCACATAAGTGTACCAAGTACATGCAGGTACCAACCGAGGTCAGAAGAAAAGTGTGACATCTCTTTGGTGCTAGAAGTACAAGCAGTTGTGAGCTATACATGTGAGTTCTGGGACCAAGCACAGCAAGGACAGCAAGTGTTCTTACCTGCTGAGTCATCTCACCAGCTGTGTGTGTCTCTGTGTGTGTTCAAGATCAAAATACACACATTTGATTTTTTGAGACAGGGTCTCTCTACATAGCCTGGCTACCCTAACACACTATGTAGACCAGGCTATCCTGAACATCATGGAGATCCACTGTCTCTGCCTTCCTAGTGCCAAGATTAAAGGCATGTACTGCCTTTTCAGGCAGTTCCTAATATTTTGACAGGGTCTTGCTATGTTTGAACCAGTACTCACTATGTAATCTAGCCTTGCCTCAAACTAATAGCAGCCTTCCTATTTCAACCTCCCAAACGCTGGGATTACATGAGATCATCAAATGCAGCTTAAAAATAATTGTTCAGCTGAGGTTTTGTTCCACAATTAAAAAAAAGAAAAATGGAGCTTTTACATCTAAGGAAAAGGTTCTTTATTTTACAATAGTTCTACCTCTCCACACTTAGTATGAAAATATACTTTGTATATGCATTCATCCATCTTACCATGCAAGCCTCCATTAGAGCAGTGTGCATTTCATCTGTTTTATGCTCTTGATCAGCGCCTGCTTCCAAAAGAAACCGTACCATCTCTAGATGTCCTAAATCAAAAGTGTATTGAATTACTTATACTTATTTTCAAAAACTATTTTTTAAATCAAAGTGATATATAATTTTTGGTGCACGTTGCATTACTTACTGGAAAAACCTTTTTCTAGTCCTGGTATGGCTCAGTCCTAGAATACAACTTTAACCCAAGAGCTTTCTGCTTAAATATTGTAAACAGGATTAAATAGTCAACCATAGGCCAAGAGGCAGAGCAAGCAGCCAGTTGACAGGAAGTGAACACAGGATTATTAAGAAAAAAATAACATAGAAAGAGGGAGTCAGGAGGACAGATAGAGAGGCATACAGAAGTAGAAGGGAGGGAGGGACAATGAATTTGAAGAGATTGGTTTTGAGAAGGTAGGAAAGGGAGAGGCTTCTGGGATGGAAGGGAGGGGATGTGTATTTTCATCTGGGTACTTCTTCTGCCTGTCTGAGCTAGCAGACTTTCAACCTAGTAACTGGCTCCGACTCTTTATTGATAAAATTGAATGACTTGAGAATTTGTTGAGAACAGATAGGTACTGGCAAACAAATAGTCTGTATGTAACTCTTTATGAAGCTCATTCAGCACACTTATACTTGATCTTGTTTATTTTACTCCATTCATTCATTCATTCATTTTGATTTTGTATTGTTTTGGAGCCTGTCCTGGAACTTGCTCTGTAGACCAGGGTTGGCCACAAACTCACAGAGATTGCCTGCCTCTGCCTCCCGCATGCTGGTATTAAAGGCATGCGCCACCACTGCCCAGTGAAAATATTTTTAAAACATCATTAAACTTATAAGTATTCCTTTACTTAGAGATAAAACATAGGATAGAGCCAGGCGGCGGTGGCACATGCCTTTTATCCTAGCACTCAGGAGGCAGAGGCAGGCGGATCTCTTTGAGTTCGAGGCCGGGCTGGACCGACAGCCTCCAAAACAAAACAGAGAAACCCTGTCTCGTAAAACCAAAGAAAAAAACAAAACAAAACAAAACACACACAAAAACATAAGCTAGAAACAGTTTCAAATAAGTTTCATGTTTCAGTTCAAGTAGTAACTAAAAAGTAGAAAACCAATTATACTTGAATAGAACTTTGGATACCATATAAGACAGCACTAAGAAATGACTTATACTTAATTTGTAATTAACTAGAATTAGACCGGAAAGAAAAATGTAGTATAGTCCTAGATGAAGAACTAAAACAAGACTTAGTAAGTACAGCATCTACTACACCTTGGCTTAGCTCACTACTCTAATCTCCCTTTCCCATTGTAATTTTCCCATTCCAAACATCTACATATAAATGCTCAATAGGCCTGACTTCTAGACCTTTTCCAGAGTGTTGTCAAACTAACTCCCAGGAAATCGCACAAGAACCAGAAACAAACACTGGTCCCTAGAAGTATTCAAGATGTACTCGACTAGCTTAATTCTCTAACTAGCTTCGAATTAAAGCTTTGCAAGCCCAACCTTGAAAGTATAGCAGGCTATAAACAAATGGTGAGAGACTAGGTAGTCACGAGTAGTCTCATCACAAAGCTCTCTGGCAAGCTGGGAACCAGTTTTGGGTTCAAAAGTGTTTGTAAAGTGTATAAAATCACTGGATGGTGGTGGTGTGGTGGTGCACAACTTTAATCTTAGCAGGAAGCCGAGGCAGGTGGTCTCTGTGAGCAGGAGGACAGCCTGATCTACAGAGCAAATTGCAGGACAAGCTCCAAAGCTACAGAGAAGCAAACAAACAAAAAAACAACAAGAAGGTGTATAAAACCACCTAATAAAAACTTCCCAAAGTTTAACTCCTCTAATCCTTAACAAAGATCAGACACTGCCTAACTACCAAATAGAAATAGGAAACTAACTGACTTCAACTGCGTTCTTTACCTGAAAATGTGCTAAATTCAGACACTCAAAATTGAACAACTTAAATTGTATCCATGTTTATATCTAAGTATTATTGTCTAATACTTCTAAAGGAAATCAGTTCTAAAGACAATACAAGATCTTGGGTACTCTTAAACACAGCAGAACAAAGCAATGGCAAGGAAAGGACTGGGCTAAGGAAAGAACAGAGTGAAAATCTTAAGTACTCACTTATTCACAAGTTTATGCAAGTGAGGAGTCAACCTGAGGTGTCTCCTTAATTTTATATCTGCACTTGCAAAGCCTTTTGATTAATACTGCAGATCAATACTGAATGGTATTTTAAGAACTAAAATGTTCAGCTTTCTCTGATAAGACTGTCAATTTCGTTGACAAGTATTTACAATGAATGTTTAGACTATACATTATTATTTAAGCTTTAAAACCAAGCTTATTTATATTTAATGACACTATATACTATTGTTTTATTGTTAATTTAAAAAATGATTTTAGTTTCATTATTTTATTTCAAAATAGATTTATACTATACCTTTATAACAAGCTAATGTGAGGGCACTTTCTTTAAATTCATTGGAATGGGTATTGATGCCAGCTCCATTTTCTAGCAGCAACCTGGCCACTTCCACATGTCCAGCACTTCCAGCTTCCATAAGAGGAGTATGACCATTTTCATTATGGTCCTCAATACTAGCACCGGATTCCAAGAGCACCTTTACAACATCTACATAGCCTCCAGCACAAGCGTAAGTAAGGGCTGTGTTGCCTGTTTAGGTAAGCAAAAACAATGAAAAGACATTAACATTACACTTACACACACACACACACACACACACACACACACACACACACACACACACACACACACACACACACACACACACACACACACACCACCCCTGTCAGCCCAGTGAGATGCTTCAGGGCATAAATGGACATACCACCAAATCAGATAACCTGAGTTTCATCCCCAGAACCTATATGGAGAAGGAGGAGAGAACTGACTCTAGCAAGATGTCCTATGATTTCCAAGTACACCCATGGCACATATATGCATGTATATACAAATATAAATAAAATAAATTGTAAAACTTTAAAAAAATGAAATTATCAAATTCACATATAAAGGCTGAAATGGAAAACCATATCCAAAAAAATATATAGTAATGGACATAAATAATTGCATTATTCAACTGCACTTTCTCTTTCTGAAATAATTTCCTGTCCTCCCTTTCTATTCAAAAAACAGTATTGCACTGTGCCTGGTGGTATGGGTTATTACCTCAACTATCAGAAGGCTAAAGCAAAAGGATTAGAAATTCAAGGCCAGCTCATGATCTTAAGGAGAGTCTAGACAACTCTGTAAGAATCTCAAAATACAAAGTAAAAAGGCCTAGGAACTTAGCTCATTTGGGGAATGTTTGCCTAGCATGTGCAAATTCTGGTGTCAATCCCTTGTATTGCCAAACAACAAAAACAAAATACATGCCAGATAATAGAAAGAACAGATACACTTATAAAAACTACAGAATTAAGATTTGATAGGGAAGCCACAACAAGGATATATAAACAAAATGGGTACCTAAACAAGACCCAAACCATAATTCTAACAGATATACTAACATCAAAAGAACAAATCTTAGAGTCCAAGCCCTAGACAAACTACTAGGCAACTAATGAATGTTAATAGGGGGAGATTCCGCATTTCCCAGAGATAAATCCCCCTAAGTAATTATCTAATAACAAGTGATCATCACTAAAATCAAACACTCAAAGGACTTCATAAGCCATATTTATATATTCATTCACGTAAATGTAATAATAAATACAATGTAAAAAATGTGAGAGGGAATAACAGGGATGGGGGAAAACATGGGGAAATGGTAGGGTTTTGAAGGAAATGGGAGGTGATGGAGGAAAGACAGGGAACATGGAGGTAACAAACAAACAAACAAACAAACAAAAAAAAAAAACAGCTTTGGAGAACTGCAAATAAGCTGTGCAATTCTTTCCTGAAACTTTTTCCTTCCCAAATGAGATAAGATTATAGCTAACTTTAATATGAAAAATGTTTCATAAAGCATTATTTTTAAATAATTGTCATCATATACCATACCCAAAACCTATCATATATAACCCATAAACCAAATGACCAATGTCAAATAATTTTTAAAAAGATCCGTATTTTTGCTTTTGGAACATGCTATGCATTTCAGGCAAGCCCCAACACTTAGCAATCCTCCTGACTCAGCCTCCCACATGCAAGAATTGCAGGTATGAGCCAAGTCAATGAGCAAAAGGATCCTTTTATGGTTAAGAACTTGCCATGTTAAAAGAAAGGCAACTTGATAAATAAAAAAAAAAGTATATATACTTCCTTGATTTTTCTTTTAATCTAAGGGAAACTCACAAAATACAATTTTGTACAATATTAGACCCAAGTTTGCCCTCCCTCCAGAAGAAGAAATTAGTTTAGGCCAAACTAATGTTCCACTGGACATGTTTTGGTAGTTCTTTTTCCTGGGCCACAGTTTAGCAAAATTAGGGGATCATGATCTAGTCCTTGTTGTTCATCCTATTCTCCCCACATCTTGCATTAATAGTAAAAAGAAGTCAGGTTTGAGAAGTGTAAGCCATAATTCTTCACTTCTACAAAGCAGTCTTTCAAACGCAGCGCTTAACATACTTTAAAAGTGTCTCATAAGCATAACAGGAAATGTTTCCTTTAATACTATTTTAAACCTCATAGAGACTTAGGCAGATAATGAAGCATTTAAATGTTGTGGATGATTAGTTTAAGATGCGTTACATTTGCTTATGTTGTAGAACATTTGTTTTAATGATGTAAACGTTTTATGTTTCATTTGTTTGACTCTGTGAAGCTATGTTACTCTGCCTGTCTAAAATACCTGACTGATCTAATTAAAAGCTGAATGGCCAATAGCGGAGTAGAAAACGGGTAGGCAGGACTGGCGGTAGAAGAGACTAAGTAGGAGGAGAAACCTGGGAAGGGATATGGAGGAGCCAGAAAAGTAGGAGATGAGGACTCCAGGGGTCAGCCACCCAGCTACAAAGCAAGCCACAGAGTAAGAAGAAAGGTATACAGAAATAGAGAAAGGCAAAAGCCCAGAGGCAAAAGGTAAATGAGCAATATAAGAAAAGCTGTGTATAAATAAGCCAAGCTAAGGCCGGGCATTCAAAAAATAACAATAAGATTCCACATGTTTAATTTCAGAGCTGCATAACAGGCCCCCAAAAGAACAAAGAAAGAGGGGGGGAAAAAACCCAGCAACACTTAAGTGAATACGTTCAAAAGAAACAATTGTAAAAAGGGATGCTACTACTAGCTAATGAAACTGAAATAAAAGTATTCATGACCTGTTGAAGACTGTGCATTGACATCAGCTTTATGAGCTAGCAGCAACTTCACGATTTTGACATGTCCTCCATTAGCAGCAGCCATTAAAGGTGTAATGTCACCTTTGATTCCCCTGTCTTCCACGTTTGCATGCATGGCCAACAAAACCTTGACAAAGAAAAAATAATTTATATAGTATTGAGTTCCTTGAAAGTTTTCAATATACTTATTCATATAATACCTAACTACTCATAAGATTCCTAGGAATCAAAACTATACACACTGTATGCAACAAAGACTGTTGGAATTAGCTTAAAAGGCAAAAGGGTTTAATCTTTTCCGAAAAAAGACAGATTTCTTTTAAAGGCTTATCCTCCTAACACAAACCTGTGCAAGCTCATAGTATCCAGCAGAACAGGCTAAACAAAGGAGGCTCTCCCCTTCCTCGGTGTGTTCATTTACACTTCGACCTTCAATGAGTAATTTCCGCACAGCATTTACATCTCCTTCTGAACAGGCCTCTGCTAAACTGCGGCTATGGCAAGAAGAACAGCGTCATCTCAGGGGATGATACAAAAGTCTGCATTTCTTAATGTCATTCTAAATTAAAATTAATCAGTATTCTAAAATGTTTTCAGCTATGTACAATCTAATTCACAGTAAAAATTGAAATCATAAAACATAAAAATCCAAACAAAAATATAACAGATTAATTAAGCTTTTGTTCAGTTGCTAAAAATTTTATGAAATTAAGAAAATATAAAATGGGTAAGACACTAATTATGACAGTCTCTCTGATTTCTTCCATCAAGTAAAAGAATATCAGACACAAGACGGGAGCATGTAATGTTAATAACGGAGTGACTGGGAGAATATTTATCAAACAATCACCGCAGGTGTCAGTTCTCCCCTTCTATGTTGCTGGAACAAGGTGTTGTTCACAGCTGTAAGACAGGCTAGTGGGCTCTTGACCTGGGAATTCTCTTGTGTCCACTTCCTGGGTCTGGCTTTGTGTGCTCTGAGTACTCACACTCACATCCTCACCCTTACTCAGCAAGAACTTTACCCGCTGTGCCATCTCCCCACACAGCCTTATGCTCAGTGAGAGGAAGAGAGAAGTCAGTAAGAACTGAAAGCTGCAGCATAGCAATGACACTTATCCAGATGCTCTGTTCGTGCCCCAGGACTTTATATATGAAATATGATTTTCATTATACAGCACTAGAAAACATTAAGGTATTAACTATAATACACTGAATCCTAATTAATACTAAAACTGTGAATACAAGGGATTCTGAGACACAAAAACAGAGTCTCTTGGCATAACATTCACTTTATAAAATTAAGATTTATGTTTTAAAACTTCAGAAAACAAAAATCTCATCTTATGAATTATACACATGAACTATAAAAAATACAATGGATAGAATAGCATTTACTTCTTTGTCACTAACATGTAAGAAGAGCAACATAGATAAATGAATTTTTTTCCTGAGTTTTAAGACTTTGAATGTTTATGTGTGTATACATGCCACTTGTGTGGGTGTCAGCACCCACCATGGGTGCTGGGAACTAAATTCAGTGCCTCCAAGGAGAGCAGCAAACTCTTTAACAAAGAGCTACCACTCCAGTCCCCAATAGTTGTCACAAATGATCGAAGCAATGTTCATCTTTTTGAGATTAATTAAGCTATTCATCTCCCAGTCTGCTTATACTACTCAAAAGGCTCGGGGTTTTTTTCTATGTATATAAAAAGTATTGTGTTAAGTAGATATAGTATCAAGACACAAAACATTCTGGATAACTATTAAATATTATCATTCTTGGGAAAATCGTTCTTATACTGATCACAAGGCAAAAGCACTCACTTGTCCGACTGCCCTGCATTTGCTGTGCTTTCAGCTCTCATTCGTGTAAGTGCAGCAGCAGCTTCATCCAACGCACAGCTGACAGATGATGTCAACCTCCGGAGCACTTCAGGGTCTGCAAAGGCTTTACCATCAGCCGTGGATAATTTGCCTATTCCTATTATTTTCACACCCAAAAGGAAAACAAAGCAAACCTCAGGTTACGAAAATCTGTATGTTAACATAACCTTCATATACTAAGATGGACTTATTGGTCTATAATCATTAGACCAAATCTAGAAAGTTTATCTATGCTGTATGGTTCCTAGATACATGATCTGTTATGCTATAGTGTCAGATGTGGGTCTTTAGCCTGTGCTAGGACAGAAAGGAGTCTCCTCTGAAACCTCAGTCATGTCTTCAGGGAAGAGCTTATCTATGTTCAGAGGTTGTTGAGCTATAGGCATTGAGTCATGAGCTATTCAGTCACTTGAGAGCCACCCAAAAAGACTTCCAAAAATAAAGTCAATATAGAGCAAAGCAGATAAAAAGAATCCTAGAAAAAGTATTTTTTGACTCACTGATGCTATTTTTTGATAAATCACTACTTTTGCTTTAAGAAAAGTGGACGAACAGAATACAGGCTGCATAAAAAAGATAATGTACATATAACTACTTCTTAAAAACTTACTAAATATACTTTAACACATATACTTAGAATCCTCTAAGTTATTTAGAATAGCAAAATAACACAAAAGTAAAAATAGTAAACATCCAAATGAACGTAATTGTTACTTTTGCAGCTAGCCCTAATAAAGCAAGCTTATAACATTATTTTATTCCAGATTATCCGCCTGTATCACCTGTGGTGCTGGGACTGGAAATATGGCTCAATGATGAAGAGCACTTCATGCTTTTCCAGAAGACATGATTTTGTTCTCAACACCCAAGTCAGACAACACACAGATACCTGCAACTCCAGCTCCACGGGGTCTGACACCCTCTTCCGATCTCTAAGGCACATGCATTCATGTGCAAACGCACACACATACACAGACAGTATCTCAAGCCCAAAAATATACTGATCTAAAATTTAGTCTCTGGACAGGCCACACAAGTAATTCAGACAGACACTAAAATTTAGCAAGGGTTAGGGTCATTTCAAAGAGTAACAAGCACCCTTAAACCACAGATTCCACTTCTGCAGTCCCCATTTCATGCAACTCTTAAGACTACACATATGCTAAAACTTACTGTCACCATAAAACTACACTGTATCAAACACTGTCCTGATGGGTCCAACCCAATGAGAAACTCATGAAGAGCAGAGAGAACTCTGCCTGGAGATAACAAAGATAGGGAATTCAAGAAATAAAAAGGTTTTCTTGTGTCCTTCCTGGCTTAAAAATGGAGGGGAGCTGCGCATCGAAGAATGTAGAAACAAGAGAAGACCCAAATGGGTGCCTATAAAAAGATGAAGTTCTCAGAGCTACAAGAGCAAGGAACTGGTTTCTTCTCTCAGTTATGCCGAGCTTGGAAGTAAACCTTCCCCAACAGCAGATAGGTACAAACTTAACACAGGTGATTTCAGTATACAAGATCTTAAGGCAAGAGAATTTAGACACACCACGTTCTAGTGTCTGATACACAAACTACAAAATATTTGAGTGTTGTTTCTTGTGGCTCTATAAAAATAAATTACTACGATGCATTAGGAAACCAGTGAATCCTTCACAGTAAAAGCTATCAGTTGGCAAAACAGATGTGTACACTTTTCAATTTAGCTTTTTTTTTATATATGTCATTGCTATTGCCTATAAACAGAACTCCGGGATCACCAGTCAATGACAGTTTCATAATCTGAAAAGACCGCCCAAGGCAGTAAAAATAAAATCAGTTTTCAAATGTCACCAAGGAAAGACTAGGAACTAGAAACAATCGCAAATGCAGTATCAAACCTTGACTGCAACTCAAAAGCAGAAGGGCAAAAATTTCAAAAATCTACAGAAAATGAATTTTAAACTAAACTTTAAAGCATAAACTATCAAGCATAAACAAAGGCATTTTGACATGAGATGTCAGAAAACTTTGCCTCTCACAAGCAAAATGGGGGAATAATAAAGCAAAACAAAACAAACAACCCCACACATTTCACATATCTTTAAGATGGATATTCTAGGGCTAAAGAGATGGCTCAACAGTTAGAAAGCACTGCTTAATCTCTCTAAAATCCACCAAACAAAATAAAATAAATCCTAGACAGTCTGAACTAAGTGATCAATTCTGAACACTTGGCAGGATATTTAAAGTCACTAAACGTAAATTTCTACCTTTTTTTTTCCTTTGACTGTCTTCATGTTTCTAATTTTAGGGGAATCCTTGAGATACATATGAAAGAAGTCATAAATGAAATGACAAAACTTATATCTATATTCAAAGACGTGGGAATGTCAACAGAGTAGTAACACAAGAAGGCCACCCATATACTCATGCTTATTAAAGTTGAAAAATCATAATCAAGGGGTTTGTTATGCTATTCTAAGATTTTGTGTAAAATTTTTTATTAGAAATGAAAGAGAAGCATAAGAATTCTAATTTTCCAATTAGAATTACGTTCTTACAGAGAAAATAAAATCCACTCTAAAACTAAGACAATTTGCTTTACTTATATAGTTATGCAGCCTGCAGTACAATGGGAGATTCAAATCAATCAATTTTATCATAAAGTTGCTGCAAACTGGAACTGAGTGCTAAGCCACTGCTGCTAGGACAGAATAGGACCTAGTTTCATCTGTGTTATGTATTAAAGATATCAATACTTTATCTGTTAACAATAAATTCAGTCAACAGCACTGTAATTAAACTATGCTTCAGTGAATCATACCTCATGTGTTTTGTTCTGTTTTGTTTTTTCCCAAAGAAATAAAGGAGCACACATTTACTGTAGTAGCAAGAGATGTGTATGGATAACAAGGAAGACATGACTATCATATGCCATACCTGCAGCTTCTAGTAAAGCTTCCAATCTAGCCTGTGTCTCTGGATCTACTGTCCTGAGGTCTGCACCATCAGCAGTGCCTGATAAAAGCAACTTGGAAGCTGTTTCCAGCATTGGATTCTCCAAATCATCCTGGTCCAAAATGAAAGACTCCACCTAGAAAACAAATACAGAAAGACAACAGGAAAGAGGGGAGGGGGACAAAAACAAAATAAGATCAGAGGGAGGAAAATATACTTAACATAATTACCAATAAGTATAGTAGCAACACTAAAGCTAAAAGAAAAATGAAAGTTGAAGATTTTAAGAACTCTGCAATCATTTGTTTACTGAAATAATATTCATCCTTTCCAGTTTTAATGTGTGCATGAGATACACCTGAGCTTGGAACATAAATTCTGGATCCTTCCCTATATCAGTTCTTTAGGGAGTTGTTTTAAACACTTGACTTTCCTTAGCTTTTGCACTTAGAATTTTAAAAATATAGTTTATGCTTCCAAGCTTAACTTTTTTCATTAAAACAAATATTGTAAATTAAAATGTCAAGCTCACTTTAATCACTTTTGAGGATATTTGTCAAAAATCCAAGTTTAACAAGACAGTTTGCCAAGTAGTACTTTGTAGCAAAAAATAGCATTTCATGAGGAAACAAAAAAAGGAGATAAATTTTCTTACATCTCAAAAATTGGTGAAAAGTCAGCTGAAGAGGTGACTCAGAAGTTAAAAGCTGAGAATCCAAGTTCAGCTCTCAGCACCCAAGTTGCGGGATTTACAAACATCTACAACTGTACTCATGTGCACATATCCACATAGCTATAATTTATAATTTTAAAAGACAATAAATCTCTCTCTCTCTCCTCTCTCTCGTTTTTCGAGACAGGGTTTCTCTGTATTGTTTTGGAGGCTGTCCTGGAACTCACTCTGTAGACCAGGCTGGCCTCGAACTCACAGAGATCCGCCTGACTCTGCCTCCCGAGTGCTGGGATTAAAGGTGTGCGCCGCCAACGCCGGCTGACAATAAATCTTTTAAAAAATTAGTGAAAAGTGAGATCTGATGTATTTTCTTTGTTTAACTATAAGCATAAAGCAATGAATAATACATGTATACTTTGGTACTACAAACTTAAGGACACAAAACATTTACTTACTATTGTTTTTATATTACCAGTGAAAATGTAAACCCATTAGAAACAAAAATAAGGTCTTGATATTGAGAGGACAATAATTTTGACCTCCTGATACCCTGAAATAATATCCTAGGCGCCCAAAGTTTATAGACCATATGTTTAGATACATTCATTATCTAACTCAGAGTGAAATGAAAGAAATTTAAGGAAATAGAAACCCACTCATCATACCACATTTTGTTGATTTGATAGTGTGGCTATGCTGCCCAGTCCAGCATCAAAATCCTAGACTCAAGAGGTAATACTGAGAAGTACTAGGAACCTAGGCAGACAAGACCACATCCAGTAAAAATCTTAAGATGCTTCTACACAGCACTACAAAAACTACAATAAGAAAAATAAATAGGGTGCTAGAGAGGTGGCTGAGTTCCATTCCCATGGGGGTATATGGACCTGAATGCTAGGTAATACTGGGGCATCAGATCAGTTGGTGCTAAAGTTACAGTAGCTTTGAATAGCATAACATGAGTCCTGGGAAAGGAACTCAAGTCCTCTGCAGGAGCATGAGAGATGGAGACTCTCTTTAACCACTGTACCATCTCTTCTCCCAACCCCCATTCCTTTCAGAGACAGTGTCTCCTTGTAGTCCCGACTTCGTTGGAACTCACTGTGTAGACTAGGCTGGCCATGATCTCAGAGATCCACCTACCTCTGCACCACCACATCCAGCTTACCATTGCTTTTTGTTTTGTTTTGCTTTGCTTTTGTTTTTTGAGAGACAGGGTTTGTCTGTTTAACAGCCCTAGCTGTCCTGGAACTAGCTCTGTAGACAGGCTGGAACTCACAGAGACACACCTACCTCTGCCTCCAGAATGCTGGGACTAAATGTGTGCACCACCACTGCCCGGTTACCATAGCTATTTTTAAACAACACACACTTAGTAGTAAATTACACTTTGAATGTTTACATGCCAGGGATATACAATATCTCTTTTATCTTTCTTTCTTTCTTTCTTTCTTTCTTTCTTTCTTTCTTTCTTTCTTTCTTTCTTTCTTTTTCAAGGAAAGGTTTCTCTGTGTAGCCCTGGCTGGCCTCAAACTCAGAGATGCAACTGCCTCTGCCTCCAGAGGCTGGGGTTACAATTCTGCTCTTAAAGGCAGCAGCAACAGAACCTAACTAAGGGCTAGAGTATAGGGAAGCTAGGGGGTAAAGTAAAATTTCCAGTTTAGTAAGTATAATTTTGGGTGTGGTATGATTCAAAAAATAGCTTTGCATTCTGAATCATGGTTCAAAAAAGATTCTTTCTCATGACAAGGCTGTGCCCAAAGAATGACAAAATATCTGCTGAAATACCTATAACTTCAATGTAATAAAAGATAAAGAAAATATATGTGACTATGAACACAAGTGAAATGAATGGGTAAGTATTGTAAGTTAGCTCTAGAAAGTGAAAGGACTCAATCCAAAGGCAAAAGTGGCAGGTGCCAAATCTCTCCAAAAGTATTGTAAGTAGAAAAGAATAAAAGAATAATTTTGACCAAAATAACTAAGCTGTTTAAGACGAGAAAGGAAAATATAATATGGAAGGGGCAGATCCATCACCAATTTCAGTCTTATGGAACAAGACAGTTCTCAGCAGAAAAACTCAAGTCCTAAGTTGGAGGGAGGCGGCTCATGTTACAATGTATTATTACTAAGCCTAGTGAAAACTGACTAGAATAAATACAGTTGAAAGAATAGTAAGGCCTACAAGATGTTAAGTAAAGGCATTTGCAGCCAAGCCTAAAGACTGGAGTTCCATTACCAGACCCCATGTGTTGGGAGGAGACAACAAACTCCCACAAGCTATCTGTCCTCTGACCGCCTTATGTTCATCATGGCACATTCCCCTACCCCTAGAGATCAATAAATTTATTGCATGTATTGTGCAGGACTTCACAGTTGTCATGATCTTTGAAAGCGAACTACATCTAACTTACATGTATACCCAGCAAGTATATATATAATCTATGTTCAGGAATCAAGAAACTTTTAGATGGGGGAAAACTTCAAATTAGAAATGTGGGCTAATGAGATGGCTCAGGAGGGAAAACGTGCAAGCAAGGTAAGCTTGACAACCTGAGTGCAATGCCTGGGACCACATAGCTGTCCTCTGACCTCCACAGCCCACTGTGGTACATGTATGGATCCTCTCTTACACGCACACAAATACATAAATGTAACTTTTGAAAAAGATTTTAATGACCAGATGGCCTTGAGAGTCTTCCCTTTTTGATTCTAAAAGGCTTAGAGCATACTTGGAGAAAGAAAGGTTAATAATAAAATTTTATGCCAGGCGGTGGTGATACACGCCTTTAATCCCAGCACTCTGGAGGCAGAGGCAGGCGGATCTCTGTGAGTTCGAGGCAAGGCTGGACCAACAGCCTCCAAAACAATACAGAGAAACCCTGTCTCGTAAATACCAAAAAAAAAAAAAACCTTATATGGGGAAGGGAACAAAAATGCTCTGTTCATTGATTAAACACATTACAGACATCCCATATTCAAGTGTTTGCTGTGAGCATTTATACATCAATGTATAAAAGCCGATCTTGCTTTTTAGGAACTTATTTTGAAAAAGGATTGTGTATAAATGGCCAGTATTACAAATAAAGGAGTAGTGGTGGTGTATAGAGCTACATACAGCTACATACAACTAGAGAAAAAGCAGGAAACTTGTCTTTAACACCTGGAGGCTGTTCATGTAGCCTTATGGTACAGAGCTTACCCAGCATGCACCAAGTCTCAAGAGCAGTAGAAAGATATGTTCAATATTCTTTTCTAAAGAAGGTTTTGTTCTCTTCCCAATAAATGGAGATAAAATGACATAAGAAATTTAATCACATAAATATGCAAAATAGCCTTATTAAAACTTAAACTAGCTTATGCATATATCTCCTTTTCATGCTCTAAGTGCTATTCATAGTTTATCCCTTAAAAAGTATTCAGGTTAATGAATATTTAAGTATGATAACTGTAAATTACATTTAAAGTATTGTAGTTGTTAGAACGGGGTATTCTATAAAACTGACTGTGTACCATTTTTCCTGTTTACTAATTTTTCAAGAATTTCATACATGAGCACCTATTGTTTTCATCAATCCCCATCTTTCACTGTTCAACCTTCAACCTTCCAGTATCCACCTTCCAAAATTCATGATCTCATCTTTATTAGCATTACATGTACATCCATACACATGCACGCATGCAAATGTGTATACACAACCTACTGAGACCATTTAGCTTTGCCCATCTGCACATATGCCAAAGGCTGAGCACTTGGGATTAGACAAAATAAATGAGAGCTTGTCCCTGGAGGAGAGTGATTTTCCCTGTATAAAATCCACAGGCCTAATTCATTGTTACAGTTAAGAGACATACAAAGATCCTTATCTAAATGGCAGGTCTAAATGCAATATGGAGAGGACTAGGTAACCCCTACCCACTTATGCAATGCTTTCTACCAAAAAATTCAATGCTAGAGTAATATGAAACTGTGTGTTCATAGAACTCTTTCTAAGGTTTTTTTTTTTTTTTAGAAATCAAGATTCCTAAATAAATTCACTACTAATAATTAAAAGTAGTACAATTTATTTCTGACCATCCACCTTATCACAGGCCTGGAGCCTCTATGACTGTCAAGTTATGGCAAGTGAGCAAATGCTGCCAGGAGCCCCTGTCCACCTTCTCCTCAAGTAGGACATGTCTCCCCTGGATGTGGCAGGAATATTCTCTGGGGGACAGACTCAAGGTTCTGGAAATTAGTAGACCGTATCCAGATTTGCAGCACAAAACAACTGGTACTAGAGATGGAGAGCTAACGTTTCCAGTCCCTCCTGCTGAGTTCAGTGCTCACTTCTGTGAGCCTGGTCTGTCTGTGTCCTGAGGCTTCACCCTTCCTGGGTACAGCTAGAGGTTTCTTGCCCCCTTTGTGCCTCTGATGCTGACCTCATAGGTGGTCCTTCTAAAGACCCCTCCTCCCTTCGAAC